AAATAAAAATCTCGTTAGACAAAAATCTTAGTACAATTTTATTCAAATCAACAAGCTGGAAAATCTAAATTAATTTAGTTATTAATTTACACATTAAAATTATACAGCAAAATCAGTTTTTTCATTTTGAACAATTACAAAATTGTTATAATTTTTCTTGTTTTAAATGAATATTTATTGTTTTCTTCGAGAAAGAGAAACGCAAAGTGGTAAATAAAAGCTTGTCCTCTTTGTGACCACGAGGCGATAAAGCGAAGAGAAGCAGAAACAAAGGTTTTTCTTTTAAATGTGAAATAAAAATCTTGTTAGACAAAAATCTTAGTACAATTTTATTCAAATCAACAAGCTGGAAAATCAAAAATAATTTAGTTATTAATTTTCACATTAAAATTATACAGCAAAATCAGTATTTGCATATTGAATAATTACAAAATTGTTATAATTTTTCTTGTTTTAAGTGAATATTTATTAAATTCTTCATTTTCATATATATTATGTTAAGAGAATCGCAAAGTGGTAAATAAAAGCTTGTCGTCTTTGTGACCACAAGGCGATAAAGCGAAGAGAAGCAGAAACAAAGGTTTTTCTTTTAAATGTGAAATAAAAATCTCGTTAGACAAAAATCTTAGTACAATTTTATTCAAATCAGCAAGCTGGAAAATCTAAATTAATTTAGTTATTAATTTACACATTAAAATTATACAGCAAAATCAGTTCTTGCATATTGAAGAATTACAAAATTGTTATAATTTCTCTTGTTTTAAGTGAATATTTATTAAATTCTTCATTTTCATATATATTATGTTAAGAGAATCGCAAAGTGGTAAATAAAAGCTTGTCCTCTTTGTGACCACGAGACGATAAAGCGACGAGAAGCAGAAACAAAGGTTTTTCTTTGAAATGTGAAACAAAAATCTCGTTAGACAAAAATCTTAGTACAATTTTATTCAAATCAACAAGCCGGAAAATCTAAAATAATTTACTTATTAATTTTCACATTAAAATTATACAGCAAAATCAGTTTTTGCATATTGAAGAATTACAAAATTGTTATAATTTCTCTAGTTTTGAGTAAATATTTATTAAATTCTTCATTTTAATATGTATTATGTTAAGAGAATCGCAAAGTTGTACCCAAAAGCTTGTCCTCTTTGTGATCACGAGGCGATAAAGCGAAGAGAAGCAGAAACAAAGGTTTTTCTTTTAAATGTGAAATAAAAATCTCGATTTTCCGAAACTCGCACCTTTCGAAAAGAATGTCGCACTTGGAAGTTAATTAAATGAGCCAATACGAGCGTACTCAATGCATCATCATTTCGATAACCTCGGGTTAAATATTAATCTGACCAGTTTCGAAAAATAAAAATTATGTACTATAGGCAACTCAATTAACACGATAAACCGCGTGTGTGCGCTTTTCGAAATTAGAAAGTATAAATAAAGTTATCAATTAAATTAAGCAATTTTAATTAAAGCAATTGAAGCCAAAAAAAAAAAGCGAGATTTTTTAATTAGACACCAATTGAAGCCAGTTAAGCTGAGAGTTGCGCAACGATGAATATCGTTCGAGTATGTATTTCGGTAATATTTTTTTTTGATACATCTGCGCAAAATGCGTGTGTTTTTCCTGTTAATTTTCCAACGATGTGATAATCCATTAGGTCATTTGGCCGGGCGATGCAGTCGGCAATGCCAAGAGAGAGAAAAAAAAAACATGTTGAGAGACGCGAAAATAGTGGGTCAAAGTAAAGGAGAGGAATTAATGGAAAATAAAATAAAATTTTTTGAAATGTTAATGCTAGAGAATTTGATATTGGTGTATGCAGACCGAAACCCGAATTAATATGCGGAGCGACCTTGCGTCCAATTCCGTGACCTTCGCATTACGTTATGTCACACAGCAGGAGACGTATCGCTATTTCGGTTTGAGGATTTGCGTGCGTTCGGATTGTGCAATGTTTTGTGTACAAGCAATTTGTAAATTCGGGTTATCTGTTTAGGGTTTAATCTGATTGTGGGGATGTTTGGTGAAAGGAAGGAAGGAAGGAAGGAAATTGGTATTTTTAGTAGTCGTTGGTAAATATTTGGATTGCGATTGATGGATTGCGTAAAGGAACGCGTTTAGCTTTATGTAATATTATTATCGATGGGTTCAGGAATAGTTTGGAGCGAGTGGTTTTTTGGGCGAAGGAAGAGGTAGCAGCAACCGAAGTGGATGGAGCAGGCCCGTGGTCATCGGAAATGAGCAGGAGGAGAAATGAGCGAAGCGGAGGAGCAAGCGTGAGGCTCTCGGAGAACTTGATCAGTTGTGTGTTTCGCGGCCTGGCGGCGCCCGGTTTTCACCAACGGATTCAGAAACAGCGCGATTTTCTCGATCATCCGCAGACGGACGGACAAAACATAACAAACAAACAGACGAGAGAGAAACAAAAAAACGTAAGGAAAGAATCGCAGTCAGTCTCGAAAGCCAGATCAGCAGGGAAACATGCTCTGAACGGAACCCTCCACCAAATCATCATTATTATCATCATCAACACTTTTACAAATCGTGCGAGAATAGTTAGTTAGTTTTAGTTTGGTGTTTGTTTTCACGAAACGAAAGGAGTGCTTCGACAGCACCAACATGGATACCAAAAAGGAGGAAGCTCCAAAAACCACGACCATCAGCACCATCGCCGTGCAGAGTGGAAAGACCCGACTAGTCATCGCCCTTCTTCATGTACGTTTCGCGGTTTTAAAAACAGACACCCCCTAACAAAGTAAAAACAACACACATTACGTCGCTCGCAAAATTACTCACGCCTATTTTTAGTTTATTTCATTATTTTTTTTATTTTATTCTTACTTCGATACGAAAATAGGCGCATTGCACATACGCACTTTGCTCGGAAACTGGGTTAGAGTCCATATGTTTCTCCAGTGGAAACCTGGGGGAAAATCTTCATCTCGCGCGGACAAATCAAACAATTTTTTTTTTCAACTTCTCTCAACTGCAATTAAAACTTAATTTACTTGCGAGGACAACAAAGAGGTGAAAGAAATCTCTCTCTTCGGTTGCCGTGCCATTAAAACGTGCAGTCAATGACCCAGCGTTGAAATCTCCCGTGCCGTGCCGTGGAAATCCTATACCTACGCGATCCTGGATGGACGGATCTACGCTAATTGCACACCTGAACACTCTTCGCATGTTTTTTACCACATCCAAATCGACATTCACTAAACATAATTATCACTATACAAATATTTTCATTAGATATTTTACTATCTAAAAACATTTGAAATTTACTTAACAAAGAATTTCTAGCAATAAATTTTTCGTATTACAATAACGAATTATACCATAAGCATAAAAATTCACATAAAAATAATTACATTCTTCAGATTATCAACAGTTGCAGCTTTAACACGAAAACAATTCATTTTATGGTTCATTATAATTTATAGTTTTTAATTAATTCAATACAAAACTAATTATTATATAGCTTTCAACAATTATACCAAGGAAAAATTACATTTCTTTAATATCTAATTACTGAAAACCAATAAGTGTTACCGCAAAAGAAATATAATCATAAAATAGTATATAAAACAATTTAAATTTGTTATTCAACTTTAATAAGTGTGTTTCATAAATTATATAACTGTGATCATTTCCGAGTTGCAGGCTTAAATGTAAAATCGTTATAATTTCTAAACATTAATTTGAGTTAAAATTGGAAGTGATTATAAAATATGAAATTTAATTGGTGTAATTAATAATTAACTTAGTCTTGAGAAATTTAAGCAAATCTAATTTGACAATCAGTTACACAAAAACATGGGAATTAGCATTAACCTTTCTGCATAAACATTCATTTTATTGCCTACAATTCCAGCGTGAATTTACATATTTTATAGCTTGTGTGTCATTTACAGTCTATTAATAATAATCGTTAATGTTATAACCATTGGAGGTTCAACTATTGTATTTTCATTAATAATACATGATTTTTTTATTATTTGTTTACTGCTTTTATAAATTTGATGGTTGCAAATGTTTACATTTAATTAAGTTACAAATTACTGGAAATGAATTAGTACAATACTATTTGTATTTGCTTTTATCTGCATGTAAATATCTAAAGAATGCTAGGAGATATATTGAATAGAAACTTATGGCATTGAGATTGTGGCAAACGTTCCACCATTTCTGTAGGAATTGCATACATTGTTAATTCTTGCTGTCCACCGTAATGGAACAACATTGAGGAAATATTCCTTCGACTATTTATAAACATGCTGTATATTATTATTACGTACGTTCCCCACTTCTGTATTTCTTCTCCGCTTTTACGAGACTGGACTCTCTCGCTGGTTCAGCCCACGTCCAATAACCGATGCAAATGCTAACAAATAAATCCATTTATTGTTACGACCTAAAAAAGACAGTCTTCTTTGCATTTCTCAAAGAATCTCTTAGGAAATTATACAAAAAGGATTGTTCATCCACAAAATTGTATTTTATTAGAAATCTGGGCGTGGATTAGAATGCATTTCGAATCGAGTGTCCAGATTTTCTGCCATATCGGATTATGTCATTACCGTTTCTACTATTTTGTTTTCTTTTACGTCTCCTCCCAAGGTTTCCGGCCATATACAGTAGAAGGAGCAGAGAGAAAAATAATACTATATCTCTTTACGTATTCCATTCTTCTTCCACTTTATTTACCGAACCGAACAAACAGCTCGGATTAACACATACTCCGATTACGTAATTTCCACGCCGAACGCTCTATTCTTTATTTTGGAGTTTCCTTTGCGTTTCGATCGTTAGTTTTTTTTTTATCTCTTTGTTATTAATATTATTAATAAGGCCTTCGCCACTTGTCAAGCGTGTATAAATCTCGACCCACGGATTCAATTAGTGCTGTTGCGTGCTTTTGCAGTTAACCGTGATGAAGACGACGATGATGATGCTGCTGTTACTGCTGGACGTGACGCTTTTGATCTAAATTCGTTTTTAGAATCTGCAATCCATCTGTTTGGGAATTCGGCAACGCGAAAGACGTAATCTCTAAATATAATCCGGTCAAATTCATTTTACTACTGAAATTTACGAATTTTAAACACATATTCATTACGTTAAAAACTTTTCACTTCTCACTCACAAAATTAAGATAAAAACTTTTTCAATTTATAAACAATACTCCTAAAGAATTGAAGATGAAATTTAACATGAATCAAATAAAAAAATAACAATAATTATTTCTTTTAACAATTTTTTTTTCAGACAGAAAATTGAAGTTTTCTCAAGTGTTTTTAAATTAGAAACATCTCGTAATCCATGGTAAAGATACATTTAACATTAATGAAATAAAGAAAGTTATACTAAGTACAATAATTTCCAAAATCTAATAAAAGTTATGGAAAATTTTCGAAAAACTTTACTTCTCTTAACATTACTACACACAAATCTGATAATCCAGACAGTTAAGCTTGGATGGAATTTTTATGATATGAGACAAAAAACACAACAAATTTTTTAATCAATAAACAGAAAAAAAACCTTCAAACAATTAAAAAATAAATTAACAATATCACCATTCTTGTATACAATTTGTATTAATTACACGTGCATTAATGATGTCGTCGCGAATCGTTCGTCACTAAAAATAGAAATGATTTTGCCCAATTGCTTTTTGTCAACATTCGCAATCTTCGTCGATTAGCGTTTAGCATCTTAGTCTTAATTCTGATTACGTTCGTAACGATTAATTTTACCAGTCCGCTCCCGTTTCTGAGCTAAAAATACGTACAGGAGACGAAAGTTATAGCAAATTTCATAAAAATTATGTAAATAAAATAAATATTAGAGAGTATATACGTGAGCCATTACCACAGATCCGCGAGCAATCAAACGAATATAAATAGAGTGCGTACGCGCGCGCGTTTAACGGCATCGACGTTCTGTAATATTTGAAGAAGATGAAAGAAAAGCAAATTTTCTTGGCACAGAAAATTCGCTCATCTCAAACGATTTTCTTCTACAAAATAATTTAAAACAAGAAAATAAAACATGTATTCGTTTATTTATTTCGTTATTATCATTCTGTTTGTGTCAAGGTTCAATGATAGCCTTAACATTGTGAAAACAATGAAGCAGCTTTTATAAATAAATGTAAATGCGATTACTCTATTATTATTATTTTTAGAAGAATTGCGGTTATATGAAAACCCGTTCACTTTAGATATAAAAAAAATTGTAATTAGTCTGGATCGTTTCCGTCCAATTGTTGTTGATGGCAAAGTCTTTTTTGCTCCGGTTATTTGGGTCAGAAAATTTCTTCGATAAAAGCACATTTGCACAAGAAAAATTCTTTCTTTGTGTGTCTCGGTTTTTTTTGTTTATAGTGGATTCCTCCGCGGATCTATAAATATTTATTCGCGAACGGACGAGGCTGCTGCTTCTATTAATAATCGTCGACTGCGTGAGATAACTTTAAATTGGGGCGTCCAGCTAATTGCTGCTGCATATCCTTCCAATACTTTCGTCCAATCTTTGAGCTCTTTTTGTTTTGGTTTGTTTTGTGGGAGAAGAAGCGTCGAAGACACGAGGCGATGTCCGAAAGTTCAAGGCCAATTATTCCACCTCAAATGAAGAAGGCGATCTTCTTAGTCTTCTCCGTCCCTCGAGCGGGTCGATGGAAAGAAAGGAGCGTTTAAAAATAGTCGCGTAATGTGCGGCCCCGCTCGTTGTTACAATCCCGGTTGGATCCGAAGAGTTTCCAGATCTCCGAATCATCATCGAACGTGGTGGATGGAAATAGATCTTTGTTTATCGCTCGCCGGGCCACGCCATGTGATTGATTGTTTATTCAAAACCTTTTTGCTAGGAAACTCGTACACATAGAGGCACAGAGATCGTGCCTTATGTAATGTAGCGCTTATTAATAGCTCCATCCGCCGATATAAGGTTCACTTCCATTTCTGTTGTTCTTGCGTAACCGGTTCAATACAAGTTACTTTCATTTTCATAATTCATGACCTTTCGAATGGCAATTAGAGAAAGCAACCAGTCCGACAATAATTCCAACCAAATTAACTTTAATTTAACACTTTTGCATTGTCCACTCAAACTTACAAAACAAATCAACTCATTTCCACTGAATACAAGAGAAACATACTAAGAAAATTTTAGTTTAAATATATTAATCAAACTCTTTAAATCCTACTAAATGTATCTTTTAAAAAATTCAAATTCTTTATTTTGTAGTTTAGTAGAGTATGCACTATATACATTCTATTAATATGTAATTCCATCAGTTGTAAATTGGCAAACGCCAACTCCATCACTCATCTTTCAAAATTGTATGAAAACATAATTATGTAACAAATATTTATATTTTTGAAAATTATCGTTTCGACTACATAATAAATTAGAAAGTATAATTAAAATCTCATTTTAAGTACTTTTCATAAAATGAAAATAAATTTAAAAAATTCCAAATTAAAAAATATTTAATAATATATTTCTTTTATTTCATAAACTTAATGAACATTTGTGTAAACTTAAACATTTAAATTGAAAAAAAAAACACAGAAAGTTGAAATTTATGAATTTTATATTTATGGAAAATATGAATCATATTGACGTTATTTGCTTACATCAAGGCCTTAAGAAAATAAATTTTATAAAAACTATTATTTCATAAATGTTATTGTATAAATATACAATTTTATTGAATATTTAATGTATTAATAATGCTTAATTGAAGATTATAAAGTGTTGAGAAAACGATGCTAATTGCATATAAATAATTAATGAACTGTGCGTGTTTCTTCAGTGGAAAGAGAGTAAAAAAAAAGGACGTGTGAGAAATTCGATATTTTCCTCTTTTGCAGAAATGCGGATTGCGAATTTCCAGTTTATAACCGATTCCGACCGTCGAGTATTCGTTTACAAGAAACCGGCATTAATTTTCATTCGAAATCTGTTCCAAGGAAAACGTGTTTTTCGTTCAGTAATCATTTAGTGCATGTTTATAATGTATTCAAAATTAATGGCATCTCGTCGAGAGGGAAAACGAAATGCGTATGTGTGTGCGTTTGCTTTTGTTTTATGTTTAGTCACTACTAACTACTACAGAGCAGAAGGAAAACGTAAATAAGCGTTCCAGTTTTCTCCAAACAGAATTCCAGAATATCTCTTCAGACAATTTCTATTATTATCTTTGAAATGTTACACAGTGTGTTTGATTTTATCTGTTGTTTTTTTTTTTGCAGTGCGGGGATTGGATGAAATTGAAGATATTGGAGGTGACTCCGGAATTGACTGCATTAGGAAACACTATAAGCGAAGCGTTGGAACTGCAGAAAGCCCACGATGAAGTGCTCAGACAGCTACAGGTAATTAAACATTGATGAACGGTGTTAATTGGATGTCGTTGCATTTTGATGTGATTGGTGATTATGTATATTTTGCGCAGAACAAACAGAGTCCGGTTGAGGAACTGCTCCGGCAGGCGGATCAGCTCATCGCAACGCAGAAACCTCGAGCCGAAGTTTATGCTGCGATGGCCGAATCATTGGGAAAAGCGTGGCAGGATGTTAATGTTCATCTGGAGCTGCGGAAGGTTATCTTGGATCTGAACGTGCAATATCACACGAGAGCGGACGAGTTCTTTGCGAAGATGGAAGCACTCGAGGGTCTCTGCTCAGAGACGGAAATCCCGATAGATATAGGAGCCGTTAAAGACTTTCTGACCAACGTGCACGACCTGAGAAGATCTGGACTGGAATCGCTTATGGACGCGCTGAAAGCTGGTAACCTGCTCATAGAAAAGCTGAAGGAACTTGGCGCTGAAGGCACACTCGACTCGAGACCCGACCGAATACGAAGCTCTGTGAACAGAGGTAAAGCAATATTCTAAACAATTTTCACTTAGTTTCAGTATCTGTTTTTAGCAATATCCCAAGTCCAAGAATGGATGGAGAAGCTGCACATGAAGAGGAAAGTTCTAGAATGTACCTTTACGCGGAGAAAGGAGCAATTAGAACAGTGTCTTGCATTGGCAATTCTCGCAGCAGATCTGAAGGAGTTGGAAGAGGCTGTTACCAAATGGAGAAGTCTTTTGGTTAGCAGCGACGAATTGGGTGATTCCGCGTCCAGCGCGGAATTGCTGCAACACGAAATGAGGAAACTTCTTCCGGATGCTAAGCAATTGCAGGAGAGGGCTTTAAAGATCACCAAAGCTACAGACAAACTCGTCCAATCCGGTTGTTTCGCCGGAAGTCAAGCCATCGAGCAAGCGTACGTTGTGCTCTCATCGACTTCTGATTACTTGGCGGATCTGCAGCAACGCGATCACCTCTTTGAAAGGGTCATCGCTTTCTTCAGGTCTGCGCAATCTGTGAGTACAAAAAAAAATCATTGTTTATTATGCACTAATTTAATTCTAATGTGAATAGGCTTTGAATAAACTGGATCAAATCGAAATGCAACTGAAGAGCAGTGAATTAAAATCGACATCCCCGCAATTGGCACAGCTCCACGCTCAGTGCGCGCAGACCATCGAAGAGGTGACCTCAGGACCGATCGCCGAAGGTTACTCGATTCTGGGATCAACACCATTAAACGCTTCCGGAGTTAGGAAAATGGTGGAGGAACTTGAGAACAAAAAGATCGTTTTAGATGGATTGTGCGTGGCTCATAAAGAGGAAAACAGGAGGATTAACCAAGCGCTTGAAGAGTTCTTGGAGAGGCAGGATGAGTTACAAGGATGGCTTGTGGGAATCGCAGAGGCTTTCCTCAAAGGCCACGGTGATTTGGGACACGATTTATTTTCATCTAGGGAATTCTTGGACTTGCATAATCAGCTACTAACAGACTTACAAGTAAGTGCTTCAATTGCATGTAGTATAAATAAATTAATTTTTTTATATTTCAGACGAAAGGAAACGAAATTAACGCTTTATTACTAACGCTTCCTCCGATTCTCGAATACTTGCAAGATTCGCAACGCAGCGAGGTAGACTCGAAGGTGGAATCTCTGCACGAAAGATGGTTGAACCTGAAGAACCTCTTGGAGTCACGACTGGATCTGTCCGTGCTCTACGTGAAATTCCACACGGATGCGGAGAAGGTGACCAGGGAGATGGACGTTTTGGATGAGGCGATCCAGAGGACGGGAGAGAATATGTCGGAGGAGAGCATGAAAGTGCTGGAGGAGAGATTGGAGCTGCTCGTACCCCTCTACCAGTCGGCCAAGAACACAGGCCTAACATTCATCAATGAAACTCAAAAGGTATTTATTGTTTCATTGCCAAGAAGACGATTAAAGTTATTTATATTGCAGGTTACTGAGCCCCATCTCGATGCGAGACGAGCCATCACTTGCGTCCAATCCGTGCTGGACCGACTCTCCAGCCGCACCCTAACAGTGAACAGAAGCTGGCAAACCTTCCAAACGGAAGTCACAGAAAGAAACGAAATCATCAAGCAGATTGAAATCAACATGGTTGAAAGCACCAAGGTATTATCTTCTTATATCATCATTTCCTCAACTTCTCTAACATCTAAAACCTCAATTACAGACAATGAATTGGGCGACAAAGCTCGACTCGCAAATATATCCGGTCATCACGACGATGGCGTCGGATTCCAAGGAGATCAGCGAGCACATCGAGAAGAAGCTGCAGACTGTTGTCAGTGAGATCAGAAGGGCGCAAAGGGAAGTCGAGGAACGCGTCACGACCACGGAAAGTCTACTAATTAAGACGCAGACGAAGCCGGACGAGAGAACGATACACATCAAGGAACAACTCAACCAAATGGCTCAACGCCTCGGCAATATTTGCTCCGATTATCAAACCTTAGGACAGAGAATGATTTCTTACTTCAAACGATTAACAGACTTGGACAACTCCATCAATATATGCAACAAACCAGTCTCAAGAACCAGAAATAGCTACGAAATAGAGATGTTGATCGATGATCACGAAGCCACGAAACAGTCAGTATTGAATCTTTTCAAAATAACAAGAGACGAAGCCGAAGAAATCATCAACAAAATCAGAAGACAGGTATTTAAGCTATTAAGTTAATCTTTCAATATTGTTAAAATTTATGTTTAAGGAGCCCTCGGAAAGCGCTAACCAGGACATTGAACGCCTTCAAGCCAATTTGGAGTTGCGTAAAGAAAACTTTGAAATAAACTGGAAATCGAAGCGCGAACAATTGGAAGCGCAAAAGAAACTCTGCCAATTCGACAGCGATTTACAGCAAATCAATGATACTTTGGATGATCTTGGTCATCAATTGAGTGGCATCAGAGGACAATACGGAGAATCCTTGCAAGCAGCCAAAGACACATCTTCAGGATTCGTCCACTTCGAAAAAACAATTGAGGTATATTTTTAGATTGCATAAATTGCATTCATATCGTAGCTAAAGACTGTCATAATAAAATAGAAGTATTTTAATCTTTGCAAGTAATAGCCAACGCAGATGCCAAACGAATGTTATGCAAATCAAAGAAATTATTTATTAGATCCAGTTTATTAATAATATACATTATTTTCAGATGTTGGAAATGAGGATCGTTCAATTTATAAACGCTGGCAACCAATTGCTTGATGATCAGCACTTGGATTCGCCTTCGATTGAGATGCAGATTGAAGATTTGAAGAAGAGATGGAACGAATTGAAGCAGCAAATCGCTGAGACTAGAAATCTGATCGATTTGAGTGTACAGTATTTCGGATTGATCGAAGAGGCCGACGACTGGTTCAGAGAGGGAAGTCGTTTATTGGTAACGATCGCACGTAAATCTAGTTTGGTGAAGAAACCTGAAGAAGCGCAAGAACTGTTAAACGAAATCGAGATGTTCCTGAAGCCAGGAGAGGCTAGACAGAATGCGCGTATAGAGGATATCGTGAAGTTAGGTAGCAAATTGTTCGGATTTGAGCCGCAGCACGTCCTCGTTAGCAATCGCGAGATGATGGAATCCTTTAACGTGATCAGCAATGAACTGAATACATTGGCGCAAAATCTGAAGACCGCTGAGGAGGAACGCGAAAGGATGTTGCGTGAACATGAAATGTTGAGAATGGAATTGTTAAGGAAAGAGGAAGAGAAAAGGAAAGAACTGGAGATAAGGCAGCAGATGGAGCTGGAGGCCAAGATGCGAGAGCATGAAGAACTGTTGAGGAAGGAACGCGAACAGGAAGAGCTTAGGATTAAGAAGCAGATGGAACTGGAGGCAAAGATGAAACGAGAACAAGAGGAACTTTTGCTGCAGGAACAGTTGAAACGAGAACAAGAGGAACTTCTGAGATTGGAACAGTTGAAAAGAGAACAAGAGGAAATTAAGAAGCAGATGGAACTCGAGGCTAAGATGAAACGAGAACAAGAGGAACTTTTGAGGCAAGAGCAGCTAAAACGGGAACAAGAGGAACTTTTGCGATTGGAGCAGATGAAACGAGAACAAGAGGAATTATTGCGAAAGGAGCAAATGATCAGAGAGCAGGAGGAAATTAAGATTAAGAAACAGATGGAACTCGAGGCCAGAATGGAAGCTCCGGTATTCATCACTCCCTTGTGCGATCAAATCATACAGGAAGGAAATAAGTTTACTTTCGTTTGCCAAGTCAGCGGCTTCCCTCTTCCTGTAGTTACTTGGCATAAGGCTGGAGTATCTATACAGAACAACCCAGACTATCAGACCACTTTCGATCAAGGCTTGTGCACGTTGACTATCGAAGAAACGTTTGCAGACGATTCTGCAAAATACACTTGCAAAGCGATCAACGCCGTTGGTTCTGCCGAGACTGGTGCTTTCCTCTCTGTGAAGGAGAGCGAACCGGAGGAGCAATTATCGCCTCCTAACTTCACCAAGTTCTTACAACCGGCCGTCGCTAAAGAGGGAAGAAGTTTCCAATTCGAATGCACCGTTGAAGGAAATCCTTTGCCGACAGTGCAATGGTTCAAGAATGCCGATTGCATTGATAATTCCCCTGATTATATCATTACATATAACAATGGAGAGGCTGTTCTTAAGTTCGAGCAATGTTTTATGGAGGATAAGGCAGATTATACGTGCAAGGCGAGCAACAATTTAGGAGTAGCTCAGTCCGTCGCAAATCTGGTGGTGTTGCGTGAGTTTGTTTGTTATTTTATCTTCTTTCTTTATTTTTGGTTGCTTGCTAACAATAACTTTGTATTGTTTTTTTGGAACAGCTGAGGAACCTTGCGAACCGCCAACGTTTGTAACGCCGCTCTGTAATGCAATGGCACGGGCAGGCGAAAAGATAAAATTGGAATGCGAAATTTCTGGACTGCCGCCACCGATTGTCCTCTGGTCGCACAACGGGAAACCACTCAAAGAGACGCGAGATCTCAAAGTAAGTACACCAGCCAACCATCCAACAAACCTAACGTTATTACCACTGTTGCTGTTGCTACTGCTGTTTTTGCAGAATTATCGGTGCGCGTCTGCAATCCGATATGTTTATTTTTAAATACGCGCGAATATTAATAATCAAAAGGATGTTCGGAACGTTGGCAGATGACCAAAAAGAATGGAACGGTCTTCGCGTCCGAGCGAAAAATTATTTCAGTTGCAAGTGGAATCGAGCTTTTCCACATCAATTTAGTGGGACAAGTCTATAAATAAAACTTTCGCTTTCTCGCAGCTGCACCGAGACGGCCAAAAGGCGACGCTCTCGATCCAAGAGGCCTTCCCGAAAGACGCCGGAAACTACAAAGTGACCGCAACGAATTTGGCCGGTGAAGTTACCAGTGAATGCAGTGTCAGCGTCAAAGGACGCCTTCCGGCTGAAACTTCCGATTCAGAACTGCCCAGCGACATGGAACCAATCAAACCGTCCATCCAGGATCCGCTGAAGAACGTCGAGATCCCGGAAGGCGGACAGGTTTGTCTGGAGTGTGTCATCGTCGGACAACCGGAACCAGAGGTCATCTGGTACCACGACGACAATCCGATTAAAGAATCCTCAGACTTCCGTCTGCTCTTCCAGGGAGATCGTTGCTCTCTGATAATCCAAGAGGCTCTTCCCGAAGATGCTGGAGAGTACAAGGTCATGGCGTTGAATTCAGCAGGAGAAGCCTCCAGCAAGGCTCTCCTCTCTGTCACACCAAAACCCGAAGACACGGACTGCGCTCCGAAATTCAGCAAACTGCTCACTGACATTCTCGTCTCTGAAGGCGATAAAGTTATTTTGGAAGCACAAGTTTCTGGCACGCCTCGGCCCGACATCAAATGGCTGCTGAACAACACGCCGATCGATCAAAGCGAGAGAATCCAGCTCGCCCACGCCGATGACGGTACCCTAAAACTGGACATCGCCAACGTAAAGAATGAGGATCGCGGCGTCTACACCGTCAAGGCAACAAATCGCAAAGGTGAAGCCAAATGCTTCGCCCAGCTCATCGTCAAGTCATCGAAAATGGCAGAGGCCAAAGTCCACGAGGAGATCAAATCCGCTCCAACCTTCAGAGAGACCTTCCACGATAAACAAGTTTTCGAAAACACAGCCACCAAATTCGAATGCATCGTAGCCGGAAAACCAACACCCAAAGTCCGTTGGACCTTCAACGGCGCTCCAGTCTCCGGAAAGAACTTCCTGATTTCCACATCCGGAGATCGCCAAGTTCTCTCCATTCCGGAAGTCTCCAAAGAGAACGGCGGAAGGATCGAGTGCATCGCCGAAAACGAAGCAGGAAAAGCCACCTGCTCGGCCAGCCTGATAATACAATCGGTCTCCGACATAACTCTACCCGAGATGGCCCAATCTTTAGAAATCGTTCAAATCCCCGCAGATAACTGGAATAAGGATATCCAGCAGCACACCGAGTCTTCGTTCACCTACAAGCGCGAAATCAACGTGCAATCATCCTCATCCACTTCGAGCAAAATTATATCCTCCACCACGGCCACGCCAGAACCGCATATCGAAGAGCACAAGTACTCCTCCAAAGATGAGAAATCCTTCAAACAAATCAACTTGGAAGCTCCGGAGATTAAAGAATCCCACAAGGAGGAAGAGTACCATAAGATCGGAAAGCAAGAGCCTGTGATCCACGAGAAATCAACGTCACTTTACACCATCGGCGGTCAGCAGGTCGACATCCCCAAGATACTTCCAGCTCAAGAGACGCCATTGCCAAAATCAATTTTCAAGGCTCGTCCACCCAAATTCGTGACTCCAGTTATCGGCAAAATTGTCGATCAAGATGTTAACGTTATTCTGGAAGGTATTCTGGATGGAACACCAACTCCTCAAGTGTCCTGGTGCAAAAATGGAGCCGAATTCAAAGGAGGAAATAACGCTAAAGTCACATACGAGCACAACTGCGCTAGGATCGAGCTGAAGAATGTTACTATCAACGATAGCGGTAAATACACTTGCACAGCGATCAACGAAGCCGGAAAAGCCATCAGCACAGCTGATTTGGTTGTCAGAAGTTAGTGTTTTAAATTAAACATTCGTATACTAGAAGATAAATGTTGTAACATTTTCAGAAACTATCTTTCCACCTGTCTTCGGGCGTCGTTTGCAAGCGCAAGTCATCAAGAAGGGCGATCGTGTCAATATGGAAGTTGAGGTCACTGGAACACCTGAGCCTCAGGTCACCTGGTTCAAAGATGGGCTTCCTTTAGCGGAAGTCATCAAGGATGGTTATAAGATCAAAACGCAAGGAAATTGTCATACCTTGGTTCTTGAAAAAGGTATGTTAATTTTATAAATACTGTTTGCAATGTATAAACTCTTTTATGTGTTAATAGCTGACTTTAGGCATACTGGAAAGTACACCGTTTGCGCCATAAACCCAGGTGGAGAGGCCCAGAGTATTGCAGACATCGCCGTTTACGAGCCAACACCGGACACGATGATCGAAGTGGTAAAGACTGTGGTCTTCGAGGACGTCCGAAAGCACGAATCACTTGTAAGTATTTCGCGTTTTTCATGAACGTTCTTTGGTTTAGAGCAACCTGTATTCATCACTTCATCGTTTATATGGATTTATTAGGCATCCGCGACTGACAAGAGTTTAGAAACGATCACGACTTCAACAGCAGAACCCAAAGCTATAATAAGCAAACCCGTCTCGATTCCCTCGACCTTCCCGAAACCCCTTTTCTCCGAATCATTGACTACTGAAATGTCCACGCACACTGAAAGCTCAATAATGCACGATACTAAAACCTTGACGCTAGAACGCAGCACGCCCGTATGCGACATAGAAATGCCCAAAAAGGTAACGAAACCCGACGAAGGCACTGCCGAAGGCATTGAAACTTCCTCAATTACAAAGCAGCAATCTTTAGATTTCTTCGTCAAGAAAATGAAGGAGGTCGAAGAAATACCCAAACCGAAAGAAGCTGCTGCTTTGCCTGCGCCTATTAAGCAAGAAATCTATACCAAGTTTGAGGACGCCACGAAAATCGAAGCTCCTAAGAAAGTAGAACAGACCGAAAAGTACACCGCTTTTAATCAATCACAAACATCGCAATCGTACGAAGAATTCAATTTGCAACCGGAACCTCCGGCGGAAATCTGCTACCCGGAATCGAAACCTGAACCGCAACCGATAATCCCCGCTCTCGAGGTCCAACAAAAAACTCAAATGTTCGAGAAGAAATCAGAACACTTTGAAAGCTCACAAATGTCCAAATCGGAATCATCTCAATCACACCAAACCTGGACATCGGAAAGACCTGCTTCCGCAGTTTCATCCCACACTCTGGACAGGCAAACCATCATAAGACCTACATCAGCTATGTCTTCGTCCAGCGGCTTAGAACCAAGTGCTGAAGGTCTAGCAATGGAGAAAACTTGGGCTCACAAACACACCGAGTGCAATGTGCAAAAATCTTGGCCTCCAACTCAGAAGGAAGCGCAGAAAATTGCTCCAACCTGGTCAGCTCAGTCCACACTCGAAAGAAAATGGGCTCCAGAAACGCAGGTCTCTGAGAGTAGCTACTACAAAGAAACAAATGTTTCTTCAGAAATTACACCACAAGCAACCGGAAGCTTTTACAAGGAAACAATAACAGAAACATTGCCACAAGTATCAAGCAGTTTTTACAAAGACTCTAAAGTAACCTCAGAAACAACACCACAAATCTCTAGTAGCTTTTACAAAGAATCCAAGGTAACTTCAGAAATAACACCACAGGTTTCCAGTAGCTTTTACAAAGAATCTAAAGTTGTGTCGGAACCAACACCACAGGTTTCAAGCAGCTTTTACAAAGAAACTAAAATGACTTCAGAGACAGCTCCGCAAGTCTCAAGTAGTTTTTATAAAGAATCTAAAGTTACATCCGCAACGGAATCTAAAATTACATCAGAATCAACACCACAATCGAGCAGCTTTTACAAAGAGTCTAAAGTAGTTTCAGAACCAACACCGCAAGTCTCTAGTAGCTTTTACTCAAAAGTTACTTCAGAATCGACGCCACAAGTCTCGAGCAGTTATTACAAAGAGTCTAAAGTGACTACAGAAAGTACACCGCAAGTTACAGGTAGTTACTATAAGGAAACAAAGATGACTTCTGAAACTACGCCTCAGGTGCCGCATTACATTGCGCAAGTGTCGCACACTTCTAATGTTAATGAATTCAGCAGTCAGCAAAGCAGTTACGAAATGAAGTCTGAAATGAAATCTTCGAGCAAACATGAAATGATTAGCGAAGAACGTAACGCAAAACCATCAGAAATAATTAAGTCTTGGCCGCCGAAGGGTAAAGAACCAGAGGAGGTTCCTTATAAACCTGTTGTTATTGAAAGTTTGCCGATAAGACCAGTTTCTGTGCAAGATATAACCGATGAGATCTATTTGGAGCCCGGCACACCACCGGAGATTGTTTACGCTCAGCCGCCTGTATTGGAGAGGAGGATTTCGCATGTAGAAACCATTGAGCAGAGCTTAGAAAAGACTTTGGATAGAGTTCCCAGTCGAGTTTTACCTGGTGCTATCCGCACTATACCGCCTCCTTTACCTCCGAAGCAAGAGCAACCTATTGCTCCACCAATTCCGGCGAAGACCATGAAACCTATGAAGGTTGTTGAATCGAAACCTTTCGAGAAATTCCCCGATTTGGAGCCGTTCCCTTACAAACCGGACCCAGATCAACCCAGGCAACAAAGGGTTGGTCCACCTCCGACACCTTCCAAATTCATCAAAGGAAGATTCGCCGATAGCGATTACGAGAGCGACTTCGAAGCGATACGAATTCCCTCGAAATGGAAACCTTACGCGAGCGACAACGACGAGCCCAGCTTCAGGCACGTCAGGGCTCCGAAAACTAGCACACTGCCGAGATCTCGTTCCATCGAAAAGGAGGCAATTCCTCCATCCAGATTCGAACAACCACCTCCGGTGTCCGGTTTACCGAGACCGACGATTAACTTCGAGGCGTGCAAAAAGATGCTACGCAAAGAGACGGAGATGAAGAAGTTCACGAAGAAACCTGCTTCTCCTCCGATCATGATCAAACCTGGCTCTCCACCGATCTTCGACGTGGCCGAACCGAAGTCACCGAAGACGAAGCAAAAGATCGTCATCGATGGTTACATGGCTGACACCGACGAACCGTTCATCATGCAACAAAAGAAATTGTTAAAGAGCGAGGAGAAGCATCAGCAGCAGCTGCAACAGCAGACGTACCAGTGTCAAACTTCCCTTCAACAACAATCCACCCAATCCAAATTTTCACACCACAAGAAACATAGTTCCACGACGAGTGCTTCATCGAAGAAGGTTCGAAACTTATATGTTGTGTGTGCGTTTTTGTTTTTTCTGATCTTTTCGATTTGCAACTTTCAGCATGCCATAAAATTAATATATCTTTTGTAGCCCGATTTACACACTTGTGTTATTTGTTATATGTTTTGCTTCAGCACTTGAAGACTAATCTGAATTTGCTTTTTGATCATATATTTTCATAAAAGCTAATACTATTTTTGATGTTGATTGTAGAAACTGGTTTCCACTCCGATCATAACTAGCGTTTCAACCACTGAAAAACTGGAGCCTTTCCCATTCAAACCGGAACCAGCGACAGCACCTAAGGTGAAGTTACCGCCACCTCCGAGCCCTTCGAGGTTCGTCAAGGGTGAATTCAGGGAAAGCGATTACGAGAGCGACTACGAAAGTAGACTCTCAGCCGCGTGGAAGACCGACAAACAGTTCAGATCCGTTCGTCCGGTTTTAACACCGACCGGAAGACAGTCTCAAACGAAAGAGCGAACTCCAACACCGCCCATGCAATTCGACCATCCGGAAAGGGTTTCGATCCCTTCCAGACCCAAATTCGAACCCATCGAAAAACCTGTGAAGACCGTCAAACTGGATCAGATCATCAAGCCTGTACCTAAACCAACTCCGATCTTCAAACCGAAACCGATTATGCAGCAACCTCCGGTCATGGACATAATCATCGCAACACCAGCAGCGCCGGAGAAGGTTATGCTCTTGCAACCTGGTACTCCGCCGGAGATCGTCTTTGCTCCGGGACCGAAGAAGACGCAGTATTATAGAGCGACGACGAGCGCTCCTTACCACAACGCCGTCCAAACGGAAACATCGAACGTGATGCACTTCAACGAATCTACAGAGCAATGTCAGAGAACTATGAGCGTTCAGCAGACTACAAAAGTGATCAAATTTGGAGGAAACCAGAAGCAGACTAGCACTACCCAGGAAGTATTAGAGCCGTTCCCGTTCAAGGTGGAACCGGAGAGATCGAGGAGAGGAAGCGCTCCGCCGCCTCCGAAGCCGAAGAAGTTCGTGCCTGGGGAATTCCGTGAGAGCGATTACGAGAGCGAAGTGGAGAACACCAGGATCAAATCGAGATGGGGAAGCAGCGAAGAACCGCATTACAAGAAAGTCAGGGCTCCGGCAGCTGTGAGATCATCCAGCGTTCCAGCCTCTAGGGAGCAGCAAGTCGTTACTCCGATGGAGTTCGATACGCAACCACCGTACATCTCTCAATCCAATCAAATTGTTAAGAAGAATTACGACTCGACGATGACCAAGCAAACCGCTTCCAAAATCGCCTCACAATACATGGACAACATGACGCACACTTTCAAGTCGAAGGCCCATCAATTCGCCAGCGACATCATGGACGACGTGAACAAGAAGTCAACGCAGAAACCAATCCTGAAGACGAAAGACGAATCCGATGCTCAAGTCTACAGGGAGGAAACGCGCGCATCTCAATACGGTAAGAATTAATACATTACTAATAAATATAATGATGTATAAAAAGAATGAAAAATATATTTAAAAATAACTTTCCAGAAATACTTTTACGAATCACAAAATATCATAAATATAACTCATAATTGGTATATATTTAAAACAATCACATTTAATATTTTTATTTTGAAAATTGAACTAAATGATAACTTTAGAAATACTAAAATTGGGAATTAATAACAATAATTAATGGGTATAACTGAAATCAGGTACTAAACACGTGGATCCAGACACTGGTCTCATCTATTTCAAATACGATTTCGGCTACGAATTCGGCATCCTTTTGCCAGGCGAGAGCAAAAATGGTGAGATTCCGTTCCCCAAGAAGACGATTATCCAACCGCCGCAGAGGTCTCAATCCATTGAAATGCCGGTGCACCACGAGACTAGTACCGCTCCGAAGAAGTTCGTTGCCCCGTCGACTAACAAGAACGTGAAATGGGAACCGACCTCTGAGAGCGAAATGTCCGAGTACGAGCCGGACGGCAGGAGGAGACCCAAATGGGATCAATCCTCCTGCAGCCCGACCTCGATCTCGCCTAGTCTTCCGAGCACCTCGCCCGCTTTTAATAACTACGGTTCAGGTACTTAACAAATCAATTAACAACATCTCAATCCGTGATTTGCTGTAAATCGGATTTTGTCGTTTAGGTTTCAAGGATACAGAGACGCCTCCGAGTTGTCCAAGCACGCCGGGATTCCCACAGAATGCGCAGATCAAAAGAGCTCCCGTCTTCATCACTGTAATTTCTCAATATTTAGTATTTTTAATAACATTAAGATTAACATTGCGATTTGATCTTCAGCCCTTGAGGGATATCGCAGTGGTCAGCGGACAAACGGCTAGGTTCGAGTGCATTGTTCAATCGGAGCCTTCGCCGAACGTGCTTTGGTCCAAGAACGGTCGCATCATCGAGAACTCCAACGACCATTCGATCTTCTTCAGGAACGGCGTTTGCCGTCTGACAATACCAAAAACTTATCCAGGTACGGCGATTTGAGAAAACCATCAAAGTAATTGAAAATAATATTGTTAATACTTTTGCAGAGGACGCTGGAACGTACACTTGCACCGCGACGAACCAGGTCGGAGCGATCAACACGACTGCAACTCTTCAAGTGCCAGGTGAGAGAAGGTCTTCATACATTAAATGAGCGAATCAAACGTAAACTTGGTGAAGGTTTTTTTTTTCTTCGGAAAACGTTAGCTTTTTGTACTTTATATAATATATAATTATGTAGCATTTGTGAAGTAAACATTAATAATATTGTATGTATTGTGTAATCCCCTCCAAAAGTACGTACACCGCAAAACCCCACAGATTTCGATTAATCAGACACTCCCAAACCCATCCCACTGCCAAAGCTCGCGTGTAAATATGTAATCGACAAAAAAAAAATACAAGTAACAAATACGAAGTAATTATTAACAGTTTCATTTTGTGTGTTCCTTAGCTCTATTTATATACATGATTATTTTTATTTATGATTATTACCTGTTACTATTTATTTATTCTGATTGTTATTTTAATTTATTAAAGCCTGATTGAGCGCAAATGGTGTTGTTTATTGATTGATTATTTTGGGTACTTGGGTTCTTTCTCTCACTCTCTCTCTCTCTCTATTTAATCCCTAATCCCAATTTAATCCTAATTCAATGTAAAAGTACAAATAAATAAATAACTCAGTAAAACTAGGTTTCGGAGTATTACTTAGATTAGTTCGCTTATTGTAGACATCTTCTAGTTTAGACAGAAAAGTAAGTAAAAACTTTATATTGTTCTTTGTAAACGAGTCGAGCAAACTAATTTATGATTGTGTATATTCTATTTTCGCAAATAACGTAACTCGTCGCTTATGTATGTATATAATATGATATTTATACTCGTACGCATAATTTACACTTTGGCTCGAGTTATTTATCCTTCCGCCAAATCGGGGGAGACAAAACAAACGTTAACACTCATCAATTTCAGCTGCGAATCAATCGAACGTAAAATGTGTTATTTTCGACTATTGCTCAACTATTGCTTCTTTTTTTCCTTCTTTACGTCTGTAAATAATATAATTGATTTGAGATGTGTCCGTCCTTTCGTGAGGTGACGTTAAATTTAGGTTTTTTGGCATAATCTGGTGTTGCCTCACCGGTGTGTATGTGCGTTCGAAATAAAATAAGAATAAAGGTGAATCACACGCACGCAAAATAGGTATCTCGTCCGATGTGGAAGAGGGGAATAAATTATCTCGCTCTGGAATACCTTGAATATGACGATTTTTTTGAGTTCCGAATCTTTCTAGAGCTTCCAGAATAAATATGAAATTAGTTTTTGATCTAATTCTATGAATAACTTTACGTCAAGATTTTCAATATATTTCTGTGATTAATACAAAAATAAGTAGTATATCTTATACAAATAATTGTACATTACTTTTTTATAATTTTATAGCACATTTTCGACATTGCAAATGAATTAAAGATTATAATTTTAGCATATTCATACATTAAACTGTCCTTATTACATCTTGATATATGTAATGAAATATTAAGATATATTTTTACTTACAAATTTTACTATGAATTGTGCAAAAACTGCATCCACTACAATTAATTTTTCATTCTTTCAACTTTGCAAAAACTGCAGCTAGTATCATTATGTAATTATACTCATATTAAACCCTAAATAATTGGCTTTCATATATATTTAAACATTATTCAATGGCTTTAACTTTTTGTGCTACAGCATCAAATGTATAGACACTGCTTTTCGTTCTTTATTGTGTTTATTTGAAGTTTCAATTGAGTAAAGAATTCCTGTTTCAAAGTTTTCCATTATTTACTAAATAGCGAAATAATTTTATTTATTAATGAATTTATATTAATTAGCTATTTCATAATATTATCTTGAATGAAATTGATTGAAGTTAAAGAGAAAATGATGAAATTTTCAATAGAATTTCGTTTATGTCTTAGTATAAACACTTTTCACGAAATTTAAACAAATAAAAGTAAACATAAATAAACTATAGAATTCTATCGCATTCGATCGTAAAACCGAAGAATTCCCAAAATGCAAAAAGAACGTGTAATTATTTTTTTTATTTCGCATTGCGCGCGACTGCGAATATATTGGATGGAATCCAAACTAAATCTCCCAATAGTTGTTTATCCCACTAAATTTAGACAAAACATTTCATTTCTATATTTGTCCTGTTTTGATGGCACCAACGAAGTTTACTCATTGCGGTGAACGGTGCAGAAGTGCACTTGCATTTGAGTGAAAAAGGCTTTCTAAACTTTCCAGGTTTGAACATTTCCCAGGCGATTTGACCTCCGTCAAAGTGTGCATCAAGGTGTTGCTGGTAACGCCCCAACATTCATCCTTCATGCACGCAACGAGCAATTACTTAATGAATGCATCTCAGAAGAGGTGCAGGAAAGAAAGAAATGGGGTAATACGAGGTGAACCTATAAATGGACGTGGGAAACTGGAAACGTATGCACATTGTAATGTAGTGAGAGGAAATCGTATCGGCTAATGAAATTGTGAATTCAATATTAGAACGGCAGAACTATTTTCGAATCACGCACAGCCTCCACAAAATAAACAGATTTCTCGGAACGAAAATATTTTTCTTCTTAGAAAAAAAATTGAAAATTGTACCAACAATTCAATTTTTTCTGTAACAATCCAGACTTCTTCAGGCTCCGTTCAGGAGGAGAGCCTGCATGCAATTCGTCGCTATAAATATTATATTAAAAATTTTCACCTTTTTCTCTCTCTCTCTCCACTCCGCTTCTTTTCCCTGACTCATCTTTGGCTCTCCTCTCTCTAAATATACAGCGCTCCACATATGCCAATCTGCCGAGAACAAGAACTATACAATTTCAAAAATAAAAATGTTTCATCGCTAGAAATGCATAGTTTTCCATTAAGACAAAAAAAAACAATAGAAATTTCTATTTCTACCTTTTTTTTATTACACTTACATAGAACATTTATCGTATAATCTTTGTTTTATTCCGATTTTATGATGTTGTTCTTGTAACGTTTGGTCGTAATATGGTTTTGGCTGCTCTCTCTATTTTTGGATCGCACTTATTTTCATTAGTTTCCAAGCTACACGTCTCATCCGAAAATCGAGTATGACTTGATTTATCATTCGGCCAATGTAAATCATGCACATACAAACAATTTTTTTTGTATCAGACTCTCTCTCCTTCGTTATTTTACTAGATGAGAAAAACATTCCATGAGATTTATTTACACGATCTAGAATGTTTCTCCGAAATTATTTTAGAATCCAGTTTCAGTTTTCATGAGATTATTCATATTTACATTTATCTATAGCAGCCTTTGAGTAATACACTGAAATACGTAGACATAATGCTTTTTGAATCATCAAAAGTTTCAACACTTTATTTGTCAGCAAAATGACTACAATCTCGAAACAGCAACAATTTATGGAATTGTTATTCCTTAAAGTGTCTACTGTAACAATTCTTAATTTCCGCATTCATATTACTGATTAACTATAGTTAACTAAGTTTTGTTAAATTTGATTATAAATATCCTAATAGTTTCAGCTTTAGTTTCAATTTATTTCATAGTTACTACAATGTATTAGTTTTATTTGTTATTCATATTTATTTATATAGATATATTCGAATAATAGTGAAGAAAGGTGAAGGTGATTTAATTACTAGGAAACTGTAAGTGTTGTATTCTCTGTAATTTAAAATTTGCATATTGAGGCTAATGTCTGCTTATTGTGGTAATATTGGTGTTGAGAACAATGGTTTATCTGCATGAGAGAGGAAAGCTTTCTTTTTGGTGGTGTATTAATCTATATGTACGTTTGCAATTAGTAGTAGTTGTAGTAGTAGTGTTAGTGTGTGTGTTGTAATTAATACTGTGTGTTTCTGTTTGTCTGTCCGCTATGTCTGCAGGAGTTCCTTCGCACATGTACGGTACTTATAGGCAGATGAGCATAGGTCGTAGATCCGTAACACCTGATCTGCCGCCGTACGAAAGACCTAGTTCACCGGTGCAAAGCTACACCAGCTACGACGGTAAGTTGAACGGAGGCCACTCGGGGATGTACTACTAACTACCGCAAAAGTGTGCAGTGTGCGGCAAAAGAACTGTTTAGGATATGAAATATGCGAGAAATAAAGACGGAACAGAGGAAGAAAAGAGTGTACATGTGTATTTATTTATTTGATCCGTTGTCTTCGTTGCTGATGTTCTTGTTGTTAGTGGTTGTTATTGTTGTTGTTTGTTGTTGGTATTTGTTGTTGCGTTCTGGAATGATGGTTGACGAGGATGATTACGAATGCTGAAAGAAGTTTGAAACTTGAGTAATTGGGGAGTATGAGTCAATGCGAGAGAGAGATATACGAAGAGGAGCAAAGAGCGAGAGCAGCGGTCGGTTCGTGAGTTTTGTTTCGGCGACGGTATCATATGTACCAGTGGGGTACCAAAAATAGACCACCATCCGTCGGCGTTCGTCGGTTTCGATCCCTCCTCCTGCAGCTGGTGCACTCTCAGCAGGAGAGCTCATTCTTCGCTCGCAATTCGCAAACGACCGACGTCTTGGTATTAGTTTCGGGGATGATGACTTGACTTCTGCTAACTAAAGCCGTGGAAGGCAGTGTGAAGTTAAACGAATCAAACAAAATATAGAGTTTTATATACAAAGAGAATAGAAGCGTCGTGAAAAGACTAGTCATTAGTATTTTAAATAATAATTTTTTTTTTTGAAAAAAAAAAACCGTGTTGTGCTTTTTGAGTAATCATTATTTTTTCTCCAAAACCCTGTGTGCATTGTAATACGCCCCAATTTTTCGCGCAATCGAATTTTACCTACAATCTTCTTTTCTCTCTCTCCTCCTAATTCTTAATTTCGATCTGTGAGATTTTTGTGGTGACAATATGAATCGTCAGCAGCAGCAAATTTCGCAGACCCAGCAGCAGAGTCAGATGACTCAGCAGAGTCAGCAGACTCAGATGAGCCAAATGTCCCAGCAGAGGGTCCGCACCGAACAGCACGTTACCAGACAAGTCACCAGCCATCAAACAGGTTAGGCTCAGCAAACAACCAAAAAAAAAATAGAAAGAAAACATCCCCCCCTCAAACAATAATTTCGAAAATCAGAGCTTTCACCCTCATCGCATGCAAAATAAAACCAGTTACATAATCCACGGATCAAATAGGAGACAGCTTTCGCATTGCCTCATGCTCCGATAGCAAAGCTTCTCAAAATAGCTTCTCGCTCGCCATCAGATGCCAGAATGTTACAATAATCTTCGGTGGGCGGCGCTGCGCAAAAAAAAAACACTCTTCTCATTCTCTTCTCTCTATCACAAATTCTCTCGATCTTTTCACTATGCAAGTTTCGCTCCTAACAGTAGTACTTAATTTTGGATTTGTGTTTTTCTTCTCTGCATGGTATAATAACACACCCTGATTTGGAGATGCTTTGAGAAGCTGCAGACCGAGCGAATCTTGCCATATAAAATTCGGATCTAAATCCGTGCGGTCGCGTATAAATAGGTTGCCGTACAAGTGTAGCGTTTCACGCTCGAGAACCGATCCGAGAACCGCTGCGATCTGGTGCATATCGCTTTTGTATTTACTGTTCTTTTCTGCACTCGAAAAATTAATTTAAAAGCGAGCAACATTCGTCTAGCGCAGAAGAAACTGTGCCAACGACATCAAAATTGTTGACACTTTTCTGCGCTAGAAGCAATTAAAAAACAGAAGAAATCTTAACACATATAAATGTTCTTTGCTGAAAAATCGTAGCACAAAAGAATCTATATTAAATAAAAAAAAAACGTGCAAATTTCAATTCATTTCTGCAGGTAACAATTAAAGCATAGCAGAATTCATACCACATCAAAAATATGTGTCTTTTCTGCTCTTAAAAAGTGTAAATAGTTTTCGCAAAATATGCGCAAATCCTATATATTTTCTGTACACAAAAGCGCATTTCTTTTTATTGTTTGTCTATTAAATTAAAAAATGTAAGACAAAAATTGTAACATGTAAGAAATAATATCAACAATATCAAAAAAAAAAAGCGAAAATTTCAATTTATTTATTGTTATTTATTTTGGCACACAAAAATCACAACGAAAAACAACCCGTATAAAATTCATAAAAGAATCTGTGCCACATATCTAAATTTAACCCTCCTCCGATTGAGTAAAGAAAAAAAAAATATGTAGGATCAACCCCGAAAGGAGAAAACACATGTGGGAACATTCTTACCTCCAACAAAGATTTCTTCTTCATTCAAACACCAAATACGTTCTAATTTTAGCCCTGCTCAATGTTTACGTTTTTTTTTTCTACTTCCACTTTAGATTTGTTTTCTCGAATAACTAACTGATTGCATTTACCGTTTAATTTCATTTTTTTTTTGTTATGTAACGAAGTGTTATTAATTATGAGTAAGTTTGCTGACGGCAGACTCGGCTAGTTCGTTTATTAGTCAGACTTTACGCTATTTTTTTCTGCCAAGATAAAAATAGAGCCCTTTGTCATTGTGTTTATTAAATAACGTGCAAGGTTGACAGCGGATGTAGTAAGAACGCCGAGAAGATTTCCCAAAAAATGAAGTTCAATAACAATATTATTGTTGGACGCGACAAATTATTATAAGAACTAAACTTCTAAATTTAGTTACATTTCAAAACTTTTTTGTTATAGTTCAAAGTTCATAAAACTTAAGCAATCATTATATTAATTAATTTTTTCATACATTTTTAGTTTATTTCCAATAGTTAGTTAAAAGTTACTCTATTATTAATAAAACAAATATGTAGTATAATACACTATAAAACTATAGTTATTTCCAATTACTGTTAACATTTATGATAGATTTGCTTATTAATAAACATAGATTAACTAAACTATAAAATTAAAAAAAAATAGTTATTCGAAATAACCCATTTCTTTGCCAAATCTGTAATCGTTCGAAATTACGATATTTTTAAGTAAGCATAAATCCATTGCCAGACACGAGAATTACAGTGCAAATATTATTACGTGTTCACGAATAAACAGAATTAATTTATTTACTACAATAATTTAAAATTAAACAATTTTAGTTACTTAATTCTGAATTAGTTTATATATAAGTAAAGAGATTTGCTCATTCTGAACATTCGTTTGCACTTAGTTAAATCAACGTGAAGAATGTTTTTTTTTTTTAAATGAATTGGGTGTGTAAATATGTTCGCGTCCAGATTTGTAACTTATTGCAAGAAGTTTCATGCTGAGAGCGTGGTTATCGTTGGACGCGAATATAAAGAACACAGATTTTGGAAGAATCTGTGCCACGTCTAAATATAAACTCTCCAGCGTCGAAAGAGGGAAGAAAGAAAAAAACAAACAAAAAACATCTCTAAATTTGTACCTCCACATTACTTTTTTTTTCTTTTGAAAATCAAGTTTAAGTAATTACTGTCTTAAAACTAATTAGATAACTAAATAACAATTAAATATATGTGGAAATCAACATAATTAAAATTAAAGAATAACAAGCACCTGAAGAATGATCAGTAAATGTTTATATAATTTAGATCTATAGATTGTACTGAATTTGTGCACCAAGCCAAAATGTTTTTTTTTTTCATTCTAAATTAATGCTTTAAAATTTGGTTATAGAATGTTGTCATAAATTTTTGAGAAGTTGAAACTTGGTGTACGATAAAATGGATCGAGTGCAGAAAGTGTTGGTGTGATGAAAAGAATAATAAAAAGAAATGAGTAAAATAAAACAGGAATACGCGAAGATATTTTGGGCGTTTTTGGCTCGGATCCCAGAAGCGCTTGGACACGAACCGGCATTTCTCGCATCCCTCTCCTCTTCTACTCGGCATTATTTAATGGACTATTCATTGATTTAAATTTACCAAGGGTAACTTTCCATCTCTAATAATAATCGACGACTATTGCAATGATTAATTCTATATAGATTTGGACTTGCATGTGATGACAATGATTCACTTTCTGACAAAAAAAATAAACTATTTGTTAGAATGCAAAGTCAATTCAATACTTTTATTGATGATGTGATTGATATGTAATCATAATTTTTAAGGATCTGTGAATGAGTATTCAAAAATATATGGTTTAGATTTATATGACTCAATGCTCTAAATTTGCTTCAGTTAATAATAACGTTATAGCTAATAGTTGTTTATGAAGGTTTACTAAGTTTAAAAATAACATTAGGCGTAATGTATTAGTATAGAAGAAAAAGTGCAAGTATTTTTTCTATAATCAACATTTTGATTATTATCCAAAGACCTTATAATTTTCGTAAGTGAAAATAAATGAAATGATTGGTTGATTTCAATTTAATTTGAGAAATTATCAGATTTCTATTTTTAAATATTATTAGTTATTTTCATTCTGAACATCCGGTGGGTTATTTTTATTTTGGCAAATTGTTTCTTCGCATATTTTGGGTACCGATTGTTGATGTGAAATTAATATTTTCTTTAAGATTACTTTTAATTTTTTTACAAAATTATGGCTATAATATTTCCGGTCCACTTTTGGCAAATTAGTCATAGAAGGTGTATTCACGTATTTAGAGATAATTGGTCGAAAGTAATTTTACATAAGGGTCTTTTTCTTTTGCGGTGCGTCGCGACGCCGCTCTCGCTTGTTCGAGTCGAAGCGGACGCCCATTGGCCAGAGCAAAGATAGTTGCTCCAAAAATGGACGCCTGAAACAGGATAGCTAGTCGATAAAAATAGACTGGCTCTGGCTTGCTTTTGCTTTGCTTGCGCTTGGACGTTGAGCGAAAGATTGGATTGGCGAAGAATACCACCTACGTGCGAATCCTTTGTTGTTGTTGATGATGATTTTTAGGAAGAATGATGTTATGTTATGCTAAATGGATGGTCTTTTTTTTGTTTCGAATGATTTTGCAGTGCACGGTGGACAGATCCAGCAGACTGGAGGAGTTCAACAGCAGATCACCGGGTTCGGACCGAATGCGGCACCGCCCGTCTTCGAGAAGATCTTCAGCAATGCGCGCTTCGCGCAAGGTGGAAACGCGTGCTTCGATGGACGCGTCACCGGAAAACCCCAGCCCACCGTGACCTGGACCCGCAAGGGAGCTCCGCTCGTCGAGTCCAACAAATTCCGGTTGTCCTACAACAGCCAGACCGGAGAGATCACCCTGCAGATCAACCAGATCGGACCAGGAGATGAGGGAGAATACGTCTGCACAGCTAGAAACCAATACGGAGAAGCCATCTGCTCCGTATACATCTCACCAGAAGGAATGCAGATGCCACCAATGCAACAACAACAGGGTTTCCACAAGACCGTTCAGCAGTCGACAACATCGTCGTCCTCCTACTCGAACGGTCACATGGTCGAAGAGTTCAAGATCGACACGTTCGAGTACAGAATCTTGCGCGAGGTCTCCTACAGGGAGTCCATAACGCGCCGCACATCTAGCGAAAAGGACGTGCAAATGTCGACGGTTGTCGAGAGATCTTTAGGGCCACCAGCACCGCCGCAAATCTCCCAGAAACCTCGCAACTCCAAGTTGCTTGAGGGCTCCGATGCTGTGTTCTCCGCAAAGGTCTCCGCCAATCCAAGGCCGCGCCTTTCCTGGTTCAAGAACGGCCAGAGAATCACCGAAACTCAAAAGTACGAAACGACGTTCTCGAACAACCAAGCAACCCTTCGCGTGAAGCAGGCGCAAGCCCAAGATTCCGGCCACTACACTCTGTTGGCCGAGAATCCTCAAGGATGCGTCGTGTCGTCTGCATATTTGGCCATCGAACCGGTCACTACGCAGGAGGGTTTGATCCACGAATCCACCTTTAAGTCGCAACACGTCGAGGAAGTCGACCAAACCGATTCAACGAAAACGCTCGCCCCGAATTTCGTGCGCGTCTGCGGAGATCGCGACGTGACCGAGGGTAAGATGACCCGTTTCGACTGCAGGGTCACAGGTCGTCCGTATCCCGAGGTGACCTGGTTCATCAACGGTCGCCAGGTCACGGACGATCACACCCACAAGATCCTGGTGAACGAGTCCGGAAATCATGCACTCATGATCACCAATGTCGGACGCAACGACTCTGGCGTCGTGACCTGCGTCGCCCGCAACAAGACAGGCGAAATCTCCTTCCAATGCAATCTGAATGTGATCGAGAAGGAGCAGGTCGTCGCCCCAAAGTTCGTCGAACGCTTCACTACCGTCAACGTCAAGGAGGGAGAACCCGTGGTCCTTAACGCCCGGGCCGTGGGCACTCCCATCCCCCGCATCTCCTGGCAGAAGGACGGCGTTCCACTTGCGAACAGCCCCGATGTTCGCATCGCCATCGACGGTGGAGCCTCCACTTTAGATATTCCGCGAGCCAAGGCGTCGGATGCTGCATGGTACCAATGCACAGCGCAAAATGTAGCCGGCTCCACCGCAACGAGGGCTCGTCTCTTCGTCGAAACACCACAAGGACCGACGCCCGAGCCCAGGCGCCTCCATCTGCCAAGACCCACCAAAGTCATCGAACCTGAGTAAGTCATTCATAAATATAACAAGAAATTTGGATTCATATTCATCAACATCTTTTTCTTTTCTTATTGCAGACCCGCTCCAGGCCCTGAAGTTATCTACCTTCGCCACGTCGAGCCTTCCCGTCCCTTCGCCCCGGCATCTGAGGAGGACCGCGTTTACCCACCTCCTCAATTCATTATTCCCTTGAGGGATGCAATTCAAGTGGAAGGTGGCAAGGTGCACTTCGAGGCACGCATCGAACCCGTCGGCGATCCCACCATGCGCGTCGAATGGTTCCTCAATGGAAAACCTCTTGCTGCCAGTAAGATATAATATGCATGTACACCACTCTTCCATATTTAACTATATCTTAACGTTCAAGGTTCCCGTGCGACTTATGTGTTCCGTTTCGGATACATCGCTTTGGATCTGCTGAGCATCATCATGCACGACAGTGGAGAATACGTTTGCCGCGTGACCACTGCAACCGGCACCTGCGAATCCCGTGCCACTCTCAGCATTCAATCTAAACAAGCAATCGAACGCACCAGCCAACATCCTGATAGCTTACAGTACATCCAGCAACTCGAGGATTACTCCAGATACCAGAGGCAGGACAGTCTCGAAGAAAAGTCCGCGCAAAAACCTCACTTCATCCGTCCACTCCAAGATTTAGGTGATCTGCAGGAGGGCCGCAACGCCCACTTCGAAGCGCAGCTCACCCCTGTCAGTGATCCAACTATGAAAGTGGAGTGGTACAAAGATGGCAGACCCATTACAGCCAGCTCACGGATTACGGCGATCTTCAACTTCGGTTACGTCTCCCTAAACATTATGCACCTACGTGCCGAAGATGCAGGATCGTACACGGTCCGTGCCGTTAATCATCTCGGAGAAGCTATCAGCACCTCAACCATCCGCGTGCTCTCGCGTTCAACAGTCACCGGAGACCTGGGTATTCCAGAACAGCAGAGGTACATCGAAAAGGTCGAAGAACTCGAAGCCTACCAACAGCACCAGCACCAAAAGTACGTGCAGGAAACACCGGAATGCATGCAAGCGCCCGAATTCAAAACGCCGATCAAAGACCAGCAGGGCGTCCGCGAGGGCGGGTTCGCCCACTTCGAAGCCCGTTTGGAACCAGTCGGAGATTCAACTCTCCGCGTTGAATGGTTGAAAGACGGACGCCCCGTCGAAGCCAGCTCCAGAATCACGAGCTTCTTCAACTTCGGTTACGTCGCCCTCACCATCAAGGATGTGACCGTACGCGATGTAGGCAATTACACTTGCCGCGCCTACAACGCCATGGGCGAGGCTCACACCAAAGCCCAACTAAGTGTCATCAGCAAGAAAGATATTCTCGTCGATTCGCAGCATCCAGGTGGTTTGGAGAAGATCCAATACCTGGAAGATTCCAGCCGTTACCAGCGTAGCGACAAGGAAGAGATTACCGTCACCCAGAAGCCCAGATTCATGGGTCCACTCAAGGGTACCAACAAGATCGTCGACGGACAACGCGCCCACTTTGAAGCCAGAGTTGAACCGCAGAGCGATCTCTCTATGAAAATCGAATGGTACTTTAACGGAAAGCCCATCCAAAGTGCTAACCGCATTCAAACTTACCACGATTTTGGATACGTATCCCTAGACATCATGAGCGTCCGCGAAGAAGACGCGGGCACTTACACCGTAGTCGCCAGAAACGCACTTGGCGAAGCCCAATTGTCCGCCAGCATGGTCGTTGAGAGTATGTTTGATAATATATAATTTTATAATAGAAATCTAATTGATAATATTAAATTGCAGCCCGCTCCAGCATCGATACCAGAAGCATGCACCGTGGTGCCTATGAAAAAACTCAACATCTTGAAGAGTCCAAATTTATTGAACCTCAATATCAAATCGAAGAGATTTCAAAATCCAAGCCCATCTTCGTACAGCCATTGTCCGACCCAAGACCGGTAACTGAAGGCCGCAACATCCATCTGGAGTGCCGTCTGGAACCGATGGGAGACCCAACCATGAGAGTTGAATGGTTCTGCAACGGAAAGTCCATCACCGTTGGTTCAAGATTCAGAACCTACAACGATTTCGGTTTCGTTGCTTTGGACATTGTCCAAGCCAACGCTTCCGATTCCGGAGAGTACACTGTAAGAGCCACCAACCACTTGGGCTCTGCTCACACCTCCGCCTGTGTCCGCGTCGTCGGTAGATCCGACATCATCACTGAAACCCAGCACGAACAATCTTTGGAGCAGATCCAAATGCTCGAAGACCGCAGCCGTAAGCAGGTCACCGAAGAGGTCACCGTCTTCCAAGCACCGCAATTCACCAGACCATTGCATAATATCGAGACTGTCGAAGGTACCAACGTTCATATGGAATGCAGATTGCAACCAGTAGGAGACCCAACGATGAAGGTCGATTGGTTCTGCAACGGACGTCCTATTAAGGTTGGACATAGATTCCGTCCAGCCTACGACTTCGATTACGTCGCTTTGGATTTGTTGAGCGTTTACCCAGTAGACTCTGGCGTATACACTTGCCAAGCCAGAAACCAACTCGGCGAAGCTGTTACTTCTTGCTCCGTCAAAGTAATCGCCAAGAAGGATCTGATGTTGGAATCTCAACATCCATCCGGATTGGAGAAGATTCAATATCTGGAAGATTCGTCCCGCTACAAGCGCACGGAATATATGGACGAAATTATCAACATCAAGCCGAAATTCATCACCAAACCGAAGAGCGTCGATGGAATGCTCGAAGGACAGCATTGCCACTTTGAATGCAAGATCGAGCCAGTCACCGATTCCAACTTGAAGGTTGAATGGTTCAAGAACGGTCGTCCAATCACCATCGGACATAGGTTCCGTCCCATCCACGATTTCGGTTACGTTGCCCTCGACATCGTCGATTTAATCGCCGAAGATTCTGGCACCTATACCTGCCGCGCCGTCAACTTGGTAGGAGTTGACGAGACTTCTTGCACACTCTCGTGCCGCGGTACCAAGCAAATCGTTACGCAAACCCAGAACCAACAAGGTTTGCAACAGATCCAACACCTGGAGGATCGCTCCAGATACCAGCGCTCCGAACAAATTGAGGAGACGACAACTCAGGCCCCAACTTTCACCACCTCTTTGAAGAATGTTGAAATCAAGGAAGGACAAAGGGCTCACTTTGAATGTCGTCTGATTCCGGTGTCCGATGCGACCATGAAGGTCGAATGGTTCCACAACAATCAACCGGTTAAATCCGGCTCCAGGTTCTCTGAAACCAACAATTTCGGTTTTGTCGCCCTGGACATCCTCTACTGTTACCCAGAGGATTCCGGAACTTACACCTGCAGAGCCATCAACGCTGTCGGCGAAGCCATGACTTCGGCCGTATGCGTAGTTCAATCGAAGAAATCTATTTACTCGGAGACAGTGCACGAAGGAGCATTGGAGCGTCTCAGACAATTAGACGATTCCACCAGATACAGCAAGAGCAGCGTGCAAGAAGAAACCATCACCCAAGCTCCGGTCTTTACTTTGCCCATCAAAGATCTGCGTGTAGCTGAAAACCAAGCCGCACACTTCGAGGCTAGATTGATCCCAGTCGGTGACACCAATCTCAGGGTGGAATGGCTCAGGAATGGAGTTCAAATCCAAGCTTCCAACCGCATCTCCACGATGCACGACTTCGGTTATGTCGCTCTGAACATGAAGTACGTTAACCCAGAGGATTCCGGCACCTACACTTGCAGGGCTATCAATGAATTGGGTGAAGCCGTAACAACTGCCACCATGGTTGTACAATCTAAGGCTTCCTTGGATATGGAAACTCAACACGAAGGTGCCTTGCAAAAGCTCAGGCAACTCGAGGATTCCTCCAAATACCAACGCAGAGAGGAGGAGGAGATTGCCGTAACTCAAGCGCCAAGATTCACTACCCAATTGAATGGCCCCACCGAACTCATCGAAGGTCAAAGCGCACACTATGAGTGCCGCATCGAGCCATACCCAGACTCCAACCTGAAGGTCGAATGGTTCCACAACGGAAAACCATTGACCACTGGACATCGTTTCCGTACAGCCTATGATTTCGGTTTCGCCAGTTTGGACGTTCTCAGTGTTTACGCCGAAGATTCCGGCGAATACACGTGCAGAGCTACCAATCGCTTGGGACATGCCGTTTCTTCGGTCGTCACTACCGTCAAATGTAAATATTACAAATTAAATTATTTAAAACATTGTACTAATTTCAAATATTATTTTTAGCCAAATCATCCATCATTCGTGAAACTCAGCACGAAGGAGCATTGCAGAAGATCCAATACTTGGAAGATGATTCTCGCTACAAGAAGACGAGCCAAGAAGATGCTATCACCTTAGAGAAGCCCCAATTCGGTAGAGGATTGAAGAACATTGAGCGTTTGGCCGAAGGCCGCAGCGCTCATCTGGAAGCCACTTTGACTCCAGTTAACGATCCAACCATGAAGGTGGAATGGTTCTGCAATGGAAGACCAATCCAAACAGGCCATCGTTTCAAGACAACCTATGACTTTGGATACGTCGCTCTTGATATCCTCTACGCTTACGCTGAAGATTCCGGCACCTACATGTGTAGAGCCAGAAACGCCGCCGGAGAAGCTGTTACCACTTCTTCGGTTTCCGTTGTCGCCAAGTCCGGTTTAGAATTGGATACCATGGACGAACAGCGTTTAAAGAAGATCAGGGATTTGGAGAACTACGAAAGGCCGAGACGCGAGGAAGTCGAACCTCAGGCTCAAAGACCAGTCTTCCTGACTCCACTTGTCAGCTTGGAGAATTTGAAGGAAGGAGAGCACGCTCACTTAGAATGCCGCGTCGAGCCAATCAACGACGCCAACTTGAAGATCGAATGGTTCGTGAACGGTGTTAAATTGAAGACCGGTCACAGATTCAGGACCACCCATGACTTTGGCTACGTCGCCCTTGATATCCTCTACGCCTATCCGGAGGATAGCGGCACCTACATGTGCAAAGCAACCAACTTGGTCGGTGAAGCTGTCAATACTTGCACCATTCGCGTCGGAGGACGCAGAAGCATCCTGCTCGATACCCACCATCCGGAGGGTTTGGAGAAGATCAGGGAACTCGAGGCTCAAGGCCATCCAGCCCGTTTGGAAGTCGAAGAACCGGTACCGTTCCCACCCAGATTCGTCACAGAATTGCGTGGAACGACCGAATTGTACGAGGGTCAAACCGCTCACTTTGAAGCGCAAATCGAACCCATCCACGATCCAAATCTGCGCATTGAGTTCTACCACAATGGAAAGCCACTTCCAAGTGCCGCTCGCTTCCATATCACCTTCGACTTTGGCTACGTGGCTCTTGATATCGGCCACGTCGTCCCCGAAGATGCTGGAGAATACTCCGTCAAGGCCATCAACAACCTTGGCCAGTGCACGTCTTCACTCAACTTCCGCGTCATTGCTAAGAGCAACATTATCCTGGATTCGCAACGTCCAGAGGGATTGGACAAAATCCGTCAATTGGAGGAACAAACTCCACACAAGAGACCAGAAGTGGACGAACCAGCTACAAGACAACGTCCCGTTTTCACTCAACCATTGCAGAACATCGATTACATCCAAGAAGCCCAAACGGCTCACTTCGAATGCCGCCTGATTCCAGTCGGCGATCCAACCCTGAAGGTAGAATGGTTCCGCAACGAGAAACCATTGGAAGACAGCTCAAGAATCACCAAAATGCACGACTTCGGTTACGTATCCCTCGACATCTCGCACGTACGCGACGAAGATGAGGGCGTTTACATGTGCAGAGCGTCCAATCCTCTTGGAGAAGCTGTCACGACTGCCTCTATGAAAATTAGAAGTAAGTTTAATTAAATTTTAGTGCATTGGAAGATCGTTTACTAATTGTTGTTTATATTTTATAGCCAAAGCCAGCATCCAATTGGATACTCAACATCCTGAAGGTATGCGCAAGATTCAGCAATTGGAGCAGCCGCACGCCCGCCGTCCCGATGAACCCGAAAGGGCCTTCGAGAAGCCAATCTTCACCCAACTGCTCACAGGTCCATCCGAGCTGTGGGAAGGCCAACATGCCCACTTTGAGGCTAGGGTTGTACCAGTTGGAGATCCCAACATGCGTTTCGAATGGTACGTGAACGGCGTCGAGCTTAAATTGGGCTCCAGATTCCGCGTTACGCACGACTTTGGTTTCGTCACACTCGACATCATGTCTACCATCCGCGAGGATTCCGGAGTTTACATGTGCAAGGCAATCAATAAGTCCGGAGAAGCCGTCTCCTCGATCTCGATGAAGGTGAAGCAGCGTTCCAACATCGCCGGCGAACCTTTGCAACCTGACGCGTGGCAGAAGATCCAACTGAAGGAAGCCGAGATGAACAAAGTGCCGGAGATGTTCGTGGACACCCATCCACAGCAAGCACCAGTATTTACCACTCATCTTCAGAGCTTCGATAAGTTAACCGAAGGTCAACACGTCTACTTGGAAGCTCAAGTCGAACCAAGGGCTGACCCCAACTTGAGGGTTGAATGGTTCAAGAACGGTATCACCTTGACAACCGGTACCAGATTGCGTAGCACTTTCGACTTTGGCTTAGTGACCCTTTCCATCAACGGTTTGAGGGCCGACGATTCTGCTATTTACACCTGCAAAGCAACCAATCTAATCGGCGAAGCCGTCTCAACGTGCACGTTGAAGATTGAAGACAAGCACTGGTTGCTTGGACAATCCTTGCATCCGGAAGCTATTCCAAAACTGGAAGCACTCGAAGTTCCTAAAGAAGGAACCGCCGACCGTCCAGAACCGACCTATGAAACACCAATCTTTATCACCCACTTGAACAACGTCGAGTGCACTGAAAGCGAAAATGTTCACTTCGAATGCCACGTCGAACCATCGAAAGATCCGACCATGAAGATCGAATGGTACGTTAACGGCAAACCATTACCAAGTGGAGCCAGATATAAGTCCACCTACGACTTTGGCTACGTTGCTCTGGACATCAATCATTCTTATGAAGAGGATTCCGGCGTTTACACTTGCAAGGCCATCAACAGCAAGGGTTCAGCCACTACATCCGGAACTCTGCGCTGCACAAGCAAGGAGAACATCTACAGAAACACCCAGCATCCTCAAGGCAAGGCCGGTTTGGACAAGGTGCAAGAAGTCGAGGACGCTGTTGCCGGTAAGCTGCAACGTCAAGCGTCAGGACCAGAGAAGGAATTCGCCAAACCAGTTTGGACCATTCCACTTAACGCTGAATTCAAAATAAGCGAAGGAAAACCGTTACACCTTGAAGCCACCGTCGAGCCAAAGGAGGATCCCAACCTGAAGATCGAGTGGTTCTTCAATGGAAAATCGCTGGATCATGCATCCAGATTCAAGCTGACCAGCGACTTTGGCTTCGTCACTCTGGACTTAACCGACGTTTACGAACGCGATCAAGGCATTTACACCTGCAAGGCATGGAACAAATCTGGCGAGGCTTTCACCTCGACCACGATTTACTGCACAACAAAGGCCGGTTTGATCGAGCGCACCCAACATCCTAAAGGACAAGAAGGTTTAGAAAAGATCCAAGACTTGGAAGATGCCCTCAACAGACCAGAGGGAAGACTCCCAGAGTCCGACGAAGGTCACGCTCCTATTTTCACATCGGAATTCACCGAACTCACCAATCTCAGTGAAGGAGAAATCGCTCATTTCGAAGCCGGACTTACACCGATCGGCGATCAAACCATGAAAGTCGAATGGTTCTACAACAGCAAGACCATCGATGCCAGTCACAGGTTCAGGACCGTCCACGCTTTCGGCATGGTCGTTCTTGAGGTTCTTGGTACCAAGATTGAGGATTCCGGCACTTACACTTGCATTGCTACAAATGCATGGGGTAAGGCCGAACAAAGCGTTAAGCTTGAATGCGTCGACAAGTCAAAGGGACAACCACCCAAATTCACCACTCAAATCAAGGATATCGTTGGACTCAAGGACGGACAACCAGCTCACTTCGAGTGCAATCTCATCCCAGTCAACGATCCAAAACTCAAAGTCGAATGGTTCCACAATGGACAACCGCTTTTGCAATCTTCCAGGATCAAGACCGTCTCCGACTTTGGCTTTGTCGTTATGGATATTTCCTACACCGAAAATCACGATTCAGGTGAATACGTCTGCAAAGCCAGCAATTTGTACGGCGAAGATTACACCAAGGCTTCGATCAATGCCTACGGAAGAAGCGGAGTGTTTACCGAGAGTTTGCAACCCGATTCTTTGGCGAAGATCCGAGAACTCGAAAGCTATCAAGGACAACAATCCCAAGTTTCTGCTACTGTTGTTACTGAGCCACCAAAGTTTATCACACAGATCGTTGATGTGACCAAATTGGTTGAGGGACAAAGCGCTCACTTTGAAGCTCGCTTAACACCAGTTACCGACCCAGATCTTGTAGTCGAATGGTACTACAACGGCAAGAAACTGCCGCACGGACACAGGTATCGCACGTTCCACGATTTCGGAATTGTCATCCTGGATATTCTCTACTGTTACGAAGAGAATTCCGGCTTGTACGAGTGCAGGGCTTACAACAAATATGGAGAGGATTCCACCAAAGCAACGCTGAAGTGCGTGTCGAAGGCTAATCTAATCTTGGACTCGCAACTACCGCGGGTAAGTTTACTATTATTAACTGTCTTCTCATAGAAATATTAATAATATATGTAATCTGTACAGGGCATGGAAGGCGGTTTGGAGAAAATCCAAACATTGGAAGATTCGATGGTCCGCATCAGAGACGAGAAGGTAACTGAGGAGCGCGGAAAGGCTCCCGTCTTCACCGTTCCTTTGTCCAACATCGACAATCTCCGCGAAGGAGAGAACGCCCATTATGAGGCACGCCTTACACCCACCGACGATCCCAAACTGAAGGTGGAATGGTTCTGGAACGGAAAACCTCTGAGGACCGGTTCAAGGTTCCGCACTTTCTGCGACTTTGGTTTTGTCATCTTGGAAATCTCTCCAGTATACCCAGAAGATTCCGGCGAGTACTCGTGCAGAGCATTCAACGAATACGGCGAAGCCGTCACCACAGCCTCGATGAAGGTTCAAGGCAAGAGGAGCATCATCCTCGAATCCCAATTGCCGAAGGGCATGGAAGGTACCATCGATAAAATCGCCGAACTCGAAGGTTTGGGTGTGGCCCCAAGCCAGATGACACCTGATGATGATACCGGCAAACCACCTGAATTCATCACAACTCCATCAGATTTGACTTTGTCAGAGAACTCTTTGGCCCACTTCGAGTGCAGGTTGACCCCTGTAAACGATGCTAGTATGAGAGTGGAATGGTTCCACAATGGTAAAGCTCTTTGGGCCGGCTCCAGGATCAAGACTATCAACGACTTCGGTTTCGTCATCCTCGAAGTCGCCGGAGTCTACCAAAGAGACTCCGGTTTGTATACTTGCAAGGCGACCAATAGGCACGGTGAAGCCACCGTTTCGTGCAAGTTGCAAGTACGCGGAAGACAAGGAATCATCATGGAACCTCAACTTCCATCAAACTTCCGCTCTGGCACCGAGAGCATCCAAAAATTGGAGGAGCAACTTTACAAGCGCGACGAGATCATGAGCGAAGAAGAGAAACCAGATCCACCCAGGTTCACCGTCGACATCAAGGATAACGTTGATGTTATGGAAGGTGGTCCAATCCACTTCGATTGCCGCGTCGAGCCAGTCAATGATCCAACGATGAGAATCGATTGGTTCCATAACGGCCGACCATTCGCCACCGGCTCTCGCGTTCACCAATTGAACGACTTCGGTTTCATCGCCATGGACATCGATTATTCTTATAATCGTGACGCTGGTGAGTACATCTGCAGAGCCTCTAATAAGTGGGGATCCGCCACCACCAAGGCCACCGTAACAACTAAATCCAAGCGCAACATCGATTTCGAATCGCAACTTCCGTCCGGCATGAGCGCCGAGAAGTTGAAGGAATTGGAACGCGGTCCAGTCTCCGAAGCACCAAAAGAGGATGCTCCGATGGGACCACCCAAGTTCATCACTCACATCGAATCTGCAACCGTCGATGAATCGGAGACTGTACGCTTCGAATGTCGCGTCGAACCCAAGGAAGACCCCAGACTCAAGATCGAATGGTACAGGAACGGCAAATTGCTGCCTTCTGGTCATCGTTACAGGACTGTCTACGACATGGGCTTCGTTTCTTTGGACATCCTTTGCGTCTACTCAGAGGATTCCGGTGAATACGTCTGTCGCGCTTACAACGATTATGGCGAAGACTTCACCAAGGCCAACATTTCGTGCAAGAAACTCCCCAACATCATATTGCAAAACCAAGTGCCAAAGGGCATGAAGAAATCCGAAACTTTGATGCAGATGGAAGCGGCCATCAAGAAGTACACTTCTGAAATCCATTTGACCGAGGATGATCTGTACGACGTCGACAAGAAACAACCTCCGAGGTTCGTCACCCAAATCTTGGATCAGACGAGCTTGGTTGAAATGCAGACAAGCAAATTCGAGTGCCAACTCGCACCTGTTGGCGATCCAAATATGAAGGTCGAATGGTTCTTCAATGGAAAACCGTTGCCACATAGTAAGTTTAAATCTTATGACAATATAATTTATGTACAAAAATATTTATAAATATAATTTGTGTTACAGAAAATCGATTCACTCCCATCTACGACTTCGGTTATGTGGCAATGAACTTTGGATGGGTTTACCCAGAGGACAGCGGAGAATACCTCTGCAGGGCTACTAATTTGTATGGCATGGATGAAACTAGGGCTATCATAAAGACTGCTGGAAAACCGGGCATCATCTACGATTCGCAGTTACCAAAGGGCATGAAGAGTATTGAGAAAATCAGAGAGATGGAAGCTGCTTGGCAGATGTACGTAAACATTTATATATATTGATAGATAATAATTATTGAAATTAATTTTGTGCAGTGCTCCCGAAGAAGCAGAGGAGGAATCTAAACCAAAATCAGCGCCGATATTCGTATCGAAACCAGAACCTTGCATCGTCGAGGAGGGAGAATGGGCTAGGTTCTGCTGCCGCGTTACGGGTCATCCAAGACCAAGGGTTATGTGGTTGGTAAACGGACATACCGTGGTCAACGGCTCCAGATATCGTCTGACCTATGACGGTATGTACCACATGGACATCCCGAAGACCCGCCAATACGACACCGGCAAAGTGGAGGTCATCGCCAGGAGCTCCGTGGGAGAGGCCATTGCCGAAACCGAACTTAAAGTAATACCAAGACACGACGACTACCGCGGCGTCCTCAAGAATTCTCCAAGACGTGAGTTACTCCTTCCCACTTGATAACACCACACTCTCAGATATATTCATAATACTTTACACAATGCAAAAGATATATAAGCCTAACACGCCAAATATATATAGAAACAATCCTCGTTCACAAATATAAACCAACCTATCCTTCCATCATCTAAAAAAAATAAAAAAAATAAACCATAAGAAGCTTAGGAGCATTTCATCAAGAGGTTTCATGGGTCAGGTATGATTTACCTGTTTTGCATGTTATGTATTGTGTATCGTATTGTGTAGCGTCTCTTCTTTTTCTTTTATTTGATCATTTTTTGATGTACCTTTTTTTTTGCACTAACTAAAATGTCCGTTGTTGAAAAATAATGTTTGTGTGTACGTGTGTCTAGCGTGGTACGATTTAGAGTTGTCGAGTTACCAGAAAGAGCGTCAAGAAACCGAACTCGAGAAATTTTTCGATGAACGAAATGAATCCCTCAAGGAAAGTGGCCACTCGTTGAGCGGCATCAACGTGCAACCTAAAGTGTTCAAGGGCTCAGAGACCGAGTGGCAGCAGCTGGCCAAATCCAAGAAGGGCGAAGAGTACTACAACAAGCTGCAGGAGCTCGAGAACGAGCAACTGACTAAAGAGATCAAGCTCAGGGAAACGAGCCACCAGTTTGCCATTCCCGGCGAGAAGGTGGTCAACAGCAGCGTGGCAAGAGGGATGGCACAGAAATATCAAGAAAACTTGTAAGTGCATTCGTTAATTATATGTTTATGTGCGTTTTAACAATTTTTATATTGCTGTTATGCAGGGAACAACAACCGGAAGACAGAGTTTTGGGTCCAATCCCTCATTTACCGAGGGGGCAAATGACCGAGGAACAAGAGCAAGTCCATCTAAGGAAGACGCAAAAGGGAAAGCAGCAGCACCAGACCATCCACGAGGTGGACTCCAAGTCGGGAGCGTATCCACCTGATCCAACTGAATCCGGCGTGCATGGCCGCGAGATCCACGTTACCAAGCAGAAGCAAACTCAGAAGGAAACCAAGGGCGACCTTGAAATCACCCGCAACATCACTTCCACCGAAACCACAGATGTCGAGCACAAAGCTAAGACGCAGGAACGTCTGGTGCAAGGCCAAGTCTTGCCTGCCAATCCACCATTCTTCACTAAGAAGATTCAACCGTGCAGAGCGTTTGAGAATGATTCCGCCAAATTCGAGGTGGAATTCGACGGCGATCCATTGCCAAAGGTCACCTGGTACAGGGAAGACTTCCCGATCACCAGCTCTCCGGATCTCAAAGTCTACACCTTCAGCACCAAATCCATCTTGCAGATGCGCCAGGTCTTCATGGAAGACTCGGGCGTGTTCAGCGTCGTCGCCGAGAACCGCGGAGGAACTGCTAAATGCAGCGCCAATTTGGTTGTGCAAGAGAGGAGGAGGACAGGAAGAGGAGGTGTCGTCCCACCGAGTTTCGTGAGCACCGCTCAAAGTGCTACAGCTACCACCGGACAATTGGTTCGTTTCGATGCGAGAATCAACGGCACAAAACCCATAGACGTTTACTGGCTAAAGAACGGAAAGAAAATCGTACCGGACATCCGCTACAAGACACTCGAAGAGGACGAAGTCTACACTCTGTTGATCATCGAGGTCGTTCCCGAAGATTCCGGTAAATACGAGTGTGTGGCCATCAACAACGCCGGAGAAGCCCGCTGCGAAGCTGAATGCGTCGTGCAAGCACCGGCGACTCCAGCCAAACCAGCGAAACCGACGACTCCAGGTGCCGAAAAAGCCCCATCCGTCATCGAACCATTGAAGGATCAAACCATTCGCGAAGGACAATCCGTTGCATTCAAATGCAAGATCAGCGGCAAACCGACTGCCCAAATCAAATGGCAGAAGGGTGATAAAGTCATCAAACCGTCGAAGTACTTCCAAATGGTCAAGGACGGTGATGTCTGCACTTTGAAGATCAGCGAAGCTTTCCCTGAAGACGAAGGAGTCTACAAATGCGTCGCCACGAATCCCGCTGGCACCGTAACATCCCAGGCCAACCTAAGAGTTTTAGCCCCCGACAGCCAAGACGTACTTCCATCACTGACCAAAATGAAGGACGTGACAGTCCCGGAAGGAAGCCCGGCTCAATTCAAGACCACCGTTTCCGGAAAACCCAAGCCCACCATTCAATGGTTGCGCGAAGGATTTTTGATCCCAGAATCACCAGATTTTCAGGTAAAAACGCAAATAAAACCAACAGCATTTCCAATCAGCATAATTTATTAACGTCAAATTTAAACCAACAGATGATTCACGAAGGAAACAACGCCGTGCTTCTGATTTCGAGCACCTACGAAGAAGACACCGGAACCTTCACGTGCCGCGCCACGACATCCGCCGGACAAGTCGAGCAGTCCGCTAAATTGATCGTTAAAAGTAAGAACTAAATTCATTTAATCTATAAACATATATATATATATCTATATTTCTGGTGATGGTTGTTCTAATTTTACGTTTAACTCATTACTCTTTATTTTATTATTACTTTTTCCTTTTCTGTTGTTATTGTTTAAGTTCCAAGTGATTTTTGTTTGTTAGGAATGAATTTGATATTTAAAGCTTCTCGCTTCACAAGATTAAGAAAAAAAAACATAGAAAACCATATTTTAGTCGAAAGATTAATTTAGAACAAAAAAAAATAATAATAATCATTCATGAAATATGTGCTTTATTTATTACGTAAACGTATAAAGTATTTGAAGAATTTGAAAAATTACAAAAAAAAAAAAATATATAAACATGAACACTAATTGTTATGAAATGTATAGTTTTAGTGCATTATTACAAATAAATTGCTATATTATCATATTATCTTTGAGTTTGACACAACATTTGACCCAATTACGTTATTTTTCTCTCTGTCCTTCGGGATACATTTTCTTTTTAATGAGGAATAATAACTTTTTTATTTATTTTTATTTTTTCAAAGCTAAATATACATATTTTTTTTGTATTAGCTTTATTGTTTTTCAATCTCTTTTTATTTTGTAATCGATATACACACAGTAGTAGTTTGTATGTTTGTATTATTTTTGGAGTGTGGAGTTGCGTATGGAGCAAGATTTGCTCTGGCTTGCAAGTAAATATTTGAATCGAGTAAACAGAGTTTGAGTGCATTTCGCTGGAGGAGACTGTGGATGAGGTGAAGGAGGTGGAGGAGGAGGAGGAAGAAAAAGAAGAAGGTCTATTTACAAAGATGTTCTTTTGGTGCTGTGAGCAAAGTTCGGTCGGGTCGTGTGCATTGGAACGCGCAGCAGGGAGAAACTATTTTAAACTTTCCGTGTATTACATTACGGATCTAAATTAGGAGCGCTCTTGCTCTCTCCCCATGTGGCAGCTCTACACCTATGTGCCAGATTATTACACCTTTGAATCATAGAGATGGAACCATTATTCATTCCTATTTTTAGGAGTGAATCACAATTTTTCTTTCGACGCGATGTCCTGCCATTGGGCAATAACGAAATATTGACCTACTACTAATGTACCAAAATGAATGCGATGACTTTGAAAAAAAATGTTTAGCCGTTGACTCATTTTGGCATTCGATCAAGACACCTCAACAATAACAATAGCATCATCGTCGTCGACGACATCATCATAATTTATCGATCATCATCATCCTAATTATGACTATCCTTTGACCCGCTTCGTCCTTGGTTTCCTTGAGCTAAATAACAGCGATATGCACTTAAACCAGCAAGAAAATGAAGACCATAGAAAGTAGATTTTATTGTGTAAAGTACAGTAATTACAAAATGAGAGAGAGAAACAAAGAAAAAAACAATATAAGTTTAGATATGTCCTTTAATGGTGAAACGGGTTCTCAATGCGTGTTTTGCTTTATAGCTAGAGCAGAAATTAACTTGGAACTTCAAACAATCACCACTTATTTAATTGTTTTGTATCCTGATCACTTCTGTAGGGTTCAATTAAAAGTCGCGCAAACGATGCAGCAGTTTCGCTCTGCGAAGAAGCGAAATTGGACCGTTTGCACGACTTCCAGACAACAACACTAAATCACTAAACATATATTTAAAAAGAACACACTGCACTGAACTGAACAAAAATCTCTTGAATATTTGTGTAAAATAATATATGAACACTGATATCACTGTTAGACGCGCACTGAAAGAAAGCAGTTACAGAAGCAGCTGCGGAGGTAGATGTATCCCCACACGTGCTTACCCACCGGTGTTTCACTTGTGTTTGTGTGTAGTTTTACTATTTCTGAGCTCTCTGCAGGAGGGAGGGCACGTCGTCAATCAAGACAACTCTCCTGCCGAGACTTTTCACGCACTTTACGCATCTGCGTATTGTTTCCATTATGAATCATTCCCGTCTCTAAATTTAGACACTCACACTCGTACGATACCAACGCACTCTCGTAAACGATTATGCTAGTCCACTGACTGTTATGTTTCATTTTCGTTTTCTTTTCCCGTTTTCGATGGATTTTCAGAGCGCACCGGAAAGGTTTACAGGAAAGCGGTCGTCACTCACGACATGACCAATGGCCAACAATTAATTACCAAACCGAGCGAAAGCCAACCCATCGATGGAATCGAGTTACCAATGGGTGACGAGACTCTGCCGTGGCGACGAACCGGCATCAAAACCTTGGCCACCCAGCAAATAGAAAAGGTCTTGGAGAAGACCACCCAGATACCCTGGACCGATCAAAAGGTTACCTTGAAGAAGACCGATAGGCAATTCAAAGAGGTTCAAAAAGAAACCGTCGAAGCGGTGCAACTGAAACCGAGCAAAATACAGAAGCACGATGTCGAATCTACCAGTTTGGAGCAAGTCGATCTCAAGCATTGGCAAACCAAGAAACAGACCCAAGAAATTCTGCAGAAGCAAACGCTTAGTTCGCAAGAAGACACGACCCTCTTGGATGTCAAGGAGCGCACAGCCACCAAAGCGCAAACAGCCACAAAGGATACAATTTCATCGCAAGAAGATACAACTCTAATGCAAATCGAAGAAACGGAGGAGACCACCAAAGGCTGGAGAAAGCCAAAGAAACAAACTGTATCTACTCAAGAAGACATTACTGTTCTTAAGGTCGACGAAAAACAAGACGTAACTGAAACAAGAGGTTGGAGGATACCTAAGAAAGAAACAACGCACGAAGATACGACCATCCTTCAAGTTGAAGAGCAAGAAGAGACAACGGAAATGCGAGGTTGGAGGAAACCAAGGAAACCGGAAGACGAAAATAAACCTAAAGAAGAAATTAAACCCAAAGAGGAACCAATCCCATGGAACAAGCAAGAAATTAAATTAAGGAAATCCTCAATTTCCCGACACGAAATCGTTAAAGAGAAACCCGAAGAGGTGCAACTGAAACCGACTCGCCGAGAATCTAAGACCATCGAGAAGGAAACTTTGGAGACTGTTCAACTGAAATCATTCAAGAAGCAAACCGTCGATGAACAAACGACTCTATCCCAAAAGGGAACTGTATCATCCGTCGAAGACTCAACCTTACTCCAAACTCAAGAAACTATTAAAGAGCAAATCAAAACTCAACGTAAACCAGAACAATCTACGATTTCTCAGGTCGAAGATACCACATTATTGCAGGTCGACGAGCGCGAAGATACGGAAACTTTACAGAAACCAGAGGAAACTAAAGACTGGCGTAAACCAAAGACTCCTGAAGAGCAGAAACTTAAAGGTGTAATTGCACCGAAAGAAGAACCTGTGCCATGGAACAAGCAACAGATCCAATTGAAGCCAACACAAAAAATAACAAAACCTTTGGAAAAGGAGACTATCGAAGAGGTGGACTTGAAACCTGTTAAAAGGCAACAAGTGCCCACCGAAGAAATAGTCGAATATCAGCTAACTCAAGTTGAGCTTAAGAAGCCAGAAGTTGAGGAACCCAGCAAACCGGAAAGTATGACCAAAGAATCCAAGGAAACCAAACAAAAGATCGTTAAAGAGAAACTAACCGTATCTGAAATCGAAGATACCACTATAATGCAGGTCGATGAACGTGAGGTTGCAGAAGCTTCAAAGAAATCGGCAGAAACCAAAGATTGGCGTAAACCAAAGACACCCAAAGAACAGGAGGAGCAAAGGCTCAAAGGTGTTATAGCGCCTAAAGAGGAACCTGTGCCATGGAACAAACAACAGATTCAACTAAAGCCTGCACAGAAAATCACGAAAACTGTTGAAAAGGAAACTTTGGAGGAAGTCGACTTGAAACCCGTTAAGAAACAACCAACAGCAACGGAAGAAAAGGTTGAATACGAATCTTCAGAAATTCAACTCAAAAAACCCGAAGTTGAAGAACCTACTAAACCGGAACAGATGACAGAAACCAAGCGTAAAGTGACTAAAGAAAAAGTTACTATGCAGTCCCAGGACGATTCCAATATTTTGAAAATTAAGGAAACCGAAATTGTAGAAGAAACAACGAAGCGTGGAGCTAAATCTAGTAAACAGTTAATCGAAGATAGCACAATTCTGAAACAGCAGGAAGTTATCACTGAAACCAAAGAGGAAACAAAATCTTGGAGGAAACCTAAACAGCCGACGCAAGAAGACCAAACAATCGTGGTCCAAGAAGAAACTGTTGTGGAAGAAGTTGAAGAGAAGAGAAAACCTAAGCAACCCAAACAGATTAAGCCAGAAAAACCAGAAGAAATTCCATGGAACAAACAGCCTATCCAACTGAAACCGAGCCACAAACAAAAGACTGAAGTTGCCAAAGAAACTTTGGAAGAAGTTACTTTGAAACCAGTGAAGAAACAGGTGACAGTTACCGAAGAACAAGTCCAATACGAACAGACTAAATTGGTACCGACTGAGACGGAAGTGGTTGAAGTTGCCAAGGTCGGCAAAACGGTCATTACCGAAGAAACCATGGTTCAAGAAGAAACTAAATCTTGGAGAAAACCAAAGCAACCCAAAGAAGAGAACGTTGTTGAGGAAAGTATTGTCGAAATGAAGGAAGTTGTGGTTGAAGAAGAAAAGAAACGTAAACCAAGACCGATCCCAGAAAAGGTCGAAGAAGTACCGTGGAATAAACAAGCGATACAATTGAAACCATCTCATACCAAGAAAACGGAAGTTCCCAAAGAAACTTTAGAAGAGGTTACATTGAAACCATTTAGGAAACCGTCGACGACCACCGAAGAAGTAGTGGAGTATCAAGAAAGTGCATTTAAACCAGAAAAATCTAACGTCGAGGAACCAAGCAAGCCAGAAAAGGTAACTGTGACCGAAGAATTTGTTGAAACAAAGAGCTGGAGAAAATCGAAGAAAGAAAAGAAGGAAGAGAAAATTGTAGATGGACAACAAATCAAGGAAGAAGTTGTTGTTGAAGCAGAAGAGGAGGTTAAAGCTTGGCGTAAACCAAAGCAACCGAAGCCAACAGAAGAATTGGTTACATACGAAGATACTAAACCACAATTAAAGAAACCTGAATCAGAAGAACCCACCAAACCCGACAAGCAGGTAATTACCGAAGACAAACCCAAGGTAATAGAACAAAAACAGGTAGAGGATAAGAACATTGTGGTGGAAGAAGTTAAGGAGGTTGTCGAGGAAGAGACAAAGGCATGGAGAAAACCGAAACAACCTAAACCAAAGGAAGAAAAGCCTGAAGAAATTCCATGGAATAAGCAACCGTTCCAATTGAAACCGTCGCGTACTCAGAAGACCGAAGTCGCTAAAGAAACTTTGGAAGAAGTTGACTTGAAACCGGTGAAAAAACAAGTTACGCAAGAAACTGTAAAATATACAGACATCACTGATAAACTGGAAAAAACCGAAGTACATGAAACTACCAGGACCGAAACTGCAGAGTTCACAACTGCTCGCAAAGAAGATAAGGTTGTTATTGAGGAAGAGAGGGTAGAATCCAAATCCTGGAGAAAATCCAAGAAACCAAAACCAGAGGAAAAAGTGGATGAAATAGTCGTCGAAGAAACGAAAACTTTGATTAAACCTGAGAAAGTTGAGGAAAAGGAAGTTGTTGAAGAAATTGTTGAAGAAGAAACTAGAGGTTGGAGAAAACCGAAGAAACCAATGGAAGAAGAAGAAAAGAAAATTGTAGAAGATAAAACTATCGTGGAAGAGGAAACAAAATCTTGGAGGAAACCAAAGAAACCGAATCAACCGGAAGAGAAGGTAGAAGAAGTTCCATGGACCAAAGAAGCAATTAAATTGAAACCGTCGCGTACTCAAAAGTCGGAAGTTTCGCAGGTGACATTGGAAGAAGTCGGCTTGAAACCAATCGAGAAACAACCAACTACCAAGGAAGAAGTTGTCGAATACAAAGCCGCCGAATATAAGTTAAAGAAACCAGAAGTTCAAGAACCAACGATTCCAGAGCATGCTAAAACTATTGATAAAACCGTCGTCGTTGAAGAGACAGTTACGGAAGTGGAAGATACTGTCGTATTGAAACTCGACGAAAAGAAACCTGAAGAATTGAAACCTGCGGAAAAGAAACCTGTGGAAGAAAAACCGACGTCAGTTGAACCGAAGGAATTGAAACCTAAGGAAAAGAAGGTTCCCAAGCAGACAGTAATCGAAGAGAAATTCGAGGATGTTAAATTAAAACCAACGAGACGTCCACAGAAACCAGCTGAAGAAGCTGAGCAGGAAACTGTTAGCTTGAAGCCGATTCCGAAACCGATTCAAATAGAGGAAGAAGCTCCAATCGAGAAAACAAAGAAGCCTAAAGATAAGAAACCCGAGGAGGTTAAGTTGCCGGAGGAAGATAAATATGTTCCCGAAGAAATGCCAGTATTTGAACCTGAAGTGAAAGAAGAGAAACCCAAGGAGGAAATTCCGCAGCAACCGTGGCGTAGAGAACGTAAACCGAAGCCTGAAGCACTGATCGAAGAACCTAAAAAGTTGATTATCGGAAAGGGAAAAATACCGAAAGAAGAGGAAGTCATTGAGGAGGTCAAGCTTAAACCGATTCCGAAACCGAAGAAGGAGGAAGAAGAAAAACCAGCGGAGAAAACGAAGATTCAAAGAAAACCATTCGAACCAAAAGAATTCGAACGCGAAACTGTAACATTGAAACCGTTCCAAAAGGAGAAACCGGAAGAAATCAAAGAAGTGGAAATACCGAAAGAAGTTCCCAAAAAGGAGATTCCTGAACCCGAAATGAAGGTGGAGGAAGAACCAAAGACTCCATGGAGAAGACAACCGAAAGAAAAGAAGGTCGAAGAAGTGGAAGAGAAGCAATGGCCGAGAGGTAAAAGGAGACCAAAATCTCCGGAGCAAAAGGAAGAGATAAAACTGAAACCTATTCCGAAACCAGTGAAGGAAAAGGAAGAAAAAGAAGAAGAGAAACCGTTCAAGGCACCAATCGATAAGGTACCAGAAGGTGAAGGTAAACCAGTGGATGAGATCAAATTTAAGCCGGAAGAGGGAAGACCTTGGAGAAAGCCCAGAGATAAATTGGAGCCGAAGATGTTGGAGGATACTGTCGTTAAATTCGAAACTCCGGAAGTGGTGAAATCCGATGCAACGATTACTCTGCAAGAGCAGAATCAAGTGGTGGAGGAGAGAGTGACCGAAATTGTCGAAGATACCGGAGACGTTTACCAGAAGGAGATGAAGGTGGACGTTGTTTCTAAGAAATCTATTAAGGAACAAAGAAAGGTCGTCAGGTATGATGACAGTCAGCCGTTCCCGGAATTGGAGATTATTTCGCAAAAGAGGGTCGTAGAAGGTTTGGATAAAACAGCAGAAGAGGAAATACAAACTGTAGAAGACAAGAAAATGATTAAGAAGGCTGTAGTGCAGAAATCTGTTATGGACATGAATATCGGTAAAACCAAGCCGAAACCTCCAAGATTCACGAGGAGGGTCGAACCTGTGGTGGCCGAGAAGGATAAGCCTGCACGTTTGGTTTGCAGAGTGGAAGGAACACCTTTCCCAGAAATCAAATGGTACAAGAACGAGGTGTTGATGCAGGCGAGCGAGAGATACACCGTCACCGTATTGGAGAACTCGGTGGTGCTCGAGTTTGGTAAAGTTGAGCCGCAGGACGTCGCCATCTATTCATGCAGAGCGTCCAATCCAGCTGGCGTGGCAACATCCACCGCCAATCTCGTCATCCTAGGTATTCATCCATTGTGTTTCGTGGAAATGTACCGAGATTTCTTTTACGTTGTTTGCTGTTATTGTCTCCATGTGTATGCGTGGTGTGCGTTTATATGAATTTGCATGTATGTATGTGTGTGTGTTGCGAGTTTAATTTTAGTCAGTTTGCTGGTTTCTTTCTGTTCGCTTTTTGCACTATTAGGCGTTATGCCAAGAACTAAAAGTCAGTAGCCCCCAGTAGCTTTGCATTGAACAAGCGAAATTGCATTCGCGAAATTCGCAGCAGCATGGATTTTTTTAGCGTTTCGGGTAATTTGAACTGCATGCGTTTTTCATCCGCAAATTATAAAAAAAAAAATAAGTATGTGCAGCTTTTAATGAGCAAAGCAAACTAATTGTCAATTGTATTTAGAAAAAGAGGAGAGCGGCACCGCACCGCACTTCACGAAACCGCTGAAACCGCACATCGTCGAGCAAGAGAAGAGCGCAATTTTAGAATGCGTCGTCGTTGGAAAACCGACGCCAAACGTGAAATGGTTCAAGGGCGTCGAAGAGGTGAAACCGGACAAGAAGAGGAGGATCTCTTACAATCCGGAAACCGGAGTAGCCAAACTGGAGATTCTGGAACCGACCGAAGAGGATGAAACTATTTTCAGAGTGACGGCTGATAATAAATTCGGCAAAGCGGAATGCCGTGCCAACATGATCATATCTAAGGCCGTCCAAGTCACTCAACCAACTGCGATGTACGCACCCAAGATTACCAAACCGGTTAAAGCGGTGATCAGCAAGCCGGGAACCGAGATTATTTTGGAAGCCGAATTCGAGGCGACGCCAGAATTCGAGGTGAAATGGCTCAGGAACAATAAAGTCCTCGAGGAGAGTCCCAATTACACGATAGTTACCGAAGACAAGATGAGCAGAATTGTCATCTCGAAGAATGCTCCGCAGAAGGCGGGCAAATATGAGATTCGCGTGGAGAACCGAAAGGGCGAAGCGCGCTCTTCGGGATCGGTGACCGTGACCGAAGACAAGGAAATCCACAAAGCCAAAGCACCCAGATTCATCAAACCGATTAAACCGCAAATCGTGACGCCCGGAGAGGTCGTCATCATGGAGGCTGTGGTCGAGGCAACTCCGACTGCTTCATTCCAATGGTATCAAGGTTCCTATCCCATCCAATCCACTCCAGAGATTAGGATTTCCACAACTGAGAACAAATCCATCTTGCTTATAAGCGATATTGGCCCTGAATTCACCGGTACAATCACCTGCCGTGCAGAGAACGTTGCCGGTTCGGTAACTTGCACAGCCTCCCTGAATGTCATCGAAGAAGTCGAATGGGAGGAAACCAGAGAGATAGAGTATCCTAGATTCGTCAAACAATTATCACCGATCAGGGTGATGGATGGTGAGAAGGTCCTGTTCACTTGCAAAGTGACCGGAAAACCAGTACCCAAAGTTGAATGGTTCCACAACGATCAACCAGTCCAGGAAGCCAAGGACGTTACCATAACTCAAGACACCGAAGGCGTTTGCATGTTGGCCATCGCCGAGGTCTTCCCAGAAAATGCCGGCGAATACTCATGTTACGCCGTCAACAAATTAGGAGAAGCAATCTGCAAATCCTCCCTCATCGTCGAAGGTTGTTAACCAAATCCATTAATTTTCATATAATATTCACTAAACTTTTGTAAACAATTTCAGCTTATGAATATGTACCGGACTCGGAGATCGGCCTGATGACAGGTCCGAGCGGTAGCGAAGAAGACCTAATTGCTGACAAGGTAATTTACTGGAAATCGATGTACGACGTTGATCGCTGATTACATGATTTACTGAATTTATTGTATCAATAAAGACTATTTTACTCTTTCTCTCTCTCGCACACACACACCTCATTACGTTGCTTCCCTTTTTCCAGACATTGAGCGACATCGATTTCCTCTCGGAAGATGAATGCGCGCCCAAAATTGTTAAGAAATTGCCCGAAGTCATTTCCACCAAGGACGGAGACGTCACTAGGTGATTTAATCCGGAAAAAAAAATTAATTTGAATATTTGCTAATTTTGGGCTCCGTTTATTTTGTAGATTGGAAGTGAAGGCAGTGGGAAAACCAAAACCAACTGGTAAATGGTTGAAACAGAACGAGGAAATCGTTCCGTCCAACGAGTTCTTCATCGAGAACTTCGAGGATGGAACCTCTGTTTTAACTATAAGCGAGGTCTACCCCGATGATACAGGCGATATAGTTTACGAAGCCACCAACGAGCTGGGTGTTGCAGTGACGACGGCCCAATTGGTCGTCGAATCCGTCGAAGGTGCGAACAACGTCGCATGCTTTTGATTAATAATCTTCTTTAACTTTTCAGACTTCAAGAGCTTCTTTTTCCTAAAAACCGCAATATCCTCATCTCACTATATATCTATATATATACAAACACACTTCAATTTATTTACTAACTTGCTCATCATGATTATGCGCTGAGTATACTAATGTTTGTTTGAATTGTAATGTGCAGGTATTCTTGGAACCAAATTATACAGGAAACCCGAATGGGTAACACACATGGAAGAATTGCAAGCCGCACTGAAAGGTAACGAGATTTCTGCGAGCAGCAGCATGTCGCTTGTTCGTTCTGAAAATCTATCAGTGGATAGTCTAGAAGTTTGCAAGGCTAAAGTGCATGATCTGCCTCTTTCGTGTGAACAAATAGTCTCGTCGTCCAATCTGCAAGGCTCATTTTATCTGAAACCGAAGAGTTTAATAGACTCGACCGGTTCGATAACATCGGTTTGTAGTGATCCATTTCCCAAGGGCAGCAACAAGGTAGGGTTTGTTAAGACAGCAATGGAAGATTATCTGAACAGTCACAGACACTCGCTGAGTTCGGTCATGGAGTTGCTGAATAGGAACGAAACATTGAAGATTCCTTTGGACGATGTCGACGATGAGGCAGACGACGAAAGCGTCATCGAGGAAGAACCAGCAATCGACCAAAGACGATTTTCCCAGCAAGATTGCTATTACACTTTATCGCCGATAGAGGAATACAGCGAGCCTTCCTCTTGCAGCAGCAAAGATGTCAGGAGCTTTTATAATTTGCAAACCATGTCTAGCTCCTGCGAACCGATTCCCTCCGATATAGATTACGAACTAACAGATAAGTACGATACATTCCCAAGAGCTAAAAGTAGGCAGGTACAATACTATAACAATACGCTGTATCCATTGGAACCTAGAGAGCTAGATCCGAACGCTTTTAACCAATTGCACACAGTGGATAGTCAGGAGGAATTGCAGGAGTTCTTGCTGCTGGAGAGCGCTTGCTTGTCCGATTCGAAAGGTCGTGGCTTGGCCTCGGCTTTCTCCGATCAGGTAACCAGTTTTTCGACACTAACTTTAATGTTTTCGCATTGTTTTTGTTTATACATTAAGACTTTTTGCATGTGAAGGAAACCGACTGAATGTTGTTTTAATGGCGCAAAATTAACACTCGATGATAACAAAAAAAATTGTGTTGTTATGAATAGCTGCGCAAAGTGTCCCGACCTTCGTCCAGGAGATCACGAACGTCCACACAAACGAGGAGGAAACCGTCGTATTCGAATGCGTCTTCTCGGGAACACCGACACCAGGTTTAACTTGATTCTAATTAATTTAAAAAGTTCAATTAATTAGTAATTATAACTTGCAGACATTATCTGGTATCACAACGATAAAATAATCCGCAACACCGAGAGGGTTAAAATTAAGATCCAAGACAATAAGACGTTCTGTACCATTAAGGACGTTAAGATCGAAGATGTAGGCACGTACGTGTGCAAGGCAATCAGCGACATCGGTTTGGCTGTAACCAAGGCTAAATTAAACGTGCAAGAGGTGTCCGAGGAGGAGAAGAATGTTATCCGCATTCGCAAGGCGCAGGAAAGCGTCGAGAAAGTCAAGAAGGAGAAGGTCACCATCGAGAGGAAGCGCGAAGAGCGCAAGAAGAAACGCGGTTCTATCACCACCGAAGAGACGAAAACCATCGGCGTGCAAGAAGTCACCCAGGTCATAGAGAACGTCCAAGTCATCGAGGAGATCACCGAGGATAAGGCCAAATCTATTATCTCGATCCAACAACCGTTGCAGACCGAGGCAATTGCATCCTGCAAGAAAATCGACGATGAGGAAGAGATCACCGTTGAAATTTCAGAAACAGCCAAGACAATTATCATGCCCAAAGAATCGTTGACCATCACCGAAGTCAGAACTCAAGATGAAATCTCAGAAATCTCAGAAACCATGCCGAAAACTCGCAAGGCCATCACGGACGTCACCGAAACTGTTCGAGAAGAGGCTGTCATCACCGAAGTCAATCTCGAGGAAGTCATTAAACGCGTCGAAGAGATCATTATCAACGAGGAAATAAGGATGGCCAAAGAGGTAACGGAAGTGCTCGAGTACATCAGAGCCAAAGAGTTCGGACCTGGAGAGAATCCACTGAGAGAACTCGCCGAAATCGGTTATTTGGTCAGAAACGGAATCACCGTTAGAGAGGTGACCGTTCTCTACAACGAGGACAAATTCCCGCATCTGAAGACTCCGGAATCGCAAAACGCGTTGGTGAATGTCGTCGAGAGGAAGGGTCACGGTCCATTGATCAGCGAAGTGCTAACCGAAGAAACGACCGTCGACGAGAAGATCTTGGCAGCCACCGTCGGCTTCAGAGCGTTCATGAAGATGGTCGAGTTGAAGCATGCCACCGTCGAGGAAGTCATCACCATGTTCAAACCAGAAGATTTCATCAGACACGCTTGGGAAATCACTGAAGTAGTTGAGGTAATTAATATACGCATATATCAAAATTACTGTCAATCTAATAATCACTTATCAATTAGGAAACTGTGAGATCCGGAGCCACGGAGGTCGTTCACATCTCTGGAAAAACAGAGACAATTATCGGTGAGTTAGGTGTGCGTTTGTTTGTGTTTACTAGTGTTAAAGTTATGTGCCATAAAACCCTACGTTCTAATCTACCAAAGCTATTGTATTTACCCTCGTCATTAATAAATTATTTAGCGCAATTTTTTGTTATGTGTGTGTGTGTATACGTCCCTTCCTTTTGCAGCCTTCTCTTTATTCACAATTTATTTTAGCGATGCGCTTTACATTATCGAGCTTCGAGTGTGTTTTCTTTCTTTTTTCAATATACTCAAGCATTCGTTCCGGCTAAAATGTATGTTCGTTGTATTCGCAGATAAAAAGAAAGTTAAGAAGTTGCGGTTTAAAAACGAAGACGAAGTCCTAGGTAAGCGTTCGATTAGCTTCGTATTTTGCTTACCTTCTTGAAATAAATGCAAACCGTTTAAAAAACGATTGATTCAACAAAAATGAAATAAATTGCATCATGAATTTTAAACCAAAGAGTTTTATCGACATACTCTCATTTATAAATTTGAAAAAAAAAAACATATTTATAAAACGTAAACAGAACTAAAGGAGTATTTATTTAGTGCTTAACGCTAAACGCGCTTTAAAACATGTGCATGGCTTAAGTGATTCTTCAATTATGTAAATATTTAGAGCTTCGTAAGCAAAGCTTAGTCTTAGGTGAGTGAAATGATTTATTTTCTTTAATAATTTTTTTAGTGTTAAGTGCCATAAAACGAATAAAAACATAAGAACAACATTAAAATTACATAAATAAATAAAATTTCATGCACAAAACTTACAAAAATACATTGACCAACTCCCTGAGCCCCCTGAAAATAAACATAAATCGATTAAACGTTTGATTAAACGCTTAAAACTCCAAAACTCTTTAGCCTCTCTAATACACTTTCTGTCTCTCTACTATCTCTATTATCTACTATCTCTTACATTCTACTTTTCTATCTTCCGCCAAAATCGCTGTACATAATCGAACTCTGTAGCCACTATCTATCGTAGATTAGCAAGCCTTTTTTTATTTTACTTTTAATTATAATATATCTAAACATATAAATAAAAAAAAAACAATATATATTATAATACAAAACAACTATATACATTACGTAGTGTTTTGAGACCGACACAACAATACCCATGATACACTTTCACAGAAACCCTAGAAGTTGAAGAAGAAGCTGAGCGCAAGGCTGCAGCCAAGAAACCACGCAAATCTGAAGTCGAGATTACAGAATTGACCGAGGAAGAAACCACACAAGTCGCCGACAAAAAACCTAAAAAGCTCGTCGAAGACGAAGAACAAATTGTTACCAAAAAGGTGACCAAAACCAAGAGATCTAAACACCCGAGACGCAGCGAATCTCAAGAGGAGATCGTCGAAGAAGTTGAAATTATCGAAGTCGAAGGTGGCGGTAAAAAGCAAATAAAAAAGAAGGTGCTTAAATCGTACAGACCGAGCGAAGATGAAGAAGTCTTCGATGAAGAACACACGGGTGTTGTTAAACCGTTTGCACCGGCCTCCGAAAAGCAATTCCCTCTTGATACATCCACTGTTGTCTTTGAAAGCGTCCCCACTAACCGTTTAGCACAAATGATGGAATACGACAAGGAATTGGTGCAAGGCACCATGAATATTATAACACATTCCGCTGTTACCAAAGAGGAAACCATGGTCAGCGAAAAGGAAGATTCTAGCAGCAATGCGAAACCCATGACCGGTGTTGCAACAAAATCACTGAGCACTCTGGAATCATTCCAAGTGAGCGAAACTAACGTTAATAGCATGCCAGGTGAATTCGACTCTAAATTCCAACCATCCACTGCCAAAGCCAAATCAGACATAATCACCAACGAATCCGTAATGATAGAAGAAACCAAAACCGAAGATTTAACTAAAGATTATGTTTCACCAGTTCAACAACAAGATACTGCAAGTATGTCAGTTTTATTGCAAGAAGCCACCGGTGTTTCTGAAATTGAAATCTCGCAAAGCGAGGAGCACTTTGAAGGAGCTCCAAAACCAAAGTTTGTTCAAGCTTCAAAGACCTTCACCACCAAAGAGAGTATCGAAGTGAAAGAAATCTTGCAAGGAGAATTCGAAGATACTTTCGACAGCACTCAACCAGCCACAGTTAAACCTAAATTTGATATCACCGAGAATCAATCACTCATCATCGAAGAAGTCGTAACCGAAACAAAGCCGGGCAAACATTTGCCGGAATCATTCGTACCCACAGAGGTAGCCAGCAAAAACGTGATTACGCAAAAGCAATTGGTGTCTTCGGAACTGTACATTCCAGAGCTGGAAGGCGAATTTATCCCTGGTAAATTGCCACCTTCGCAAAAGGCCGGATACAAGATAGATTCCGGAGACAGCATCACCGTTACCGAAACCAGCGTGCAGGAAAAGGAGAGCACTTTCGAGGGCGCTCCAAAACCAATCACTTCTAAAGCAAGCGAAGATATGGAAGTTTCCGAAGGATTGATTCACAGCGCTGTGGATTCCCAAATGCCATCTGAAAACGTGGAAATCGAACAGGTAGACCATCAAAAGGCTTCTGTTGATATTATACCAAAAGATGCGGCAATTACTCAAATGGTGATTAGCAACGAAAGCGATAGAGCCTTAACAGCCGATGATAAACCGGAAGGAAAATTGGCGGAAACATCGATAACGTGCTTGGAAACGAGCGATAAATTTTCGGTTATGGTTCAGGAATCTGAAGGACATTTACCGAATGCGATAAAACCGTCGATGGCTCAAGCCGAATCCTCCATTGGAGAAAAAGAACCTCTGACAATATCGCAAATTCAAACTGCGGACTACCCCGAACAATACTCGGACGTCTTCAAGGCTAAATCCGAACAGATCACCATGAATTTGCAAACGCAAGAAGCGCGCGAAACTACAATGACATTGGCTGGTGATAAAGAGACGACGTTCGATAAAAAAACCGTTTTAACGCAGAACGTGACGACATCTTACAACGATAATATACAAGAAATCCAAGTTATGCAGCAGGAGAAGATGGAGAGCGAAGGTGTTCTTGGACAATTCGAATTGCCAGATACGTATCGCGGTAAGCAAGTGCCTTCTCATTTATTACCAACTGGAATTACTGAAGAAGTTATAGCCGAGAATATTACCAGAGATTTAACTGAAGAAAGAAATTTGGCTAGCGCTAAAGTATGCCAAGATGTTAATGAAGAGACCACGATTACGGAAACAATGCTGCACGAAGGTATAAAACGTTACAGCCCTGACATCACAGCAAGTCAACAAGCCGATGTATCTGTAAATGAATCTCAAGTAATTAGTGTGCAAGAAACACAAACAATCGACAAAGAAGGAGAGTACATTCCGGGTCAACTCCCTGAAGGATTGAAACCCAAATTGGAATATGAAAGTATTACAGTTGCAAGCAAATCTGAAGTCGTTGCAGATACGGCGTTTGGCTCCTACGAAGACAACAAAGTTGCCTCAGCTATAGCTAAACCACTAACAGACACTCACGATTCCGTTACTGTGACTCAGTTTGAAACTGGAGAGAAAGAATCTCTGGGAGAAACGTTCGTTAAACCGGAATCGAAAATAGCGAGTGAATTATTCTCAGATGCGTCCGGCGTTGGAAGTGTTTCTCAAGTGCAATTGCACGACAAAGAAACTGAGTTGCAGCCCGATCAAAAACCGATGGAAGGAGTTGCTTCTAAAGGAATCGCTACGCAAAAGGTCATCTTGCAAGAACAACACGAAACTGTGGTCCACGCTGATGAGTTTGAAAAACCTGAAGTGTTGACTGGTAAAGCGAAGAAATACGCCAGACCGAATGCTGAGTTAATTGTAACCGAAGCCAACGTAACAGAAGTTGAGAAAGACTTGGAGAAGGATGTTTTCCCTAACAAGAAAATAGCCAGCGTTGATATTTTACCTGGATCGCAGATCACCGTTACCGAAGTTGTCACCGATGAGAGAGAGGAAGATTTAGAAAAATCCAAGAGACCAGAGGGTAAAGTGGCTGAAACCACAATCATGGAACAGCAAGTAGCTTTGAGCGAAGAAGTATTACCCAAATACAATGTAGGTGAGTTCGTTAAAGAGATTCCTGAAAGTGACGTGGCGCAACACCATCAAACAACGCAGAGCCACATCGTCCAAAGTTACACGACTTTCGGAGAGAAGGAAGGAGAATTCACCGCAGAATTTAAACCCGACCAAAAGCACATCGTTGTTAACTTCGAGGAAGGTCAAAGCGTTCAAATAACGGAATCTCAAACCATGGAAACGGAAAAGTTCTTAGAGAAACCAGAAGCTCCCGAAAGTGCCCAAGGCACTTCCGATATAACAACTCACGGTGTCGCTGTTAAAAGCGAGACCATCACTGAAGATTCCACCGATGTTTACAGCGAAACGCAGAGAGAATCTGTCAAAGCCGATGTTAACCAAACCCTGCTCGAAAGTCTCTCGCAGACTCAAAACATCGTTCAAGAGAAAGAGGATTTGCTCAAACAAACGAAACCTGATTTGAAGACGGCCAGCTCTGATCTCATATTGGGAGAGAGTTTGTCAGTTACTTCGGTGACGATCTGTGATCGCGAAAAGAAATTCGACGAGTTCGAACAACCGGAAAGTGTTACAGCAGTACCAAATATTTTGGGTCAAACAATCGCACAAACGGAAATAACACAAGCAAGTCACACAACTGATAAATTGGACAGATCTTCACCCACTAAAATGGTGGCGGAGCTAAATCAGAGCGAGCATCAAAGCATAGTTCAAACGCAGATGACCATCAACGAAAGCGAAACCGAATTCACGAAATTTGCACCGGAAGAGAAGAACGTTGTCGTTAATTTTGAAGAGAGTAAAGCGCCAGTCGTTTCTGAAACAGTCCTGATTGATAAAGAAGATGTTCACAAGAAGGATAAAATGCCTGAAACGAGCACAGCTGAAGTTGAATATAATTTGCAGAATGTCGCTCAAAGTAAAATCACCACTGCTCAAGGAACAGTCGAAGATTACACCGAATTCAAACCTAATCTATTCAACGCAACTGAAGACCAGAGCACGTTAGAAAGCGTGATCAGCTCACAAACTTTGGTCTCTGAAAGCGAAAAACCTTTGGCTCCGCAACAGTTTGATACCAAGAACGTAAATGTGAATTTCGAAGAAGATCAATCTTTGGTTATCACTGAAGTTACCAGTGGAGACACTGAGGATGTTTATAGCCAAACCAATCTCAATTTCCAAAATGCGATACAGGAATTGAATCCTTTGGAATCTGTGACGACTAGCGAAGTGCGAACTCAAGATGGAATTAAAGAACTTGAGCACGAAGCTCCGATTAAATCTGTTGCTGAGACCGGATTAACTCCGTTTATCTCTGCTACGGGAACGGAAACTGTTGTTAACGAATTTGAAAGCGTTTTGGATAAAGACAAGAAACCTGAAGGTAAAACCGCCGATGTCACCGTAGACACAGACTTTTCAGTAAGAGTAGAAACTGTTTTGATTTCCGAGAAGGAAACATCTTTGGATGCTAAAGACATCCCTGAGCTGAGACAAGTCACTACGTCATTGACTGACACTGTTATCGTAGCTACTAAAACGGAAGTAATTCCAGCTTCCACTACTCAGGGAATCGAAGAGAAACCTTTAGAATCCGCAAAGGCCAACGAAGGGACAATTCCCAAAGAAGCTTTAGTTCAAAGCGAAATTATTAGCAACGAATCTGAAAATATTCTCCCAGAATCTTTAAAACCTACCGAACATCTTGCCAGTTTAGCCGTTGATAAGATGGAGTCCGTTGTTACCTCGAAGGTGGTTACTGCTGAGAAAGAAGAAAAATTCGTAACCGAAGAAACCATTGGTAAACAACAAGCGACAGTGACGATGGACATCAACGAAAGGATTGTTCAACAGGAGAAGGTTGACGTATCCGAGAGTATCGACATGTTGAAGATAAAACCGACGGTTTTAGAGACCGGAAAAGAAGTCCAAGATTTTCAATCCAGCGTTATTGTTACTGAAAGCGTTTTAGAAGATCGCGAACAAGATTTCACCGGTAAATTTAAACCGGAATTGAGCCACGTCGATATAGGTATTGAACAAGGAAAATCCGTTCAAATCGTGAGTGAAACGCAAATTGGAAACACTGTTGGAATAATGGAAGAACTCACAATGCCAAGCGATAAGAAAGCAACGAGCAGTTTCAGCGCATTAGATGTAGCTGAAAAATCTGAGGTTATGGCGCAAGGAACCGTAACTGAAGAGTTAATTAAAGCACCCAAAGGTACCAAAGCTGATGTGTCGCTAATTTCCATGGAAGGAGTTATAAGCTCTCAACCGAACGTGCAGGAAACAGAAGATTCTTTAACCGAAGGTTTGAAGATTGTTACTAAAACTGCAGAAGTTATTCTGCAAGAGGTCAAAGGAGTAACAGTTTCGGAGACTACAACAACCGAAAAGGAAACAACTTTCGAAGGACAAATGCAACCTGTAACGAGTAAAGCTGATGTAGACATAGTGGGAAGCACTATTGTTGAGACTTCTGAGACTTTAACCAGTATCCATTTGGGTGATTTGGATATAACTAAACCTTTGAAAGCAACTGCATTTAAATCGCAAACGGAACACCAGCACTTGGTGCAAAGTCAAGCTGCTACAGCGGATACTGAAGAAACTTTCGTTGATAAATTCGAACCGGAGAGGAAGAAGGCAACCGCAAATGTGGAAGAAACCCACGGATTAACTATTACAGAAGTGCTCAGCACCGCATCAGAAGATGCCTTTGTTACTCCGCAACTGCCTTTGCAGAAGGCAGTGGCAGAAGTGAAACCTGAGGAGGCATTGGAACAAACACAACCTGATGTTAAAGACTCTGCTAGAGATTTAACGATCGACACTAAAGACACCGTCAAGGCTTTAGTGCAAGTGGATACATTCGAAAGTGTCGTTGCCAAAGAAGCAAATGTTCACGACCAGGAGGGAATCTTCGATGGAAAATTGGTGGTTGAAACGATGCAAGCCACGACGATATTCGAAGAAAGCAAATCAGTGAAGGTTACGCAAGCTGTGGCTGAAGAGAAAGAGGAAACATTCGATAAGGTTGATGTGGAAAGTAAGAAAGCCACGCAAGAGATCTTACCAGTTGAACCTATCCAACAGAGCGAGGTTCAAGTGCAATCAACAGTGGACGAATACAAGAAGTTGGCTGTGACTAAAGAAAAAGCAATAGAAACGCAGGAAAGCCAAGATGTTGTTATAACTACTGAGAACTTGGCGCAAGAACAGGAAGGCGTTTTCGAGAAGTTCGTACAGGAAACTAAAGTTGCCGAAGCTTTGATAACACCGCAGAAACACATAACCGTGACTGAAGTTTTGACTGAAGCAACCGAAGGAGATTTCGTTGAGACAACACACGAGAAAAAGCAAGCTGTTAAATCTATAACAGCGCAAGAAGTTGCTTCGCAAAGCACGACGTTAGTATCGGAAGTACCTGAAGATTATAAACCAGAGGTATTGCAGTTAGCTGAAGCTGAAGCCACGCAAACGCCGATGCAACCAATTTCAGTAATTAATTTGGTTACCAACGAGTCTGAGGATGTTTTCAAGGATTCTGCATTACCGAATTTGCAGAAGGCCGGAGTGGAATACGAAAAAGAAGTTGATTCAATTAAAGTATCTGAAACGCTTCTTCAAGATTCTGAGGGTATTTTCAAACCTGACGTGATGAAGACAGATAAGGCAAATTTGCTGATTTCGGAGAGGAAACATTTTGAGCAAACGCAAACAATTATTATGAATGAGATCGGCGATTTAAGCTTGGATGAACCCAACAAAAAGAAGGCTGTGCAGAAACAAAGCACTTTGGAGAGTGTAACACAGACCGAAGTTGAAGTTGAGGAGAAGGAAACTGGTTTCGATGTTAAACAGGAGGCGCCGCAGAGGGCATCAGTTGGAATGCCTCTTCACGAGGGTTTGAGTGTTACAGAGATCAACACGGAAGAGATCGAAGGTGAAAAGGTTTTGGTCACCCAGGCCAAAGATTCGGTGGCCAAACCCGATATAGTTGAAAGACAGATTGCATTAAATGAAGAGGTGCAAACTCTCTTGAGTAGTGGTCAATTTAAACCGGAAGATGTTAAATCGGCTAAGGCGAAAGAAGGCGATAAATTGGAGAGACACGGTTTGCTGGTGACTTGCGTGGATTCTACCGGCAGTTTAGAATCGATGAAGCCCATGGAGAAAGCCCCCAACAAGGCAGTTAGTGTCACAGTTGAGGACAAAACTGCAAGTGTAATCATAAACCAAGTCCAACCCCATGACCGAGAGGGTAAGTTACCACACTTCAATCACACCACTTTAACTATCTGTTCTTTCCTTTATATATATTATGTATATATATAGAAAATTTTATCTTTTCTTTGGTGGTCTATAATATACCTTCATTTACCTGAAGAAATAAAAAAAGGATAGGGAATTTTTAGGGAACTCGCGTTCGCGGTTACAAAGAATCAAACACTTACCCAACATGAACCCAACACGGCAAATTATACACAAACATATACACTTACCATCATCACCAATCATCACCTTCACAATTATCAAAAAATGCCAAATACTGTACAAATGATATATAAAACTACATTAACATATATAAAATTGCAGGTCAACTGGACGAACTTGCTATACACACAACACGTGCAACAATCACACAGACCGATAAAACCCATACAATACTAGAACAGACCTCACCCGATGTTCGTTTTGACACTAGCACACCAAAACACGAACAATCTGAAGAGATCATAACTACTTTCAAATCCACACCAGGTAGCGAAACTGCTACAACTGTGGTCACGAAACGCACCATCATTAAAAAATCTAAGAAACAGAAAGGTGATCAAGGCGACGTCATCATTGACGAAGTCATCCACGAACGAAAGCCAGAAGATATCGAAGAGCCAAAGAGCGAAGTGCTAATTCAGGAAGTCCACACGGACGACGAAACCGCCGAAGTCGTAACGCCGAGTTACATAGAGGAGCTTCCAGAGGAAGTTAAAATTACCGAGGTATTTGACGACGAAGGCGTGAAACAAAAGAAACTTACCAAAAAGCGTGTAATCAAGAAACACAGGGGAGACAAACAAGAGAGGACCGAAATCGTAACGGTCGTCGAAAAAGACAAAGAACCTGAAACTACAGTTACAGTGGAAGAATACGAAGTGCCGGAAGAATACAAACCAACATCGCCCGAACCAGAATACGTGGAAGAACTCCCGGAAGAAGTTAAAATCCTTGAGGACAAAAAGGTCATCAAGAAGCGAGTGATCAAGAAACACAGAGGTCAAAAACAAGAACGCACGGAAATCGTTACTATTGAGGAAGCTGGTAAGGAGCCAGAAACAACGGTTACAGTGGAAGAATACGAAGTGCCGGAGGAATTCCAACAAATCGAAGAGGAACCGCTTTACATCGAAGAACTACCGGAAGAAGTTAAAGTAACCGAAGACGTCACCGAAGGTGTCAGGAGGAAGAAGATCACCAAGAAGCGTGTGATCAAAAAACAGAAACCAGGCAAAGAAGAAACCACCGAAATTGTAACGGTGGAAGAAGAGGGTAAGGTGCCGGAAGTTACAGTTACAGTAGAAGAATACAAATCGCCCGAAGAATTCAAACCGAAGAAACCCAAATCAGTGAAAGCGCAATTGATCGAGGAATTGCCTGAAGAGGTTAAGGTAACCGAGGTGGTAACGCACCAAGGTACCAAACAAAAGAAAATCACCAAAACGCGAGTAATTAAAAAGCAGTTGGGTGACAAACAGGAGAGGACAGAAATTGTGACTGTCGAAGAAGATGGAAAAGAACCAGAAACTTCCGTTACTGTAGAAGAATACGAGGTTCCTGAAGAATTTAAAATCACCAAGCGTAAATCTTTGAAACCGGAATACGTCGAGGAACTTCCCGAGGAAGTTAAGGTAACCGAAACTGTTTCTCACGAAGGTGTGAAACAAAGGAAGGTGGTTAAAACTCGCGTTATTAAGAAGCAGAAGGGCGACAAGCAGGAAAGGACTGAGATTGTGACTGTCGAGGAGGAAGGTAAGCAACCGGAAACTCAAGTTACAGTCGAAGAGTACGAAGTTCCTGAGGAATTTAAGATCACTAAACGCAAATCGCTTAAACCTGAATACGTCGAAGAACTTCCGGAAGAGGTGCAAGTCACAGAAACTGTTTCACATGAAGGTGTGAAACAGAAGAAGACCATCAAAACTCGCGTCATTAAGAAGCAGAAGGGTGAGAAACAGGAGACGACTGAAATCGTTACTGTTGAGGAAGATGGTAAACAACCGGAGACGAAGGTCACCGTTTTCGAGCAGCTAGAACCGCTCGAAGAAAAACCAGTGGAAGTCGAAGAGCTTCCTGAAGAAGTGAAGGTGACAGAATACGTTGATCAGGAAGGCGTTAAGCGAAAGAGGATCATCAAAAAGAAAATCATCAAGAAGCAGAAACGCGGCAAGGAAGAGAAAACTGAAATTGTGACAGTACAGGAGGAAGGCAAACAACCGGAAACTTCGGTCACAGTTGAAGAATACGAAGTGCCCGAAGAGTTCAAGCAAATTAAATACAAACCGGAGGAGCCTCAGGTCATCGAAGAACTTCCCGAAGAGGTTAAGATTATTGAAGTTAAAACCTTGAGTGGCAAGAAGCAAAAGAGAATTGTCAAAAAGCGCGTCCTTAAGAGGCAGAAGGGTGACAAGGAGGAGAAGACGGAAATTGTCACTGTCGAAGAGGAAGGAAAGGAACCGGAAACCACAGTTACAGTTGAAGAGTACGAAGTACCCGAAGAGTTTAAACCAATCGAAGAGAAACCTGATTTCATCGAAGAACTTCCTGAAGAAGTTAACGTCACCGAAGTGGTTGATACTCGCGGCAGGAAGCAAAAGAAAGTTATCAAGAAACGCGTGATTAAGAAGCAACGCGGCAACAAGGAAGAAAAGACTGAAATCGTTACGGTCGAAGAGGAAGGAAAGAAACCAGAAACAACAGTTACAGTCGAGGAATATGAAATTCCCGAGGAGATCAAATCGATCAAACCGAAGCGCGTTAAAGCGCAAATCATCGAGGAATTACCAGAAGAAGTTAAGGTGACCGAAGTCGTTTCGCACCAAGGCAAGAAGGAGAAAAAGATCACCAAGACCCGGGTAATCAAGAAACAGAAGGGTGACAAGCAAGAGAGAACCGAAATCGTAACAGTCGAAGTTGAAGGAAAAGAACCTGAAACCACTGTTTGCGTCGAAGAATACGAAGTACCCGAAGAATTCAAAATCACCGAGGAAAAACCAGAAAAACCGGAATACATTGAAGAAATGCCGGAAGAAGTGAAAGTTACCGAGGTTGTGACGCGTCACGGTGTTAAACAAAAGAAGACCATCAAGAAACGCATCATCAAGAAGCAAATCGGTGATAAGGAAGAGAAAACCGAGATAACCACAGTCGAAGAAGAAGGCAAAGCGCCAGAAACCACAGTTACAGTTGAGGAATATGAAGTTCCGGAAGAATTCAGGATCACTAAACGCAAATCCATCAAACCCGAATACGTCGAGGAAATGCCTGAGGAAGTGAAGGTAACAGAAGTAATTTCTCACGAAGGTGTTAAGCAGAAGAAAACAATCAAGAAACGTGTTATCAAAAAGCAAATTGGTGGTAAACAGGAAACAACAGAAATCGTTACAGTTGAGGAGGAAGGAAAGCTTCCAGAAACAACAGTTACTGTCCAAGAAGGTCCAGTCAAGTACAGACCGGAAGTTATTGAAGAATACCCTGAACAAGTTACAGTTACCGAAGAGGTGACCGACAAAGGAATCAAACAGAAGAAAATAATTAAGAAGAAAATCGTTAAAACTGTTGTTGAGGAAAAAACTGCCCCAGAAGAAATTGTGGAAGAATTAGAAGAATTTAAACCACAAGAAATTATTGAAGAACTTCCCGAAGAGGTGAAAGTAACCGAAGAGATTACAGATACCGGTGTTAGGAGGAAGAAGATAATCAAGAAACGCGTTATTAAGAAACAAAAGGGTAACATGGAAGAAAAAACAGAAATTGTCACAGTCGAGGAAGAAGGCAAGAAACCTGAAACCACTGTAACAGTTGAGGAGTACGAAGTACCTGAAGAATATAAACCCCTCAAACAAGAACCTGTGTTCATCGAGGAACTTCCTGAGGAAGTTAAAGTCACCGAAGTCGTGACAGATAAAGGTGTTAAACAAAAGAAGATCATCAAGAAACGCGTGATCAAACGCCAGAAGGGTGGGAAAGAAGAGAAAACCGAGATTGTTACAGTGGAAGAGGAAGGAAAGCAACCAGAAACAAAGGTTTCTGTTGAGGAATACGAAGTTCCGGAAGAATTCACGATTGATAAACGACCATCATTGAAACCCGAAATAATCGAAGAACTTCCTGAAGAAGTTAAAGTCACCGAAGTAATTGATATTCGTGGCAAGAAGCAAAAGAAAATTATCAAGAAACGCGTCATAAAAAAACAAATTGGCGATAAGGAAGAGAAAACCGAAATCGTTACAGTTGAGGAAGACGGCAAAAAGCCCGAAACCACAGTTACCGTTGAGGAATATGAAGTGCCAGAAGAATTCAGAATCACAAAACGCAAGTCTCTTAAACCGGAATACATCGAAGAAATGCCCGAAGAAGTTAAAGTTACTGAAGTGGTTACACACGGCGTTAAGCAGAAGAAAATCGTCAAGAAACGTGTGATCAAGAAGCAGGTTGGTGACAAAGAGCAGACAACAGAAATCGTTACGGTCGAAGAGGAAGGTAAAGAACCGCAAACTTCTATCACCGTTGAAGAATACGAAGTACCTGAAGAATTCAGGATCACTAAACGCAAATCGATTAAACCAGATTACATCGAAGAACTTCCAGAAGAGATTAATGTGACTGAAGTTGTTTCTCACCAAGGCACGAAGCAAAAGAAGACCATCAGAAAACGTGTTATCAAAAAACAAATTGGTGACAAAGAAGAAAAGACAGAAATAACAACTGTTGAGGAGGAAGGAAAAGAACCAGAAACCACGGTAACAGTTGAGGAATATGAAGTTCCGGAAGAGTTTAAGATAACTAAACGTAAATCGATCAAACCGCAATATATCGAGGAACTTCCAGAAGAAGTCAAGGTGACGGAAGTGATTACTCAGACTGGAGCTAAAGAAAAGAAAACCACCAAGAAACGCGTCATCAAGAAACAAGTGGGAGACAAGGAACAGAAAACTGAAATTGTTACTGTCGAGGAAGAAGGCAAGAAACCCGAGACTACAGTTACTATTGAGGAGTACGAAGTTCCGGAAGAATTCAGAATTACTAAACGCAAGTCACTGAAACCAGAGTACATCGAAGAACTACCTGAAGAAGTGAAGGTAACTGAAGTTATCTCACATCAAGGTAAGAAACAAAAGAAAACTGTTAAAACCAGAGTTATCAAGAAACAAGTTGGTGACAAGGAAGTGAAAACTGAAATAGTGACTGTGGAAGAGGAAGGAAAGGAACCGGAAACTAAAGTTACCGTTGAGGAATACGAGGTTCCTGAAGAATTCAGGATCACCAAACGAAAATCCATTAAACCGGAATACATCGAGGAACTTCCCGAAGAAGTTAAAGTGACTGAAGTCGTTTCTCACAGAGGCAAGAAGCAGAAGAAGATCGTTAAAACCAGAGTCATCAAAAAGCAAATCGGTGATAAGGAGGAAAAAACAGAAATTGTCACCGTCGAGGAAGAAGGCAAAGAACCAGAGACCACTGTCACTGTTGAGGAATACGAAGTTCCCGAAGAGTTCAGAATAACCAAACGCAAATCTCTGAAACCAGAGTATGTCGAAGAGCTTCCCGAGGAAGTCAAGGTAACAGAAGTGGAAACACGCGAGGGAACAAAGAAAAAGAAAATCATTAAGAAGCGTGTCATTAAAAAGCAAATAGGTGACAAGGAAGAGAAAACGGAAATTGTAACGGTTGAAGAGGAGGGCAAAGAGCCGGAAACATCCATTACCGTTGAAGAATACGAAGTTCCTGAAGAGTTTAAGATAACCAAACGTAAATCTGTTAAACCTGAGCTCATAGAAGAACTTCCAGAGGAAGTTGAAGTAAGCGAAGTTGTTACTCGCGAGGGAACTAAGCAGAAGAAAATCATTAAGAAACGGGTGATCAAGAAACAGGTTGGCGGAAAGGAAGAAAAAACTGAAATTGTTACTGTTGAGGAAGATGGCAAAGAACCAGAAACTTCCGTCACTGTTGAAGAATACGATGTTCCGGAAGAATTTAAACCGATCAAACGTGAATCCATCAAACCTGATTTCATTGAAGAACTTCCCGAAGACGTTAAGGTAACAGAAACAGTAACTCACGAGGGCGTGAAAAAGAAGAAGATTATCAAAACCAGAGTAATCAAGAAGCAAAAGGGTCAGAAACAAGAACGAACTGAAATTGTCACTGTTGAGGAAGAAGGCAAGAAGCCGGAAACTTCGGTGACAGTTGAAGAATTCGAAATGCCCGAAGAATACAAACCCATTGAATACAAACCTGAGGAACCCGAATATATTGAGGAAATGCCCGAAGAAGTCAAGGTTACCGAGACTGTGACTAGGGAAGGCGTTAAACATAAGAAGATTATCAAGAAGCGTGTCATCAAGAAACACAAAGGCGGAAAACAAGAAAGCACAGAAATTGTAACTGTGGAAGAAGAAGGCAAACAACCAGAAATTACCGTAACAGTTCAAGAAAAAGAGACTCCGGAATACGAACCGAGGGAGCCCGAACAATTAACAATCGAAGAACTACCGGAGGATGTTAAAGTCACCGAAACTATAACACCGGAAGGTATCAGGAAGAAGAAAATAATCAAGAAACGTGTTATTAAGAAACAGAAAGGACCTAAAGAGGAACGCACCGAAATTGTGACTGAAGAAGAGGAAGGCAAGGAACCGGTAACTAAGGTTACCGTTGAGGAATACGAAGTTCCTGAAGAGTTTAAGATTACCAAACGTAAATCCATCAAGCCCGAATATATCGAAGAACTTCCTGAAGAAGTTAAGGTTACCGAAACTGTGACACGCGAAGGCGTTAAACAGAAAAAGATCATCAAAAGGCGCGTCATTAAGAAACAAATTGGAGGTAAAACAGAAAAAACTGAAATTGTCACCGTCGAGGAAGATGGAAAGGCACCGGAGACCACAATCTCCGTCGAAGAGGTGCCAGTGACTTACGAACAAATTGATCACAAGTTCGTCAAGCCGGAATCTATCGAAGAACTTCCCGAAGAAGTTAAAGTCACTGAAATCGTAACGCCTGAAGGAACCACAGTAAGGAAGGTAATCAAGAAGAGGGTAATCAAGAAACAGAAGGGACCTAAAGAGGAGAGAACTGAAATTATCACTGTCGAAGAGGAGGGCAAGAAACCCGAAACCCAAGTCACCGTAGAAGAATACGAGATGCCTGAAGAGTTGAAACAAATTAGGAAATTATCTGTTAAACCTGAATACATTGAGGAACTTCCTGAAGAAGTTAAATTAACTGAAACTGTAACGCGCGAAGGTATCACGAAGAAGAAACTTATTAAAACTCGTGTTATCAAGAAGCAAAAGGGACACAAGCAAGAAAGAACTGAAATTGTAACTGTGGAAGAAGAAGGAAAAGCACCCGAAACTATAGTCAACGTTGAAGAATACGAAGTACCTGAGGAGATTAAACCGATCGAAGAACTGAAACCTGAATATGTGGAAGAACTCCCAGAAGAAATTAAGGTAGTCGAGACTGTGACACCGCAAGGCATTAAACAGAAGGTCACCAAAAAACGTGTTATCAAGAGGCAAAAGGGCGGAAAGGAAGAGCGCACCGAAATTGTAACTGTGGAAGAAGATGGTAAAAAACCGAAGACTTCTGTAACTGTGGAAGAATTCGATGCACCGGAAGAAATTAAACCCACCGAATTGCTCTCCATTAAACCTAAATATGTCGAAGAACTTCCCGAAGAGGTTAAAATCACAGAGACCGTGTCTCGTGAAGGTATCAAAAAGAAGAAGATTGTTAAAACTCGTGTCATCAAGAAACAGAAGGGCGATAAGCAGGAACGCACTGAAATTGTAACTGTGGAGGAAGAAGGAAAGGCACCAGAAACTTCCGTTACCGTAGAGGAATATGAAGTTCCTGAAGAGTACAAACCTAAGGAACAGAAATTAATTGAACCCGAATACATCGAGGAATTACCGGAAGAGGTGAAAGTCACCGAAACCGTAACTCGCGAAGGTGTTAGGAAGAAGAAAATCATTAAGAAGCGCGTGATTAAGAAGCAAATAGGCGATAAGGAGGAGAAAACGGAAATCATTACTGTCGAAGAGGAAGGCAAGAAACCGGAAACTACTGTAACTGTTGAAGAATACGAAGCGCCAGAAGAATTTAAACCAGTAAAGAGGAAATCTATTAGACCTGAATACATTGAAGAATTGCCGGAAGAAGTTAAAGTCGTCGAGACAACGACTCCGGAAGGCATTACTAAAAAGAAGGTTGTGAAAAGGAGGATCATCAAAAAACAGAAGGGTGACAAGACGGAGAAAACGGAAATCGTTACCGTGGAGGAAGAGGGCAAAAAACCCGAAACTTCGGTAACAATCGAAGAAGTCGATGGACCGAAACAAGAAGAACCAAAATACCTTTTCGTACCTACCCTGGCGAACAAACCGAAAACGGAGCAAGAACTTATAGATGAAGCACGCGCCGAATTTATTAAAAAGGCTCTGTACAAACAACCTGAAAGAGTCGAGGAAAATGAGGAGGAGACCGTGATTAAGAAGAAAACGATTAAGAAACGCAAATCTAAGAAACCTGAGGAAGAAGAAATTCAACAAGAGAAGCCTGAATATATCGAAGAACTTCCGGAGGAGATTAAAATCACTGAAACGATTACTCCCGAAGGAATCAAGAAGCGCACTGTCAAGAAGCGCGTAATCAAGAAGCACAAGGGACACAAGCAAGAGCAAACGGAAATCGTAACAGTCGAGGAAGACGGTAAACAACCGGAAACGTCTGTTACCGTTGAAGAACTCGATGCTCCGGAAGATTTCAAACCAACTGAAGAAGAGTGGGTTAAACCCAAATACATAGAAGAGCTTCCTGAGGAAGTTAAAATTGTTGAGACCGTAACTCCGGAAGGAATTAAACAAAAGGTCATCAAGAAGAGGGTGATCAAAAAGCGCAAGGGCGTGAAACAGGAACGCACCGAAATTGTAACCGTCGAGGAGGAAGGTGAAGCTCCTAAGACTACCGTCACCGTTGAAGAAATTGAAACTCCGGAAGAATTTGCACCGGTCGAAGAAAAACCACAGTACATTGAGGAATTACCAGAAGAAATTAAGGTTACTGAAATCGTTACACCAGAAGGTACCCATAGGAAACAAGTTGTTAAGAAGAGGGTAATTAAACGTAAAAAACACGGAAAACAGGAAACCACCGAAATCGTCACTTTAGAAGAAGAAGGCCTCGAACCGGTAACCACTGTTACTGTTGAGGAATTTGAAGCGCCATTCGAAGAAGCTCCAATTCGTCCTGTGTACATCGAAGAGATACCAGAAGATGTGAAGGTCACAGAAGTGGTCACTCACGAAGGCGTGCAAAAGAAACGTATCGTTAAGAAACGTGTCATCAAGAAACATAAGCCTGGTAAAGAGGAAACCACTGAAATTGTAACCGTCGAAGAAGAGGGAGAAGAACCGACGACCACTGTAACTGTTCAAGAAAAGGAAGTTCCGGTAGAATACGAAACTATCGAGAATAAATTTGTTCAACCAGAATTTATCGAGGAATTCCCAGAGGAGATGAAAGTCACAGAGATCGTTTCCGTTGATGGAACTTCCAAGAAACGTATTAGCAAAAAACGCGTCATCAAGAAGCACAAACCTGGCAAGCAAGAAACAACGGAGATCGTAACCGTGGAGGAGGAAGGCAAGAAGCCTGAGACCACGGTGACCGTAAAAGAAGTAGATCTTCCCGTCGAGGAAAGCATCGATGAGTTGCCTGAAGTAGTTGAGGTGAAAGAGATTATTACTGATGAGGGTGTGAGAACTGAACAAGTAGTTAAGAAACGTACGATTAAGAAACGCAAAGGACCGAAACAGGAAACCACTGAAATTATAACGGTGGAGGAATTAGGTAAGGAACCGGAAACGAGCGTGAAAGTCACCACACAAACACTTACAACACCCGAAGAAGATATTACAACCACCATCACCACCACCACACCAGATACTACCAAACCACAAGAACACATACACAAGAAAACACGAAAACAAGAACCCAAAAAGAAACAACAACAACCCGACGACTCTGAAGAACCGAAATATCTTTTCGTTCCCACACTCGCAAACAAAGAACACTTAAAAGATGAACAAGACATTATTGACACTGTTAGGGCGGAATTTATTAAGAAAGCTCTGTTCAAACGACCCGAGGTCGTTGAGCAGGAAGAAACAACTGTTCACAAGAAACGGGTAACCAAAAAGCGCAAGGTAATTAAAACAGGTGAAGTAGAGGAACAGCCGGATCACGTCGAAGAACTTCCCGAAGAAATAAAGGTGACCGAAACGATTAAACCGGACGGTACAGAAAGTGTAAGTATTGTCAAAAAGCGGGTAATCAAAAAACGTAAGGGCAACAAGCAAGAAGTTATGCAAATAGTTACAACGGAAATTGAAGATCAAGAACCTGAGACCACTGTGACTGTGCAAGAAGAGGACGTACCAGAGGAGGAGCAATTCATAACTCCCCAATACATCATCGAAATACCAGAAGAAATTAAAATAACCGAGAGCTATTCTCTGGATGGCACGAAGCACAAGAAAATTGTCAAGAAACGCGTCATCAAACGTAGAAAGGGCGTCAAAGAAGAAAGAACGGAAATAGTGACCGTCGAAGAGGATGACAAAGCTCCAGAAATTGCAGTTACCGTAACAGAAACCGAACAACCGGAAGAATACATCATGCCGAAATACATAGAAGAATTACCGCACGAAGTTAAGGTGGTAGAAGTAGAAACTCCGGAAGGAACACTTAAGAAGCAAATCGTCAAAAAGCGAGTAATTAAAAAGCGCACAGGTTCCAAACAGCAAATCACCGAAATCGTTACTGTCGAAGAGGAAGGAAAGAGTCCCGAAACTCTAGTCACCGTCGAAGAAACTACCGTTCCTCTGGAAGAAATCACCGAATCACTACAAGTCGAACAACAACCAGAAGAAATCACCGAACTTCCCGTAGAACTTAAGGTTATCGAAACCGAAACACCGTTAGGTACAATCACGAAGAAACATATTAAAAAGCGTGTCATCAAGAAGCGCAAACCAGGTAAGGAAGAGACCACGGAAATTGTTACAGTTGAAGAGGAAGGTAAGGAACCTGAAACTATTGTTACCGTGCATGAAACGGAAACACCGGAAGAATTCGTGGAACCTGAATACATCGAGGAATTGCCTGAGAAAATACAGATTACCGAAACCATCACTCCTGAGGGAGTACAGAAAACTAAGATAACCAAGAGGAGAATTATTAAGAGACGCAAGGCTGGCAAAGAGGAAACCACTGAAATTGTTACAGTCGTTGAAGATGGACAGAAACCTGTTACATTCGTTGAAATACAAGAGGAAACACCTGAAGAAACTAAACAGACGCGTAAGATTAAAAAGAAAAAGCCCGAGGAAATACCAGTTGGTGAAGAGGTTATCGAAAAACTGAAACCAACTGAAGAAGAGCCTAAGAAGCATTTAACGGCGGAAGAAAAGCTCGAGAAGATCAAGAGGAAACTCAAGAAGAAGAAATCTGTGGACAAGGAAGAAACCATCGAATATCCGGTTTACATTGAAGAATTGCCGGTTCAACTGCAAACAGTTGAAAGCGAAACTCCGGAGGGACCATTGAAGAAGGTCATAAAGACTAGAGTTATCCGCAAACGCACCGGTAAAAAGATGGAAAGTACAGAGATCGTCACCGTTGAAGAGAACGGACAAGTTGTCGATACCACTGTTAATGTGACAGAATCTGAAACACCTTTGGAAGAAATCGTCTTCGCTACACCAGTTATAGAGGAAATACCAGATGATGATCAAGTCATAGAAATTGATACCAACGAAGAAACACCGAAGAAACGAATCACCAAAAAGAAGGTGTTCTATAAGGAAGTTGGACCAGTAGTTGAGACAACTGAAATTACTACTGTCGAAGAGGATGGTCAAGAGCCGATCACTGAAGTGACGGTAGAATCTGTTGACAAGGAAGAATTCATCAAGAGGCGCACAAAGAAAATCAAAAAGAAGAAACAGCCTAAGGAGAAATACTTGTTTGTACCGACTCTGGCACATAAAGATGATGTCGACAGTGAGGAGGAAGTTATTGATATGGTACGTTTGGAAATTCTCAAGAAAGCTGTGTCGTTGCCTCAATATGAGGAAATTATGCAAGAGGAATATCTGGACTTTGATATTGTGCAGCCAGAGATGGCGCACGCAACTTGTGAAGAATATCCGGAGCTGGTAAGTGTCGTTCAAGTGCAGACAGCTGGTGTCATCGAACAGAAAGTTATCAAGAAGAGAAGAATTAAGGATAAAAAAGACGGCAAAGAGAAAGTCACGGACATTATTACAGTTGAACAAAAGGATAAACCCAAACAATTCTACATAATCGAAGACGCCAAAGAAGAAATCGGCGAGGAGGAAGTTCCTATTAAGGTAATTGAATTACCTGAAGAAGTTAAAGTGGAAGAAGTCCTCGACGAAAACAACATTCCTATAAAGAGAACGATTAAGAAACGTAAATTGAAGAAGCCAAAAGATAACGAAAAGGATGAAATAACTGAAATCACAACCGTAGAGGAAGAAGGTAAATTACCGGAAACAACAATTACCACATTCGAAGCACCGAAAAAGAAACCGACCGAAGAAAAACCAAAGAAACCAGAAGCTCAAAAGATACAGCTCATCTCTAAACCAAAGTCGATGAAAGCGGAGATTATCAAGGTGGAAGATTTGCCGTCGCTCCTTAAGAAAAAGAGAACGACCCCGAAAGCACCGCAAAAATCAAAGACTCCGAAGTTCAGGCTGAAGAGCAGAATCAGGTTCATCGATTTCCCATCGCAATCCGAGACTGAGCAAAAGCCCAAGATCTCTGAATTAACAAGAGTGGTAAAGGACAATGGTATTTTGTCCAGGAACATGAAGGAGGCTGAAAAGATTGTGAAAACTAAGCGCAGGAAATTGAAGTCAGTTAAGGACGATACCGAAGACCTCGAAAAACTCGATCTGGAGTTCGAGGAATTGAAGAAAAAAGAACCCGAATCCGTGGACGAACAATACAAATACAAACGGCCGGAAAAGAAACCGAAAGAGGAAGAGGAATTACCTAAACCGCTGAAAATCGGAAAAGGAAAGGTTCCCAAAGAGGAGGAGATTCCTGAAGTCATTAAATTGAAAAAGATTCCAACCAAAGAAAAGCAACCAGAAGAAGTTGTTAAGAAGGAGAAGAAGGAGAAACCGACGAAAAAACCGGAACCGATTGATTTGCCAGAAGTTGAAAGACCCGACTTGGAACCGTTCAAACCTTACGACATTGATGGCACAGATAGAGAAATTGAAGAATTACAATTGGAACCTTTCGAACGCAAACCTAAAGAACCGAAGGATGCCGAGAAACCCAAACGTACCAAGAAACCAAAACCAGAGCACAAGCCTGAAACAGAAGAATCAATTCTCGTGAAAGGAATTCCAAAGAAAACTGAGCCGGAGGAAGAACCGGATCTGAAATTGAGATACAAACAAAAGGAAAAACCAGAGGAAGAACCTGAGGTTATTAAACTGAAACCATTTAAGAAACCTAAAGACGAGAAACCTACTGGCGACAAGGACTTGGATGTTGGAAAACCTAAAGGATATGAAAGAGACGAACCAAAGTTCGAATTAGTGCTTCCAGAGTTTGAAATGAAGGATAAGAAACGTAAGAAACCGAAGAGGAAGATTTCCATGCACGAATTACCTGAAGAAATAGAAGTTGTTCAGGTAAAAGACGATAAAGGAAAACCGGTAAAGAAAACAATCAAGAAACGTGTTATCAAGAAGATAACGGCGCCTGCTGAAGAAGTAACGGAAATCATTACCCTTCAATATGGTGATGAAGAACCAGTAACCACGATAACTGTTGAAGAGTTCTCTGAACCTGAGGAGGAAATACCGGAAACGGCTACGATCGTAGAGGAAACCCCAGAACAAGTTACCACCGAATTGGTAACGATAAATAACGTGGTTAGGAAGAAGGTAATCAAAAAGAAACTGATTAAGAAACCTAAAGGAGATAAAATGGAAACCACTGAGATAACTGTCGTCGAAGAGGATGACCACGAACCCGAAGTAACTGTATTGGAGACAGTAGAAAATTTAACACCGCAAGAAATAAAACCAAAGAAAGCCAAGGAGCTCATCGTTGAATTACCAGAAGAAGTCAAGGTAACCGAAGTGGTGACGAATGAAGGAGAAGTAGTTAAGGTCATCAGGAAGAAACGTATCATCAAAAAGAGAATTGCTCCCAAAGAGGAAATCACCAATATTGAAGTAACGGAAGTAGAAGATCAAGAACCAGTAACAACCGTCACTATTGTAGAAAAAGAGCTGGAGGAAGTGGAAGAAATTCCAGAAAACGTTCAAGTTATCGAAGAATTACCGGAAAAGGTTGATATTACTCAAGTGGTGGACGAAACTGGAAAGATTACCAGAAAGATAATTAAGAAACGTATTATCAAGAAACCAAAGGACAAGGAAGTTGAAACCACCGAAATCACAACTATCTGCGAAGACGATAAACCCGAAGAGGTAATCGTTAAGACAAGCAAGGGTAAGAAAATTAAGTACTTCGACGAAGAAACAGACGTGATTGAACCCTTCGCCACCAAAAAACATAAGGCTAAACCTGTTATGCACGAGTTGCCTGAAGAGGTGACTGTAACAGAAACTGTGTCCAGACAAGGTGCGCCTGTGAAGAGAACCACCACGAAACGAGTAATAAAGAAGCCTATTCACGCCAAAGAGGAAATAATGGAGATAGTAACGGTTCAAGAAGGAGACGATGAACCCACATCCAAAGTGACTGTAACAATAGAAGAAATCAATGAGCCTGATTTGATCGAGGAAATTCCGGATGATTCGGAAATTGTCGAGGAAATGCCTGAGGAAATTATAATAACCAGCGATAAGAGCTCCAGAAAAACTGTTAGGAGGAGGGTCATCAAGAAACCGAAAGATGACGATGACATTGAAATAACGGAAATTGAAACAATCACTGAGGACGATAATGCGCCGGAAATAATAATAAAAACTTCCAGAGTGAAGAGATTGAAGACGATTCCTGAAGAAACTATCGAAGAGTTGGAAGTCGAAGATAGGAAAGCCAAGAAGGCGCACATCTTAACTCATGAACTTCCTGAAGAAATAACTGTAACACAGGTTGTTAGCAAGGAAGGAATCTCTGTAGAGAGGATCGAGAAGAAACGAGTTATTAAGAAACGCATTGCTCCAAAGGAAGAAATCACGGAAATCGAAACTGTCCAAGAAGATGACAAGAAACCGGTCAGCAGAGTAACAGTTACCGAGCATGTGGTTGAAAAGTTCGAAGAGCTTCCAGAGGAAGCCGTTGTTATTGAAGAGTTACCTAACGTAATTAACGTTACAGAGGTCATCGATAATAGGGGTGTTTCGACGAAGAAAATTATTAAGAAGAGGATAATCAAGAAACCGAAAGGCGATGAAATGGAAACAACGGAAATCACAACTGTTCACGAGGAAGACAAGAAACCGAAAACAACTGTAGAAGTGAAAACTTCGAAACCTCTGAAAACCAAACCGATTGATTTCGATGAGTTAACCGAACTGAAACCGTTCGACAGAAAACTGAAAGAAGCTAAAGTGGTAATTCAAGAACTACCCGAGGAATTTACGGTAACTGAGGTGGTTTCCAACCTGGGCAAGGTTGAAAAGAAAACGGTGAGGAAGCGCGTCATCAAGAAGCAGATACAACCGAAAGAAGAGGTGACGGAAATAATAACCGTCGAAGAGGACGGAAAGGAACCCGTAACCACAGTCACAGTGCAGGAACTTGAAGAACCGTTCATCGAAGAGGAATTACCCGAAAGCATCATAATCGAAGAATTACCGGAAGAAGTTAAAGTAACAGAAATTATTGACGAAGAAGGCACGACTAAGAGAATAACAAAGAAACGCGTTATCAGGAAACCCAAAGACAAGAAAACAGAGGTGACCGAAATAGTTACTGTTGAAGAAGAAGACAAACAACCTGAAGTCAAAGTACATACTTACACTGTCGAGGACTTGGAAGATGCCGAAGTTCTCGAACCGTTACCTAAGATGCGCAAAGCCAAGGTTACCCAAGAGTTACCCGAAGAAATCACTGTGATTCAAGTGAAAACTGAAGAGGGAAAACCCGCTCAGAAAACGATCAAAAAGAGAGTAATCAAAAAGAGAACTGGTCCTAAAGAAGAAATCACAGAAATTGAAACGATCCAGGAAGGTGAAAAGGAACCGGTAACAACTGTAAAGGTTACCGAGGAGGACGTTGAAGAATTCAAGCAAGAACCTGAAATTGAACAATTAGAAGAATTGCCCGAAGAAGTAAAGGTAGTCGAAGAAGTGATCGAGGGTAAAAAGATGAAGAAAATTATTAAGAAGAGAGTCATCAGAAAACCTATAGACGATGATCAAATCGAGACAACAGAGATTATTACCGTGCACGAGGATGATAAATCTCCTGAAATCAAGGTGAACGTAAAACTGTCTAAATTCGATGAGGTAACAATCGATGAAGAGATAGTCGATGAATTCGAAGTTAAACCAAAAACTAAGAAGGCCAAGGTAATCAAAGATAAGCAAGAGAAGGTTAAAATTACAAAACCGCTCACTGGTAAGGTTCCGAAGTTACAAGAAACAGCGCAACAAGTTGAAGAAACCACAACATTAGACACACCACTCACACATGAACATACTGATGTTAAGATTACACCACTATCAGAATCTCAAACAGTCACAGAAACACAACTATTAGACGGTACACTAGGTAAGAACACATCCATAGAACTAAGCGTCGGATTCGTAGGATCATATGTTAATCAATATTGTATTACAGGTGAAGTTAAACCAGACGAAATTGTCTTTGATAAGGCAACTTCTTCTGTGACAGATATAAAAGAGCATGTATCTGTGACAGTGGTTGAGTCGCAAAAGAACGAGGACAAAATCGAAGAAGAGGAGGTGATTGCAAAGGCCGTCGAAGTCGTCGAACCGGAACTCGAAGTGGTTGAGAAGAAAAAGAAGAAGGTGAAGAAACCCAAGGAAGTGCATCCCGTCGAAGAGGATGCGCCTATAATTGAAGAAGTCACCGAGGAAGAAATCGTTGAAGAAAAGAAGAAGATCAAGAAGCATAAACCGATCGAGGAAGATGATAAACCGATCATCGAAGAAGTTGAAGATGAAAAACCGATTATCGAAGAAGTCATCGAAGAGAAACCCATTGAGATCGAAGAGGAGATCATTGAAACCATCGAGAAGAGAAAGAAAAAGATCAAGAAACCCAAAGAGGAGAAACCAGTGATCGAAGAAGTCGTCGATGAGAAACCGGAAGAAATCGAGGAGGAAACTATTGAGACCATCGAAAAGAAGAAGAGAAAGATCAAGAAACCCAAGGATGTTAAACCGATTGAAGAAGTTCCAGTTGAGGATGAGAAACCAAAGGAGGTTGAGAAACCGAAGAAATCCAAGTTGCAGAAACTTGAGCCCCTCAAAATTGACCGTAAGGAAATTAAGCCACAAAAATTGATCATAACGAAGCCGGAAGATAGCCCGCTCAACTTCGCAGAGATTAAGCTGAAGAAACCGAAGATTCCGCAAAGGAAAGATATCAAGGAGAAAAAGGTGCCCAAGTTCTTGCTGAAAAGTAGGATGACTCTGGTCACTTTCCCTCCCATCACGGAATCTCAACAGAAACCCAAGTACTCCCAACTCGAGCCGGTCTATAAAGATAACGGTGTTCTGTCTCGCAACGTAAAAGACGCCGAAAAGGTAATGAAAACAAAACGTAGGAAACTGAAGGACGTTGATAAGAGTCTCGAGGATCTGGAAAAATTGGATCTGGAATTTGAAGAATTGCACAAGAAGGAACTTGAGAAAGTGGATAAGGAACTATACCAGAAACCGAAGAAGGAGAAGCCCAAAGAACCTGAAGTCGAAGAACCTAAGAAACTTAAGATTGGTAAAGGAAAGGTACCTCAAGAGGAGTTCACTCCAGAGGAAATTAAACTGAAGAAGGTTCCTCACAAGGAAAAATTAGAACCTGAAGAAGTGGAAAAGAAACCGATTAAGAAGGACGTCCTGAAACCTGAGGTTAAGGAGATCAAGGACGAAGAAGAACCAACACGTCTTAAGTTTGAACCGTTTGACATCGACAGGGAATCACCTGAAAGAGAAGTGTATGAGAAACCGGAATTCGAGAAACCTGAAGAAGAAAAACCAAAGGAAGAAAAAGTTAAGAAACCAAAGACCAAGAAGGTGAAACCGGAACCAGAGGTAGAACAAATCGAATTGATCAAGGGTAAACCAAAACCGAAGGAAGAAGAGGAAACACCTGAGCTTAAGTTGAAATACAAGCAAAAGGAATTACTACCGGAGGAACCAGAAGAAATTAAACTGAAACCATTCAAGAAACCTAAACCCGACGAAGAAGAAAAACCAAAGGAGATAGACGTTGGTAAACCTGAAGGTATTGAATTCAAACGTGACGAAGAACCGATTAAAAAGAAGGTGATTAAGATCAGGAGGAAAACTAAGGGAAAAGTAGGTAAACCTGCAGAACACGAGGACATCGAAGGAGAAGATGAAATTTCCGAAGACGTTACATTCGAGGAAGCCGTAGAAGAACTACCGGTTGAGGAAATTCCCGAGGACGAAGAGATATTCGAAGATGCCAATGAACTGATTGAAGAAGATGTGACCGTAGTCAAGAAAACAAGAAAAATTAGAAGACCTAAAATTAAAGAACCAGAAAAACCTGAATTGGTCGAAGAAGAGCAACCCGAAGAAGAAACCGTGCAAATCGATGAAGTTGTAGAGAAAATTGAAAAAATCAAAAAGAAGAAACCCAAAGTGCAAGAGAAGGAAGAGAAACCAGAAGAACCAGAGAAGGTCGAAGAAAAACCAGAGAAACTGACGCCCATTAAGGTGGACAGGAAAGAAGTAAAACCACAAAAAATGGTGATAACTAAACCTGAAGACGCCCCAGTTAACCTCGCGGAGATTAAACTGAAGAAACCAAAGATTCCTCAGCAGAAGGAAAGGCGCGGGTCGAAACTTCCTAAATTCCTACTGAAGAGCAGAATTCGTTTCGTTGATTTCCCACCGCTCTCAGAACTCTTGAAGCAGCCGGAGATATCTAAACTTGCTCCAGTCGTTAAAGACAACGGAGTATTGTCGCGCAATGTCGCTGATGCCGAGAAAGTTATCAAGACGAAGAGAAGGAAAATGAAGGACATCGACAAGAGTATCGAAGATCTGGAGAAATTGGACTTGGAGCTCGATGAAATTAAGAAAACGGAACTGGAGAAGGTCGACGATGAATACAAAAAACTAAAACCACAGAAGAAGGTCAAGGAAGAGGAAACACCGGAGTTGAAGCCACTGAAAATAGGCAAGGGCAAGATTCCCGAGGAAAAGAGCGAAATTGAAGATATCAAGCTGAAGAAGATTCCTGAGAAACCAAAGGAAACTGTTGAAACGGTAGAGAAGAAAAAGAAAGAGCCTAAGGAGGAAACCAAAGAAAAGCTTAAGGATATTCCTAAGGAAGTACCTAAATTAGAGCCGTTCAAACCTTATGATGTCGAAAGGGAATCTCCAGAAAGGGAAGTATTCGAACCAGAGATGCCCGAAAAGATTGAACCCGAAAAACCAGAAGGCAAACCCGAGAAATACAAACGTTCCAAGAAAACTAAACCTGAACCGGAGACTGTGGAAATTCCTCTTGTGAAGGGTGTACCGAAACCCAAGGAACCGGAAGAAGAACCCGAAGTTAAATTCCGTATTAAACAGAAGGAGCTTCCAGAACCGCAACCTGAAGAAATAAAATTGAAACCTTTTAAGAAACCATCTGAAAAAGAAGAAAAACCGGAAGTTGAGAAAGAGGAGGAAGTACTTGTGCCTCAGAAACAAAAGATCGAAGAGGAAGAAATTGTTACTGTGGTAAAGACCAAGAAGAAGATCAAACATAAGAAACCTAAGGACTCCAAAGAAGAAGAAGAACAGGAAGAGCAACCCGAAGAGGAGGTTATCACCGAAGAAGTTTCTTACTTGAAAAAACCAGAGGTGGAAGAACCAGAAGCTCCGAACAAATCCGAGGTTGTAGATAAGACGGAAAAGATTATCGAAGAAGAAGTTGTTACCATCGAGAAAATAAAAAGAAGGAAACCGAAGAAACATGCACCAGAGGAAGAAAAGCCTGAAATCGTAGAGGAGGAAATTAAGAAACCCCAAGTTCAGGAAGAGATTATCGAAGAAATTATTACGGAGAAAATTAAAAAGAAGAAGGTTAAGAAACCGGAGAAGGAAGATAAACCAGAAACGGTAGAACTGAAACCGATCAAGATAGTGCGCAAAGAACAGAAGCCGCAAAAGTTAATAATCACGAAACCGGAAGATGCTCCGATTAATTTCGCTGAAATTAAATTAAAGAAACCAAAGGCACAAGAAAAGAAGGAAATCAAACAAGCAAAGATTCCCAAGTTCATGCTGAAGAGCAGAATCAATTACATCAAATTCCCACCTCTATCTGAAATTCTACAGGAACCAAATATTTCTCAACTGGAACCGGTTGTAAAGGATAACGGCATTCTATCTCGAAACGTCGCGGACGCTGAAAAGGTACTGAAAACAAAACGCAGAAAGTTGAAGGACATCGATCATGTCATGGAAGAACTGGAAAAGGTTGATCTGGAATTTGACGAAACAAAGAAAACCGAACTTGAAAAGGTTGACGATGCGTACAAAATGAAACCAGCACCTAAAAAGCCCAAAGAAGAAAAACCAGAAGAACTTAAGCCGCTGAAGATCGGCAAGGGTAAGGTACCGCAAGTCGAGGAAGTTGTGGAAGATATTAAATTAAAGAAGGTGCCTCAGAAACCTAAAGAAGAAGTCGAGGAGGTCAAGAAAACGGTTATTAAAAAGAAAACCGAAGAGCCTATTGTAGAAATTAAAGAAGAACCAAAGGAACCTAAAGTTGAGCCTTTCGAACCCTTCGATATCGACAGGGAATCTCCAGATAGAGAAGTTCTTGATTTACCAGAGATGCCTGAGAAAGAAGTAGTCCAAGAGGAGAAACCTAAACCGAAACCAAAGAAGACTAAGAAACCAAAACCAGAACCTGAAGTCATTGAAATTCCTTTGGAAAAGGGCGTTCCTAAGCCTGTAGGAGAAAAGGAAGAACCTGAAGTTAAGTTTAGAATTCCGCAAAAGGATAAAGAACCAGAAGAACCCGAACAAATCACATTGAAACCATTCAAGAAACCTAAAGAGGAACCAGAAAAACCAGAGGAACCTGAAGAGACTATTGTCTTCAAACCAAAAGAGGAGAAGATTATCGAGGAAGTTGAAACCATCAGGACTGTTAAGCGCAAGAAGAAACCAAGGCAAAAGAAAACTCATGAAGATGTTGAGGATGAAGTTCAAGTAGAGGAGGAAGAATTTGAGGAGGTCAAGGTGGAAGAGGTGATTCCTGAAAAGCCGAAGAAAACTGAGGTTATCGAACAACTTAAACCGATCAAAATTATTCGCAAGGAAATCAAACCACAGAAATTGATCATAACCAAACCCGAAGATGCACCCATCAACTTCGCTGAAATTAAGTTGAAGAAACCGAAAGCACAAGAGAAGAAGGAAATCAAGAGCGCCCAAATACCCAAATTCTTGCTTAAGAGTCGCATAAACTACGTCGACTTCCCACCATTATCCGAATCAGAAAGGAAACCAGTGATTTCAGAAATGGAACCGATAACCAAAGAAAATGGAATACTCTCCAGAAACATGAAAGAGGCTGAAAAATTGCCAAAGACCAAACGACGCAAGTTGAAGGATATCGAAAAAGATGTAGAAGATTTGGAGAAGTTCGATTTGGAAATGGAGGAGCTTAAGAAGAAGGAATTGGAAAAGGTTGACGATCTCTACAAACAAAAGAAGGAGCCCAAGAAACCAAAGGAAGAAGTTCCCGAAGAAGTGAAGCCGTTGAAGATTGGCAAAGGAAAGGTTCCCGAAAAAGAGGAGATTGTAGAAGAACCTATCAAGCTTAAGAAAATACCAGAGAAACCTGTAGAAGAGAAAGTTGAGGAAATTAAGAAACCCAAGAAGGAGGAACCAGAGGAAAAACCGAAGAAGGAAAAGAAAGAACGGGAATGGCCGGAAACTAAACCGTTCGAGCCGTACGATATTGAACGGGAAGAACCGGAAATTGAAGAATTAGATATTCCAAAAATGGAAGAACCTAAATCAAAACCGATCGAAGAACCCAAAGTCAAACCTAAAAAGACTAAGAAACCTAAGCCCGAACCGGAAATCATCGAAATTCCTTTGGAAAAGGGAGTACCAAAACCGCAAGAGGAACAGGAAGAACCCGAAGTTAAATTCAGAATTCCTAAGAGAGATAAACCAGAAGAACCAGTCGAAGAAATTAAACTTAAACCATTCAAGAAACCAGAAGAACCCAAGGAGGAGGTTGTCGAGGAAATAACTATAACGAAGAAATTGGAAAAACCTGTCGTTGAAAAGGTGGAAGAAACCGAGGAAACACAAATTACGATTAAAAAGAAGAAAACAAAAAAACCGGTCAAGGTAGAGGTTGAAGAAACTATCATGAAAGAAGAACCTGTCGAAGAACAACCGATCATCGAAGAAGCCGTTGAAGAGGAGGTACCCAAAGAGGAACCACAACCAGAACCCTCAGTGATCATCGAGGAAGTAATTGAAGAAGAAAAACCGAAACCAGTCGAAAAAGTAATCGAAGAAGTAACAGAAGAAGTTACCATTACGAAAAAGAAACACAAGAAACCTGTTCCGGAAGATGTCGTTGAAGAGATTGTTCTGAAACCTAAGGAAACGGAAGAGATTACAGAGGAGATCATTATTAAGAAAAAGAAATCTAAAAAACAGAAACCCGAAGAGGTGGTAGAAGAAATCACCATCAAGAAGGAAGAGATTGTAGAAGAACCGACGGAGGAAATAGTGATCATGAAACCCATCAAACCGGAGCCGAAGGTTGATGAACCAACTGAAGAAATTACGATAAAGAAGATCGAAACAGTCGAAGAACCATCTGAAGAAATTGTAATAAAGAAAAAGAAACCAAAGAAACCAGTTGTGGAGGAAGTTGCAGAGGAAATTACAATCAAAAAACCTGTCGTCGAAGAGACAGAAGAAATCTCCGAAGAAATAGTTATAAAGAAAAAGAAACCAAAGAAGCCCGTCGAGGAAGAAGTTGCGGAAGAAATTACTATTAAGAAACCGGTTATTGAAGAAACTGAAGAGATTTCCGAGGAAATTGTCATCAAAAAGAAGAAACCAAAGAAGCCCGTCGTCGAGGAGGTTTCCGAAGAAATTACAATTAAGAAACCGGTGGAGGAAGTGGTGGAAACCGAAGATATTTCTGAGGAAGTTATCATCAAGAAGAAGAAACCAAAGAAGCCAGTGGAAGAAGAAGTTTCAGAGGAGATAACAATTCAGAAACCAGTGGAGAAGGAAGAAGTTTCTGAAGAAATAGTCATCAAAAAGAAGAAACCAAAGAAGCCTGTGGAAGAAGAGGTTGCCGAAGAATTGACTATTAAGAAACCGGTAGTGGAAGAAAAGGAAGAGATTACGGAGGAAATCGTGATCAAGAAGAAGAAACCAAAGAAGCCTGTCGAAGAAGAAGTTGCCGAAGAGTTAACCATCAAGAAACCTGTGGTGGAGCAGAAGGAAGAGGTTTCAGAAGAAATTGTCATCAAGAAGAAAAAACCGAAGAAACCCGTTGAAGAAGAAGTTGCCGAAGAGTTGACTATTAAGAAACCTGTAGTAGAAGAGAAGGAAGAAGTATCCGAAGAGATTGTCATCAAGAAAAAGAAACCAGAAAAGCCGGTTGTAGAAGAGGTTTCCGAAGAGATAACCATCAAAAAGCCAGAGGTCGAGAAACCCGAGGAAGTATCCGAAGAAATTGTAATCAAAAAGAAGAAACCAAAGAAACCCACCAAGGAAGAAGTTTCCGAGGAAATTACAATTAAGAAACTGGAGGTGCAAGAACCAGAAGAAATTTCGGAGGAAGTTGTTATCAAGAAAAAGAAGCCAAAGAAACCAATTGAAGAGGAAGTCTCTGAAGAAATTACAATTAAGAAACCAGTTGTGGAACAGAAGGAAGAGATTACCGAGGAAATTGTAATTAAGAAAAAGAAACCTAAGAAGCCTGTGACCGAAGAATACGCAGAAGAAATTACGATTAAAAAATTGCAGCCTCAAGAACCTGTAGAGGAAGAGGAAGAAGTAATTGACTTTACCATTAAAAAATCCAAACCAAAGAAACCGGTAGTGGAAACGGAAGATGTTGCAGAGGAATTTACGATCAAAAAGAAACCTAAGCAAGCGCCGGAACCGGAGGAAGCCAGTGAAGAAGTCAAGATCAAGCGAAAGAAGCCAAGAAAACCGGTGGTGGAAGAAGCTGCCGACGAAGTTACCATCAAGAAGGTCGTCCAAATTGAAGACGAAATTCAAGAATTCACAATCACCAAAAAGCCACCGCCATTCAAACCAGCTTTGGAAGAGCATTCGCAAGAGGTGACCATCAGAAAGTTGAGGCCAGTCAAGAAGCGCGTTGAAATTCCAGAGTACACTGACATCGAAAATGTCACGTTCAGACCAAAGAGAACGAAGACCAAGGAGGACGTGGAGCAAGAGTTCAAGATTCAATTGGACTCTTACGCTGAAGAAGAAATATCCATGTCCGGAAAGGTTAAATTGAAACATAAACCTAAACCGCTTACTTATTCAGAAGAAGCTGGCCAAGAAACAATTAAGATCAGGAAAGAAGTTGAGGACGATGGTCCACTGATCGAAGAGATTATCGACGATGGAAGCGATGCAGAAGAGTTGCCATACGACGAAGAAGATTTCGAGGAAAGTTTCCACGTTCCATTGCGCAGAAGGATAAAGCCAAGGTATTCCATTCAAGAGGAAGATGAAATTTCCATTGACCTGAGCTTAGGTAAGAGCAAACCAAAGGGCGTTGACTACGGAGAAGGATCCTTGACATTGAGGTCAAAGAGGAAACAGTCTCAGCCATCGTTTGACGAAGGTAAGTTATTGATATTTTTTTCTTTTATATATGAATTCCATTGTTTACTAATATGATATTATTTTTTTAGAAGAGGCTTCTTTGAGTATCACAAGGAAGACAGAGGTTTACAGGGAAGAGGAAGACATCATTGAAGTCAACGAGGGTGATATACTGTACTCTCTCAGCAGTTACATCGCCGAGGCTGATCAAGCAATTGATTTAGTCGAAGGCGAGAAGGTTTACGTTTTGGACACCGATAACACCGACTGGTGGTACGTGAAGAAACACCTGACCGCTGAGAAGGGTTGGGTACCAGCACAAAATCTTATGGACGAAGCTTCGTACAATCTGTACGTGCAGAAGAAACTGCACGAAAGAATTGACAGACTTCCAGTGTTTGAAAGACCTAAGCCCAAGGAGAAATCCTCGGCGCCAAGATTCATTCAGAAACTGGAACCACAACACACACCAGATGGTTACACAGTCCAATTCGAATGCCAAGTTGAAGGCACCCCAAGACCGCAAATCACTTGGTTCCGTCAGACAGCCATCATCAAACCATCGCAAGACTTCCAAATGTTCTACGATGACGATAACGTGGCCACTCTTATTATCAGCGAGGTATTTCCAGAAGACGCTGGCACTTTCACGTGCGTAGCCAAGAACGCCGCTGGATTTGCATCCAGCACGACCGAATTAATTGTCGAAGCTCCACTCTCCGATCATGGTTCAGATATGACCTGCTTATCCAGAAGAAGCCTTTCGAGGGAATCGTCTTTGGCAGATATCCTCGAAGGTATTCCACCCACTTTTGCCAGGAAACCCAAACCACAATGCGTTGACGAGAACACCGACGTCACCATCGAATGCAGACTGGTAGCTGTGCCAGAGCCGGACATTACCTGGCTCTTCAACGGAAAACCAATAAACAGGAAGAACGTTACCATCGTTAACGATTCTGACATGCACATGTACAGCAGCATTCTGAAGATCAAGAAGGTGGAGAAGGTACAGGAAGGAAAGTACACGATCATAGCTAGAAACAGGGAAGGAGAGTCTTCGGTTCAAGTAACTATTAAGGTGAAGACCGGAGAGAAAGAAGCACCGCAGATCATCGAGAAGCTTAAGAGCGTCAATGTGAGAGAAGGAGATGCCGTGGTGTTGAGTACAAGCATCGTCGGTACTCCAACGCCTAAGATCACCTGGTACAAGAACGGCAAACCACTGACTGAACACAAACCAAAGAAGACTGATGATGAGTACATTCTAACAATAATTCCAACCACCAAAGACGATCAAGCAGAGTACACTGTTAAGGCTGTTAATCCTTTGGGAACAGCCGAAACTACCTGTACACTCACTGTCGAAGGTATTCTTGTGAACAATAAATATACAGCTTCGCTTTTTCTTTATTTCTTAAAAACCCCGCTTTCGCTGAATCTTAACATTTATCTGTTTTTCATTTACTAATAATAATTATTTTTTTGTTTAGAATGTGTTTTACCAAAACCGGAGCCACCCATTTTTGTTGAACGATTCCAAGAACTCGTCGTTCCAGAAAAGGGAACCATTCGTCTGGTTGCCAAGGTTATCGGTAATCCAGTACCTGAAGTTATTTGGCTGAAGAACAATGCACCTCTCAAGAAATCTCCACGCATCAAGATGTCGTACGACGGAGAAAACATCGAATTGGTCATCAAGGATGCCGACTCCGAGAAAGACACAGGAGACTACAAGTGCGTGGCCACCAATCCAATCGGTAAGACTTCGCACGGCGCTAAGGTCACCGTCGATGTGGACGCCAAATTCACGAGGAAGCTGAAGGAATATTACGAGAGCACCGAATACGACACTCTTACACTCGAGTGCGAGACTTCGCACACGATATCCACGAACTGGTATCACAACGAGGTGGAAATCAGCGGAATGGATCACAGGGTCATCATTGAAGAAGGTAAAATCCATAAGTTGGTCATCAAGAACATCACGCACAAGGACATCGGCAGCTATAAATGCACGGTGAAGAACCAAAAGACTGAAACCACTGTTAAGGTGGTCGAAGCTAAGGCTGAATTTATCAGGAGACTGCAAGATCTGGAAGTCACAGAGAAAGAAATAGCCATCCTCGAAGTCGAAATTTCTTCGGATGCTGCTAACGTGATTTGGAAGAAGGAAGGCGAAACAATTGATACAACAACTGAAAGATATACCATCGAGAAACATGGTGGTGTCAGGAAATTACTGATCAGAACCACTTCGATCCACGACGAAGGCGAATACAGTTGCGCATTGGTCGATGAGGAATGCAGCGCCGAAATCACAGTCATCGAATTACCACCGGAGATCATTTCCAGACTGGAAGATCAGACCGTCAATAAGGGCGACAAGGCCGTATTCGAAATAGAATTGACTAAAGGCGACGCTTTGGTCTCGTGGTTTAAGAATGACAGCGAGATTCAGTTCTCAGAGCACATCCAACTTTCCATCGACGGAAAACGACAGAAATTGAAGATTTACAATTCCGAAATCACAGATCAGGCCACCTACTCTTGTCACGTCGGCAAGCAGACATCGAGCGCCACACTGACTGTATACGAACCATCACTTTCGTTCATCAGGAAGCTTCCTGAAATCTCGAAGGTTCCGCTCGGAGAAGATCTGGAATTGATCGTCGAACTCTCGAGGTCAGACGTTGAATTCCACTGGCACTTCAAGGGCGTCAAGATCACTGAGAGCAGCAAGTACACCTTCCGCTCGGAAAGGACAGTGCACAGGTTGATTATCAAACAGTGCACGCGCGAAGAAGAGTACGATTTCAGCTTCGTTGCCGAAGACATAAGCACATCCACTAGAGTGGTAATTGAAGAAAGACCGTCTCCGCCAAGGGGACCTTTGGACATCTCCGGAATGAGCGCCACCTCCTTCACGCTTTCTTGGCAACCATCATTAACGGACGGCGGCTCAGAAATCATCGAATACATCGTCGAAATTCGCGAATCAAAGAAGACCGAATTCAAGAAGATTGGCGGTACCAAGGGCAAAGTGACAGACATCTCCGTCAATTACCTAGAGAAGGACCACGGCTACAATTTCAGAATCACTGCCAGGAATTCGGTAGGTCTCAGCGAACCATATCTTCCACAAGACACGATCATCGCCGGCTCGAGAATAAGTAAGTCGCATTTCTATATTCATCGCTTAAATTCTATAACGCTTTTTCGCATTAGGAATTAACTACCACTTTGCTAAAACCGAAGAGACCTTGTATTGCTTGCTAGGAATCTTTCCGCCAGCTAAAATTAATTATATGAGTAAGTGCTCAATCGCTTTTGCTTCGCATTTTTTTTATGCCGAACGTGTTGGGATGAGTGCTAATGTCTTGAATGTTTGCAGCTCCACCATCACCACCTGAAAATCTGCAAGTTAAGGATACCACCAGCAGAAGCGCTACAATCACATGGGAACCCCCACTAAACAACGGCGGCTCAGAAATCATTGGTTACGTCGTCGAAAAGAAGCTAGAATTCATGCCGCGTTGGGAGAAGGTCATCAGTTTGGAGTCCTTCACCTTGGAATACACCTTGGAGAATTTGAAGGAGAAGAGCGATTACGTATTTAGGGTCTTCGCGGAGAATTCCGTCGGTTTGAGCGTTGCTGCTAATACAGAAGTTGTTCAATTAAGATCACATGCCAGTAAGATATTAAAACTTAAATTGTGTAATTTCTTTATTAATTCTTGTATCGTTTTGTGCAGCCGTACCAACACCACCCACCGCCCCATTGGAGATGAGGACGATAGGACCGAACGCTTTGGTCATCGAATGGGGAGTGCCGGAGAGCGACGGCGGTGCTCCTTTGGAGGGCTACAACATCGCGATCAGGGATATCAAGAAGACGATGTGGATGGAAATCGGCAGGGTTTCCAAGGGCGTCTTAAAATTCACAATCAGAGATTTGCAGGAGGATCACGATTACCTCATCAGGATCTTCGCGAGGAACGAGATCGGTTTGAGCGATCCTCTGGAATCGGACGAACCCTTCAAGGTTCTTCCGGGAACTGGTGAGTTAAACTTAAACCCTCTTCATCAACCATCATCATCGTCTATAATAATGTGTGAACCTGCAGAAGGAGATCAAGAAGACTTCAGGGAAGGCACGGACAGGGAACCGACCTCTTACAGTATTTCGGAACCAACGACTTCGTGGATGAGGGATCACAACATGGACGCGGACATTCGCTCCTACGCACGAGGAACATTGTTGAGAAGAGACGAATACTTCTTCAAGATTTGGTGTTACGCCAAACAACTATTCAAATAGACCTAAACATATTTCATACATATATATATATATAATTTTGTTTTCGACGTTTTATTTTTCATTTTTAAGATGTATATACTTTTTGAGAACTATTAGTTTGAGTAGTCATATTTTTTATAACGACTGAGGCCGAAGAAAACAAACATTCTTCTGGTCTACACCAGAAACGCGTTTTCGCTCGTCGCGGAGGAATCTTCAATATAATCCGTGTTTAAATCCTAAAATTGCGAATTGCGAGACGAACAATGATATATATTAAAGATTCCGTCCAGTGCAGATCGAAACGCGCTTCGGCCCTTACGAGATTTTTACCATAACTTATGTCTTTTATTTATCGATTTAGTAACTGTGATACCGATTGATACGAATCCTAGATTGAACAATGAAGAAAAAAAAAACACTAATACGATATGAATGAACGCACCACTGAGTGCGTAGTTAGTTTACTTTGTTTATATATATATAATGATGTTAATTAATTTTGTTCCCAGTTTTCTTCAATTCTTACGACACTTTAATCACTTACTACTGCTATTATGTTATGTTTAAGCTTGCTTTTATCCTTTTATTCTGAAACTTTGCGTCCATCTGGCATTCGCACACTTTTGCCTAATATTTAGGGAGAAAATATAGGTGCAGCTAACATCTCTGCATGCGGCGAAGGTGTGTCAATGCCTCGAGGACACCTTGTATTTTACATAAAACGAACAAATAAATTAATAATTAAAAAAAAAAACAAACAAATAAATTACTATCCAACAAGTTTTATTACACAAATCTTTCCTAGAACAGTTTACATTATAAGAAATAGTTTCAAACCTTAAATATATTAACAAGAAGTAACGCATTGAAAGAGAAGACAAATAAAATCTTTTTAATTTCCAACGATTGGAACAGAATGCAGATAATAGAAATATATTTCCAAATAAATAATAATAATACATATATAGATTATGCACAGTGTATACAAGTAATAAATATAATACATATAATGTATGTCAATCATAAAATATAATTATAATTTTACTGATCAGACTTAAAGCCAAAGGCACGCTTGATGCCGCTGAAAATGCTGTTCAACCTGAAGCTGAATCCTCGATTAGAGTTTACGTTTTCATTGCCGAAGACGAACACACTTGGATCGACCTCGGGTGTCTCCTTATCCGGCTCATCTACACCCACCACGTCTATCTCTTTACTAAAATGATGGCGAAGAGGAAACAAACTGTCCTTTCTATCCTCGCAATCGGATCCATCCTTGTGAATCGACTTCCTGCAGGACAGCTTTATCGGAAGGCAATTAACACCGTCGCAACTGTCATCGTACCTGATCATCTTTCCGTCTTCCCTTTCCACGTTCTCCTCCGTCCGCCTGCGTTTCCTTATCCTGCTCACGCCGGGACTCACGCCGACGTCCATGTACGGTCTGAGATTGTCCTTGCCGGCAGGTCGTCTCGACGAACTTCCCTTCCTCAGCGTGTTCCTATTCCGGATGCATTTCAGAATAGATGAATTTATAACGTCGATCCACTCGTCCGTGTCTTGGACCTTTTGATGATGAAGCACAACGCTCTCGTCGTGGCAGGTAATCTCGAACATCTTCGTCTTCGTATTCTGCGTCACCTTGCATTTATTCAGCGGATATATCGAATGACACTTGAGCGAATTCGGCATGCACAGATTGGTCTTCCTGATGTGACAGAGCATTATTATATCGCTCATCAACACCAAATACACTTTCTCAGTGTTATTCCTCTTTGGTATAGTTTGCACTAAAATTCCCTCCTTGATTAACTTCCTGCCTGGCTGTATAACCAGCTCTTTACCATTCTTCATGCACCGAAGCAATTCCAACAGTCTTTGTGAGTTTTCCCTTTCCTCCACCAAAGTGTTTATGTGCCTTGCAACAGCTTCCAATTTCTTCAAGGAATCTACAAATAAATTTCCATTATATTAACATTATACACAAATTTAAATTAAATATTACCTTTCAAAATATCATAGTCAGGTTCAGAACAATTGGTGTTATCCAAAACTTGCTTAAGCAGCATGCAGTATCTGGGAATTCTCTGAATCGGTGTTATCAGCAATGATGATAACTTTGATTGCACTTCTGGGCGACTCTCCTGATTCAACAGAAATCCAGTAAACTTTTTATTTGTCTCATATAAATTTTTCAAAGTATCCAAGCAATTCTTGTAGTCGTATGCATAAACTGAGTACATCTTGAAGAATGGTGCAAGTTTGAAGAAAGCTGCTGAAACACTCATCAGATCGTTCTTGAGCTCATTCAAAAGTTCTCCATTCACTTTATATAAGTTATCAATGCTTCCAAAGAGAATTTCGAATTGTTCCTGTCCAATAATACCCTTCGACTGAATGGGCTTCATGAAGAAATTCATTATAATTTCCAGTTGCTTCAAGTAAGCCATTTCACTGCTGAGTATCTCCTGCACTGCCTGGTGTTTCCTCTTCTTTCTTCTGGTTTCGATGTCAGTGGAATTGATCTCGTCCAGTGCTGAGAGGAACTTTTCTTTGCTCTTCGATGTAAGGATATTCCTCTCATTGATAACATTTCTCAACTCTGCACTGAGTGCTAGTTGGGCCTTCGGGGTACACTGCTCTAGAAGGACGTAGCAAGGCCTGATATTCACCACTTCGTCGTTCATTGTTTCTATCTTGTCGTTCTCAACAAACACTAAATGTTCACACAAAACTGAGGGAAGAAGTAAACAAAACCGTTAACACAGCCATTGAAATTTTCAAAACTATTTCAAAGGTACACCAGGTTTACCAACAACGTAATAGTTTATGTAACACACTAAACAATGGCAAAACTAGAAAAAAATTAAAATTATTAAAAATCCAGCGTTTTATTCTTCAAATGAAATTATTACTTTTTCAACAATAAATTAATAGTAACAATACATTACAATATATTTAAATAACTTTTGTTAACACATTAATTACAGCAGTACTTACAAATAAATGTGGCCCATTTATCTGGCTTTAAAATAATCGCTTATTTTATTTGTTTCATTTTGTATTAACAAAGTTATGAATAAATATAATTAACTTGCTTGCACCATCTAGCGCGTTTCTATTGAACTACTCGATAATTGAAATAACGGAAAATTCATTATATAACTTGGACAAAAAATGCATTAAAATTAAACTATATTTCAGTTATTCTTGTTTAATCGAAGACATAAATTCGTTAATCGTCTTTTCGCACAAATCATTGTTCCAGATTCCTCCGATTTTGAAGTGGGAACCAATGATGAAGGCGTCCGCATCCAAGTAGGACTTGTAATTGGATTTGGTAATACCGGAACCGATTATAACCGGTAGTTTAACGTTCTGCTTTAGCCGCTTCAGTTCCTCAACGCTTGCAGCCGCTCCGGTCGCCGTGCCAGTAAGGATAATACCATCGCTGAGGAAGAATTCAGCAGCTCGAGCCGTTTCCTCCAAAGAAACGTCGCTCGTTACTGCGTGCGAACTATAACTCATTGATTAGTCCAGAAACTAACATACTTAAACATTTAACCTGTGTTTCTTCTTGATATCAGTGAATATTTGTATGGATTCGGCTCCGATTTGTTTCCTGAAACGCAGCAAAGTGCCAGCGTTTGCATCTGTAAATCCCTCATCCGCTACATGACTGAAAACGAATCCTTCAGCGCGAATGTAATCAAAGTCCGAGGCTTGAGCCACAGCTAAAGCCTCTTTGTTTCCTCCAGCTAACACCTGCAGGAAATTTATATAAATTAAGAACTAATTTATGTTGCAAGAAACTTTATACCTGCACACCCAAAGGCATATTTACAGCAATTTTCTTAATCTCGGTGCAAATCCGACTCATCATTGCAACAGTTTCAGGCTGAAAGTTCTTAGGTTGAACGTATGGAACATCGTGCATGTTCTCCACTAAAATCGAATCCTAAAATATGTTCTTCTTTATTAGTCATTAACAAGGAATGATTAAAAATACTTACAATATTATTTTTAACGTAGATCTCAGTTTCGTAACAAGCCTTATCAATAATCTGTTGGGTATTCCCAACATATAAAGGAGTTCCTAACATAATTAAAAAAAATACATACAATTTTGCCTGCACTAATTTGCGTAACTTTTAATAAAATTATTTTTCAAAAAGCGCGCGCGCTACAAATTTCGATTTTTAAATAATACGAATTTCTTCTTGTAATTATAGTTAAAACTTTGCAAATTTAATATACTTTTTGGGAAGTGAATAAGTTGCCTATAATAACTGTTACCAGGAAGTATTTTTACAAAGTTGCGATTAGGTATCTTGTGTGATATAGGGGTAAAGTTTATTGGAAATAACCCGAAGATAAACTCACCGGGAAGTGGAAGGACGTGCACCATTCCGATAACGGAGCTCCTCTTCTGCGAAAACAAGGTTTTCAATCTATTGGCCATCCTCTTCCATCAAGATATATTGCGCGTAAGTGTGAAGAGATTAAGTTAGGTTAAGCTCTGGAAATGTATGTATGCAACCATGTTTGATAACAATTGTGTAAAAATTTGAATATGTTTTGATAACAGCAGATTTTTTCAAATTCATATCAATTTCATACAGTGTAAATTTAAATGTATATTCTATTTGTTTCAAAAATTTGAAAACTTTAAGTTTTGTGTTTGAAATATGGAACTGTATTTTTATTATTATTAATTAAGTAATTTAACTTAAGTAAAACTTTTCTTATCTTTGTAAATTGCTCATTATTATAAACATTTTAAATTTATATATTATTCCCAAGTGAAGACTGATACAAAAGCCATAAATTATGTACATTTTTAAAGGAAATATTTATTTTGAAAAAAAAAATAAAATTTCATTAATCCAGTGGTCGGCAAAGTGCGGCTCCAAAGCTCCTTAAGTGCGGTTCTGGCACAAATATCCACGGAGGCGCAACAACATACAAACCTGTCTTACTCAAACTTTCCAAGGAGATGCAAGCAAATTATTCGCATTAATAAATATTTATTAAGTATGAAATTTAGTTTTATTTAGTGTAATAAAAGTTTACTAAACAAGCAGATTTGGCTCTCAATTTTTTTTAAATTGTTGTAATGTTCATATTTGGCTCTTTAGCTAATAAATATGCCGACCACTGCATAATCTATTGAAAGAGTTTATTTATTTCCTAAACAAAATAATCCTATCATTATTATACATTTCCATTTTCCATTAATATAAGTTTTTTGAAATCTTTATCAATCTTCAGTTAGTATTGGTTTTCTTTTCATTTGAACATTCAAGCAACGAATTTTCAATTACTGTTTTTACTAAACCTTCATTTTTAAGTTCCCTCACGAAGATCATCAATTGCAAAAACAGTTTAAATTATATAATAAACAATAACAAGGAATAAATAAAACGAGTTGGATTCAACAGAAGTAATTTTTATTGTTTAAACGTATTTTTTTTTCTTTGTTTCGTTCACTTATGTAATTATTTTTTTTAAATTGCTTTTCTTTTTTTCTTCTCGAAATCAGTTTCATCATTTTCATTACAATTTTTTTTTAGAACTCACAAATAAATCAAAAAAAAAAAAACTAGTGAACATTGCGAAAATGAAATCATAGAAATAAATGTTTGACTCCCATATCTCCTCTTCCACTTTAAACACACACAGAGACAGACAGATACACGCGCACACATCATCAATTTTGTAGTAAAATAGTTCTGTATTTCTATATAATTATAATAATTCATTCTTTTTTTTCATATTTTTTTACATTATAGTTATATTTATATATATATCTTGAATATCTTTAGATCATCAAGATTGTATGTACAAGTTTAGAGATATCGTCGAGAAAATGAAGAAAACACATTTTCGAGGAGAGACACACTATGTACTCACTCGTTCAACTACATTTACATCATCATCATCATTATTATTAGTATTATAGTATCGGTGTATTATTAGTATTATTGTATAACCTAAGTGCATAACCAAGCTCTCCGTTTCTTTTCTTATCGTCGTTTAATCTTCGTACCTTACAAAAATAACATACTATAAATATATTCAATAATTACACAAGTCATCTTAATACACGCACACTAAATCCAAAAATTGACACAGCAAATATTAAATATTCTATAAGAATAACTGTTTATTTCCCTTATTATATATTTATACTTATTTTTTTTTGTTACTTTATTCAGTTCGAATAAGGTTTTCTTCATTAGTTACGTCTATTCCTTTTCTTAGTTAACTTACAGTATATACGTACATCCTCCGAGAACTAAGTGGACTATAGTATGTACATTTATCTAAGGAAGAAGGTGCGAAAACTGAAAACCGAAACGTTTTGGTGTGCGCAGTTGAGAACAAACAAACAAAAAAATAAGTCGTGGGAGGGGGTTTGTTTCCATTCAGTCGTTTTCCTGATCCGAGATTGAAAAATCCAGAAATTTTGTACTGTGAGGTTGTTTCTTATTTTTCTTTTCCTTTTTTGTATAAAACGCGAAAGAATTCTACCGGTTTGCGTTTCAAACAAAGAAAATAATAATATGAGAGAGAGATTGATAAATTAATAATTAAAAAAATAATAACATTTAACATCACAGTAAAAAAAATATGAATCTATGTGTACTATATAAGTGATAATTGTACAAGTAATAAAAAGTATGTACGTTTGTGTGTGTGTGTGTGTCGATTAATAATAGTAATAATAATATTAACAATATTCCTAAACGAGGATACATGCTCACATATGTCTACATTAATTAATTAGTTCATTAATTAATATGTTTAATTAAAAACAAAAATTGTTGCGCTTCGCGTCGCGAAAAAAAAACTATAGTAAATAAAAATGAACAAACGAAATAATCAATTAGAACTAAACGGAAATTAATTAAAAAAGAGATGAGAAAAACGTTAAATATGTACAATTCGTTAACAAACTAAAAACAAAAATACGTAATGCCCTAATGATACGAGAAACAAGTAAACTTACGTGAAAAACAAAAACTTAAGTTAAATTACATTACGTGTGTGTATGTGTATATATATAATTAATTTTTTTGTTGCGCCCCTTTTCACGTTCCACTTGAGATGTGAATGTTCGAAAATATTTCTTCTCTTAAATTATTTAAAAAAGATGTAATTAGTTTTGAAAATACGATTATTTAATTTT